TTGAGAGAGGGCAATATGATGGAGATGAGAGACTGTTGGAAGGGGAGGTGTGGATAATATCTTTGTTTGATAGTCCTATGAAGGGCTACTAGTGTATGGTTAGTCTGGTAGTCTGGGAGATGGCTGGAGGAGAAGGGGGGTGGGTGTGGAGGAAGGAAGGATAGGCAGGGAGGGGGAGAGGGAGAGAGGGAGAGAGGGAGAGAGGGAGAGAGAATGTGTATATCATCAATGTGAGCAGATAGAGGACATGGTTTGAGCAGTAAAGCCATATCTTCACAAGTCGTGCATGAGAGCGTAGCACAACCCATCAGGTGGTTCGGTCAACGGATGGTGACTCGATCGTCTTCTCCTCCTCCACCTCCTCCTCCCCCTTGCAGGCGCCTGAAAAGACCGAACCTACTCTTCTTACCACCACTAACGACAGTTTCTGCCGACACACTCACGCAGTCTGCGCCGTCATTGACCTCGACAGCTTCCGGCGTCCCCTGTCCCTGTCCCTGTCCCTGTCCCTCTCCCCGTCCCTGTTGAACGCTCACGAGACCCAATTCCTGTCCCCTGATTTCCATCTCCATCTGTCGCCGTATCGGCTGTGTCCGTGGGAAGCCTCTTCTGGCTTTGGCGTTGTTCGTCGGCCGTGGACTTCCTCTCATCAATTCCTATCAGCCCCAATCCTCGTTCCTGTGGCCGTCTCCACCGATCCGAGTCCTCGCTGTCTAGAATACAGTCGTCCGCGGGATCTTCCGTGCCGACGTATCGGCCTAGGTTGTCCTTTGCGTAATGCTTCAGGTACTCTCTCCGCGTGACCTGGCGGATGGTCATGTTGACTTTCTGGTCCCGAGGAGGTTGGAAACCCGAGGACTTGTGCTGGAGAAACCGCAGAGGATGACTGGGAGGGAGTTTGCCGCTTTTCTTCTTACAATCTTCGCCTGATACTCGCTCACTCTTAATTGCCTCCAAGGCTTCCAGATCAAGCACGGGTACGGTAATCAACGTCTCGTCAGTGTACTCGGTCAGCTTGAGAGCAGGACGGTATATAGTCCCTCCTTGGTAACCATAGGCGCTGGCACTCACGCCGCCCATGGAAGCGGCTACTGCGTCCCATCCGCCCATATCGAATGCGAGATTTAATTCTGCTATCCGAACAGTTCAATCAATAGTAGTTATCGTAATGTTCGGGCGATTGTTTCGGATTGGTAAAGCGCCCGAATTGGAGAGAGCGTACTCTGGCAGCAATAGACGACCATGGGCAGCAACCCTCTCTGTGGACGAGAAGAGGGACGGGTAGCCAATATACACTGCCACCAGGGTTTTGCGTCGCCCTTGGTCCTGAGATGCCCCTTGATCAGCCTTGGTGTCTGCCTTGGAGACGATTGGCCGTCGTGAAAAGCCTGTGGGGAACGCAGAACACGAAATAATGGTTCTCGATATATCGACTAATGCGTTTTCAGACTGGATAGAAATCCTTCGCGCTAGAGTGAACCCCATGTGCGGGTGAACTGATCGCTGGAATGGCTTCCTTGAACCAAAGTTGATCTTCCTGGTTGGATTGCAACGCTAGATGCCAAAGTGTGGCAATCCATTCGCCTCAAGCACGTCGTCGAGGGTGCGCATCGATCTGTGCCCGCGATAGCACGAGACAATGTGCATAAATTCAACAAGTGTGGGACCTCATGCAACACATGCTTCCTCTTTCACCCATTTTGTCGAAGTTTGGCGAGTGCAGCCGCAACACCGGCGCTCAACTCTGGTTCTTTGTGAGCTTGTGGCTGGGCGGGCCGCGAAGTTTGTGACGCTGATTTTGCAGCTTCCACGTCAGCGAGGGCAAGGAGCGCAGCTTCTTCCTCCTCGTCCAGATCATCCATGGTAACTTCTTCCAGACGAGGACGCTTATGGCTGGGGCCCGCCTCGGTTGAATTCTGCATCGGAACAGCAGCCGAGCCTTGTCTGCTGAGACTAGGTACGGAGCCAATAGGGATGGGCGTTTGTCCGCTTCCTGGCCTCGACTCTGGAGTGCTGGCTTCCTCAGAGAACATGGAAGTCTCTTGTCTCAGTAGTGTTACATTAGACTTGGCCGCTCTTCTCACGCGGAATGGCTCTCGTACAGTGGTGTACCAAGCCTTGACTTTCTTCTCGCCCCAGCCTGGCACCAGAGCCAGTTCTTCTGGTTCCGCGTTGACAGCTGCTCGAAGAGATCCAAAGTTCATGATCAGACTGGCAGCGTCGGTCTTGTTGATGTTTCGTGGCGTCGTAACAAACTCTGTCAGACTCTCCTGGTACGTCTCTGCCTGGTGGGCTCGAATCGATGCGGATGAGGCGTGCTCGTACGACTTGAAGAGTTCTAGGTAGCGGCCCGCTTCTTGAGAGGACCAGCACAGAATCAACGTCAGGTTATTGATCATCGAGGTCTTCGATAGCTCTTTAAGGGCCTCCTCGTGATTCGTGATGTCGACCATGGTCAACAGGATGCGGAGATTGTAGAGCTTTCCCAGCTGGCGAATGCGGCTATAGATGTATTCCGGGTGCAAGCGATGGTATTTCAGAGACAGGAACAATGCGCACGTCGTCGCACCGAGCACGTAGTCGCATGGTATGTCCGAGTATTCCCACGGCAGCTGCGTGACATGTTTCAGGATAGGATTGCCCTTTTGTCGAGTTGACACCAGGATTGCCGACGGCCCTTGTCTTCCAGGCAGGGCTTGTGGCTTTGGCTGAACGACTTTTGCGGGCGTATTTGTAGTGGCGGGACTTGCTGTTCGCTGGGGGCCGGACGGCCGCTCAACCGCTGCTTCTTGTGACAGGAAGTCGACGTTGTCGAATTCTTCAGCCATGGTGTCGCCCTTCTAGATTTTGAAGTTGGCTGGGATATCGACCGTGGCACGCATCAGGACGTCCAGGGCAGTTTCATTAGCCTCCCGCTGTTTGACGTGCAGAACTCTCTATCACTGAGGTCCCGGTCTCGAATCGCCACAAAAAAAAGTGTGAGGAGGCGGGTTGAAGGGAGTTTGTACAGGCAGACAGGATACTCAATGATTCAACTTCCACTTCCAGCTCTATACTTCAACGTAAAAATTATACGGCCGACTTCTGCTACGGTTAAGTGCAAAGTTGCACCTCCGCTCCACTTCGAATTGGAGAAATATTTGGGCTGCGAAAAAAAGTTCAAGTTTTCCCCAGTGTGCCAGGTCAAGTCGAAAAGGCGGCAAACATGTCCCGCGACTCGATCATGGATCAGAGTCTCAAGAGACGCAAAATCTCGAGTGGCAGCTATGAAGCCGTCACTCCGGATGTCGACCATCCAACCCAAGAAACAAGCGACAAATCCAAGGAGCAGAGACGGTCGCTCTTCGTGCGCTCTCTGCCCGCTTCCGTGACCACAGAGCGACTCACCGAGTACTTCTCTCAATCGTTCCCTCTCAAACATGCCACGGTCGTCCTGGACCCTCAGACAAAGATCTCGCGTGGATTCGGCTTCGTCACCTTTGCCGATGCCGAGGACACCCAGGCTGCGGTTGCCCAGTTCAACAACTCGGTGTTGGACGGGAGGAAGATCAAAGTTGAACTAGCAGAGGCGAGACACCGTGATGCGGACCTGGGTGGAAAGAGCGGTGTCAATACCACGGCTGTGCAACTTCGAGCACAGCGAGAAAAGAACATCGCAGAGACCCAGCCCCCGAAATTGATCGTCAGGAATCTGCCGTGGAGTATCAAGACGGCGGAGGATCTGTCCCTGTTGTTCCGAGGCTATGGGAAAGTCAAGCACGCGGTAGTGCCCAAGAAGGGCCCCAAGGAGCAATACGGCTTTGGGATTGTTGTGCTTCGGGGAAAGAAGAACGCAGAGAGGGCCCTCGCAGGGGTTAATGGGAAAGAAGTCGACGGGCGTACGTTGGCCGTTGATTGGGCTGTCGACAAGAAGACTTGGGAAGAGTTGCAACATAAACGTCCAGAGAGCAAGCAATCATCCCATGATGAGCCGAGTGCAGACGATCATAACGAAGATGACCCCAAAACGGACAAGGCGGACTATGACGACGCAGCGTCCGACGTAGAGGCACTAGAAGATGCCGAAGACGTCAACCAAGATTCCGAGGAAGAATCACTTGACGAGCTCGATACCGCAAGCGACCAAGAGGATGCACAATCGGCAACAGGGAGTGTAACCTCTGAATCCGAAGCACACGACAACAGGAATGATACCTCTGTCTTTATAAGGAATCTGCCCTACACCACCGACGACGATCTTCTCCGGGAACACTTTTCCACCTTTGGACCGATCCGATATGCGCGGGTCGTCTATGATCCGGAGACTGAACGGCCCAAAGGCACCGGGTTTGTCTGCTTTTTCAATCTCGATGATGCAAAAGCCTGCGTCAAGAATGCTCCAAAGCACGAAACAGCATCGGACCATGCAACAAATGACAAGAAAAGACAAAGGGAGGCCCTGAAGCATTCGATCCTTGAAAACGAAGCAGCCGATCCATCCGGTCGCTATACGCTCGAGGGGCGCGTGCTCCAGGTATCCCGAGCCCTTAGCAGGGAAGATGCTGAACGTCGAGCAAGCGAGGCCAGTGCAAAAAGAGACATTCGAGATCGGGATAAGCGGCGCCTGTACCTGCTGTCGGAAGGGTCCATCCCCAAAGGGTCGAAGCTCTATGAGCAACTAGGCAAGGCGGAGATTGACATCAGAGAGAGCAGCGCCCGTCAACGCCAGCGGTTGATCAAAACCAATCCGAACCTATGCCTCAGTTTGACCCGTCTGAGTGTTAGGAATCTTCCGCGAGGTATCGACAGCAAGGAACTCAAGGCACTGGCGCGGGAAGCCGTGGTCGGTTTTGCCAAGGACGTTAAAGAAGGGCTACGACAGCCTCTGAGCAAGGAAGAACTACAGCGAGGTGGCAGCGAGATGCAAGAAGCCGAACGTCGACGCAAGTTGTCTGGCAAAGGGATTGTCAAACAGGCGAAAGTTGTGTTTGAAGACAAGGAAGGAAGTAAAGTCAAAGAAGGCGCCGGTCGAAGTCGAGGCTACGGCTTCATCGAATATGTCAGTCATCGGAATGCTCTGGCCGGCCTACGTTGGCTCAATGGGCACTTGGTCAAACCCCAGAATGCTGGTTCTGACAGAGGGAAACGCCTGATTGTGGAGTTTGCCATTGAAAACGCCCAGGTTATCCAGCGGAGGAATGAGAGGGAGCAGAGAGCCAGAGAAGGCGGAGGGAAAGGTGCCAAGGACAGCAAGCAAGGAAAACCAGAGGCTAACGGCAGGGTCAACAAGAAGCGGAAGCGCGGAGACAAGAGCGATGATGGGTCATCTTCAAAGGCCTCGCAAGTCCCGCAACCGGTTGAGCCGGAGGAGAAGAATCGCCTTGCGAAAAGGAATCGCATCATCGCAAAGAAGCGTCAGGCCAGGAAGTCACGGAAAGGTTGATGTATTTGACTGTAGGGGTGGATCGCAATCAGTCTGCAGCTGAGCATTGAGCAATATACGGCACCAACGTGTTGCCGAAGCGAAGAACTGCTGCGTGCTCTCTCCTAATTCCGTCCGGGGGTATCTTCCTGAACGTCGCAATAAATCGATGTCTTTGTGTTGCCCATCACTTTTACCCCGTATTCTGAGCACCCGCGACCTAGAGGCAGACGCCATGATAGTCAGCACCTGTCCTGAGATTGGCAATGACCTGCACCTGCTCTGGTGCGCAATTTCTCGAGCGCTTTGTATTTGTTCTATATTTCCCTACCCGGTCCGTGCGGGCGTCTCGGCAAAATCTGTCTCTTCTTTCATAATTTTTGTAGTTTGAATATACTGACCTTGCCCACGATGTTATACCGCTTGCTAAAGAAGGTGTACCATTCATCGAGCACAGTCTTGTACTTGTCGTCCAGATCATACCAGTCTGGTACGCAGTCTTCGGGTTTCAAACTGGATAGCGCGAGGGCACGAGAAGGATCCTTGCCGGCAAAGACTGCACAGAGCTCTGGTTAGTATTGCAACTGGCAAACGAGGAACTCGGGTGGGACAGCAAGTGCCACCGTACCATGATATTGACCCTTCTCGCCATACGCCTTGTTCTTGGAGACATCGAAGACAGTGCCCTTGATCGCAACCCATGTAGGCTTGTCCGGATTTGTTCCTATCGCAAAGTCGACATCTCAGCATCCTGCCCCTCCCCGCACTGAAAGTATCTGCTCAGGCCTCTGATCGGGTGCGTACCGTCGCACTGGCTCAACTCTTCCAGCGAAATCTCATCGTGCTTCGGCGGTTCTAGCTCAACCGGGACCTTGGGCTCGAATTTCTTGTTCTCTGAATAAGGGCTCGGTGAGGTTGGATCAGCCATGGTGAAGGTTCTAGCAAGACAAACCTCGACTCGTGTCGGACACTGTGAAGATGAAGAGGGTGAACAACAAGAGTCAGTTTCTGGACTTGGAGTCGAAAGGTATTAAGCTGGATCATGCCAACACCACAGACGGTGCACTGCCCCTGTGACCTCCGAGAGTGTATGCACGGGTTGATTACATACTCTTCCCACAGCTTAGACAAGCGGAACTCCTCAGACTGAACGTTTGACTTGATTGGGACTTGAGGAGTTTGGATCGAAAGGGGTCTGGAGGGTAGGCTAGGCTATTGGCCACGGAAACACGAGGAAAATCGGGTGACAGTGTTTCGATCCCTTGTCTGGGACTGAAGCTGAAGCTGGGCTGCGGCAAATTTCCTTTGTCGCAATCAGGCGAAGAAAAATGCCCCTCGCAGGTGCCCCTCGTGGCTTACCCCTCGGCCCTCTGCCCCTCGATGGGATTGTCATTCCCCCGTCTCCGCTGCCAATGACACCAGTGGCACCGAGGTGTGCCGGCTCGCAAGTTGAATCTGGAACTGGTTGCGAGCTTCAGCGACTTGGCAGTTGAATGGTGAAATCATTCTCCCCAATGGTCTAACACAGCCATATCGAGAGACTTTGTGGCTGTCGATCGCAAACTGCGCAAGCAGCCACTATCGTCATCACCACTACCACCACGTCGTCCACATGGGCAGGTAACGTGTCAGTTCCACCTTGTCCGTATCCATTTGTCGACTGCGTGTGCTTTGCTAATGTAACGGAGAAGGCTATATGCAGCATTTTTTCTATAGGTATACACTCTGCTCTCTAAGTTCTACCATCTTCCTTCCTCAATGGCTTCACCGGAGTCTCGACCATCAGGTTCATGAGTCGGTGGGCCACCTCTGCAGCTGCGAGGCCAGTGGTTTCTCCAGGATTGTCGTATATCGGAGCAACCTCCACCACATCAGCTCCAATCACCTTCACACCTTCAAGGCCATCCAAGATGCTGAGGAGCTCTCTAGTGGTCCAGCCGCCGACTTCAGCAGTACCTGTGGCCGGAGCATATGCAGGATCCAAGACGTCAATATCGACCGAGATGTAGACATTCGTGCCGCCCACTCGAGCTTTGAGCTTGTCGATGATACCCGCAACACCGATTTTATCAATGTCCCTCGCAGTTATAATCTCGAACCCGCAGCGTTTGTCGTTTTTCCAGTCATAGTTCTTGTTGAGGGCTGGAGCTCGTATGCCTGCGTGTGCCGAAGAGTTGAGAATGAGGCCTTCTTCGTGGGCAATATGAAGGAATGTGCCATGGTTCAGCCCAGCATAGTGGGATATCCCGCCACCAATGACTTTGGGGTCTGCGCGGAATCAATAGTCAGCACCAAATTCACTGCTATCCGCATTGGGTCAACCCATCCTCGGGCCAATTGCGCTTGACAAGTTGGAATCTTTGTCAATCGCACGGTTCGGTTCCGAGAGTCGGGGCGGGGAAATGCGACCATACCCCAGGTATCTATATGGCTGTCAAAATGTATGACACTGACAGGGCCCCAGTGGCTGATGGTTGAGCGCAATGCCGCCAACGTGGTTGTGTGATCACCTCCCAACGTGATGATGCGAGGGACTTCGGCCACTTCTGTGGCATTGGCTGTTCGGCCAGAAACCACCCTGTGCGCCTTTTCAAGTTGCTGCAAGGCTGCGGTGTTGTCTAGAAAAGTGAGTGGTGCGTCGCCGCAATCCACGATGCGCGCCCAGCTCAGGAACGTGTTCTCGTGGGTGTACGCATCCCATCCCGCAGCAGCTTGAATTCGTCTAGAACCCCTGCTCAGGTCTAGTCAGAACATCGTCGGGTTCAGATGGCCCTAGGCTGGGAAGTCGCAGGAGGAAATTGTCCTCGTGGCCGAGCTTACCATCTGATTCCCGTTGGACCAAATCGCGCCCCTGGTCGAGCCGAAGTGCCTGTGTCAAAAGGTGCTCCCAAAAAGGCAATATCATACTTGTCGACATTGTCGTCGGGCGATAAGCAATGTAACCATGGAAGATTGGCAAAGGTGGTTAGCCCAGCGTACTTGCTGGACTCAGCCAAGGGATCCTGGCCCGAGGCGACGGATGCTCGATATTGGCCTGCATGACTTCCTAGGTTTGCCTGCAGTGGTGAAACTGGTGGGAAAGTAATGTCCCGAGCTATTGAGGACGCTGAAAGCAGGAATAGTGTCGAGATCCAAGAGTTCAGCATGACTGCGATATGATATGCTCTTTGTGAGAACGCCCTGGGAAGCTTGTAAAGGATCTACACCAGAGAAAGGAGAAGCTGATTTGATGCTAGGGATACATTATCGATAAGGGACATTTCCAAGTCGTCGATCGGGATTTCGAGTTTTCAGGTGATGTTCAAAGAGCTGGTGGTGATCCACTTCAAAGCAAGATAAGGGAAGCCAGAGTCGATGCCGCCGCCACCACCAACGCCACTACGCAGGTGCCCACAGGCGGAAGTCGGTGGACGGGCAATCACCTTGCCTACTAGGTACACCCACACCTAGCAAATACCTAGAAAGGTACTTAGGTAGGCCAAGAAATGGTTCTTGCCTCCTGGGGCTTGAAGGGCGGGAAGGGCGTCTTGGTGGGAGCTTGAGGGGCTTTTTTACCTACAGATGCTAAGCGTCTGGGTATTGGGTACTGGGCACTCTGCAGGAAGATGGGAAGTTTATCTGAGCCCCTTCCTCCACCCCCTCCCGCTTGGCTTCCCTGACTATCGGCTGCCTTAACTAACTCTAGGCGTTCCCAAGCACCACTCCGCCCCTAACGCCCTGCCAAGACACCCGAAGCTCCCCAAGAAAACCCTAGAATCGTCAGCCCAGACGCTTCATTCCAACTTTCCTCCACTCAACTCCATCCTCCCCATGACAATTTTTTTTCCCTTGCAGTCGCCGTTGCTACCTCGCGGCATCTCACTCGAGCTTCCCTCAGCAGTGAATTCCTTTCAGCTTACAGTAAAATGATCCACGAGCTAAGACCTCGCCGAGCCTCGACACCCGCAGGACCAAGAACTTGGGTGTACAGAATGTCCAATACGATGAGGTTGATTATGCCGTGAACCATGCCACCTGAGGAGTCCCATCTGGGATCAGGCCAGAGCTTCAAGAGGACGGATTATGCTTTTCTGGCGATAATGTTGGCCATTACGTCGATATACATCTGGAGATTTTTTCCCTGAGCTCTCCCCGGGTCCAGTTTTATCCTTCCACAAGTCCTTCTGATTCTTTTTGCTCTCTCCTTGTGCTCTCGTTCCTCTGACCCCCGAATTCCCACAATGCCTTCTTCGCACCGTCATAGCCTGGGTGGAGAAAAGGATGGCGTGCCTCCTCACCTGCTGGACGAAACTCCCATTGCGCGGGGCGTGCATTCCCCATCCAACAGCGACGACGAGGAGCACGCTGTGAGACGTGGCTCTCGCAAGCAATCCGTCGTGGCATCTCTCAAGGCGAATTATGGACTGGCCGAAACACCTAGCTATCCCGGCAGTGTCGAAGTGGGATATGATAGCACCCATCGGAAGTTGAAGCCCCGACATATTCAACTGATTGGTATTGGGGGGACGATTGGCACGGCTCTGTACGTGCAGATTGGGCGAGGATTGCTCAATGGTGGGCCTGGGAGTTTGTTTCTGGCCTTTACCATCTGGTAGGTCGGGCTCTTTCTGTGTTCATGTTGTTCCCCAGTTTCAGAGACGGTGGATCATGCAGGGCATACTGAGCAGAAGAAACGCCTGATATTAGAGGTCGGAATTCGGTGCCTGTTCAGTGACTGCCACGGCATATCTCCTGCTTTGCTCAAACACTCTCGTTTTCAAGCATGGGACATGTTGCGGGATGAAGATATTCGGACTCAGAGAGCAGACTTCTGTGAACTAATATGTCTCTAGGTGTACATTCATACTTTGCGTCACAAACTGCATGGCAGAGATGGTCACCTATCTCCCCATTTCTTCACCCTTTATCCGATTTGCAGGCCGCTATGTCGATGAAGCGTTTGGCGTTGCTGCAGGCTACAACTTCTTCGTCTTTGAAGCGATGCTGGTCCCCTTTGAAATCGTGGCGTGCAATGTCATCATCCACTTCTGGAGCGACGTCGTCCCCGCTGGTGGCATCATCGCAATTGTGATTGTCTGCTACGCCCTGGTCAATCTGTTCGCCGTGCAGTGGTACGGGGAGACGGAATTTTGGCTCGCATTGGGCAAAGTCCTCTTGATCGTTGGGCTAATCATCTATACGTTTATTGTCATGCTGGGCGGAAATCCCCTTGGTGATCGATTTGGTTTTCGATATTGGAACAACCCGGGCTCCTTCACGGAACTCTACTACGACGGCTCGCTGGGCAGGTTTCTGGGCTTCTTGCAGTGTCTGATCCAAGCATCCTTCACCATCGCCGGGCCGGACTACGTCTCCATGGCAGCCGGCGAGGCTGAGAATCCACGCAAAGTCCTCCCGAGGGCGTACAAGGCCGTCTTCTACCGCCTCACGGCGTTTTTCATGCTCGGCTCCCTCTGCGTCGGCATTCTTGTGCCGTACAACGACCCAGAACTCACCGAGGCCTTTTCGACAGGGAAACCCGGCGCCGCTGCGTCTCCTTACGTGGTGTCTATGAACAGACTGCGCATCAAGGTGCTTCCCCACATTGTCAACGCCATGGTTCTAGGCAGCGCGTTTTCAGCAGGTAACAGCTACGTCTACTGCGCCAGTCGGAGTCTGTTTGGGCTGGCGCTCGAGGGCAAAGCACCCAAGCTTTTCACCCGCTGCACCAGGAACGGGGTGCCGGTATACTGCGTGGCGCTGGTGCTGTTGATCAGTCTACTGAGCTTTTTGCAAGTCAGCAACGATGCCGCCGTGGTGCTGAGCTGGTTTGTCAATCTGGTACGTTACTTCTGCCTCTGTAGCATCAATTTCAGCACCTTCGCCCCTTGAGTGGGACAAATGGATACATTTCCGTTTGGTCCTCTCACAACCAAACCCCCCAACGCATGTTGACTCCATTTCGTGCTGACCCGTTCATCACCTTCTTCGCAGGTCACGGCGTCACAACTGATCAACTTCTCTGTCATGGCCTTTACGTTCCTCAAGTTCAAGCGCGCCCTCGAGGTGCAGGGCATCGACCGCAACACGCTGCCGTACAAGTCGTGGTGGCAGCCCTTTTCGGCCTACTACGCCCTGGTGGGCACCTTCATTATGACCTTTGTCGGCGGCTACACCGTCTTCCTCCCGGGCTTCTGGGACGTGCCCAGCTTCCTGTTCAGCTACACCATGATCGGCGTGTTTCCCTTGCTGTTCCTGTTTTGGAAGTGGTTCAAAAAGACAAAGTGGCTCAAGCCGCATGAGGTCGATCTGACCCGCGATATGGACGAGATTGCAGAGTACGAGCGCAATTATGTCCCTCGGCCGCCTAGGTGAGTTTTCCTGTCCCCTATGCCCTGTGCCCATTCATTCGTCCTACTTGGGCTGCCTATGTATATACCATCTATGCGTGCTTTATTTATCCCTTTCCTCTCTCACATCTTCCTCCTTATCTTGCGTCTTCCGCCCTACTTCATCCAACGAGTCTTGTGAAATCAAATCACCTCAGTTCCTGCCTGATTGCGTACATGCTGACTTCTGGCGACCTTGAATCCACAGAAACGCATTTATGAAATACTTTGACAAGATCTTCAGCTAGAGACTAGAGAGAAGACGCCCTTTTTTCCCCTTGTTTATGTGTGTATTGGTGGATATTCTCTTTCAGCAAACCTGAGACGAATACACGTTGTGCCTTTGCCTGTTCCGTTGTGTTGGTGGTGTTGTGTTGTTTTGTCTATGAGATGGACGTGACGAGCGACGAGTGACGAGTCAACGACTGATGGGATGACGCGAGAAGGAAAAGTTCCGCAGGAAGAGAGAGGACATGGAAGGAAAGAAACAAAGAGACGCGTGGAAGAGAGGTGGAAAGGAAATGAAAAGGAAACAAGGATATCCTTGGGTTTTGAATCTTGGGTCTTGAACTGATTCTTCCACTCTGCACTCCTCCACACTTCGACTCAAGTCTCAATATTATCGAAATGGAAAGATCATGTGGAATGACCTGGCTTGATGGCTAGCTCAGAAGAGCAAGAGAGTCATGTATACCAGATCCGCACTCACGCGCACACGATACCTACCCTTCCAGCTATATACTTTGGTATGGGACTCAACTTTCGCAGCTTCTCTTCTTCATGACCCAGCTGGTTCTGTCTGTACCAGACGGTCTATCTGTTCTTTTCCTTCCCCATTTGTTTGTTTGTGTCAACATGACAACGTCACGGTACCCTGCATAAACGAGGTACATGGCTTCGACCATTCAATGATCAAAATTCCGCACAGCCGAGTCCCGGGTAAAATCGGCTTCGTTGTGGACGACCACGCCGCTGGGGGCCGGAGGAGGCTGTGAAAAGTTGCGCAGGACTTTAAGGCGGTCGTCGGCGTGCACAAAGGTTTCCATGGTGTAGATGCCGTCGAACGAGCCATCGAGGAACTCGGTTCAGATTATGATAGTCGCTCAAGCGAACCGAGACACTGTCCTGCAGGCCGACAACCGCGCTGCCACATAGTGCAGCTCAACCGTGAAGATATCGCCTGAAGCCGCGAAATACAATCCGCTGAGGGAAATCAAGTCTTTGACAGGAGCTAACTAAGCAGGTTCTGATATATTCTCCGTCAGGATTGAGGAGGAGCAAAGCCGAAAGCGGCATTTCAGATGTGCTGCCCTCGTGTTGTGCAATGCGAAACTGTGGTCAAGTTTAAACAGCCTCCGAGGGTTGGTGGTGGGCATTGCCAATGGTGTGCGGTCCGCCATATCGCGGGCCGCTCGTTTTAGGCCATGCCATTCTGGGTGCCATTGACGTGGATATAGCCACAAATGTTTCCACCATTCTATTCGGAGGCATTTGGAAGAACCCGAGGACTCGGCGACTACAAAGGGATATTGCAAAGCTAAAGTGTAAGGCCCTTTCGGGCTCTACACTACCAACTATTCCGCACAGCCGTGGGTTGGTGGACATTTGATGAGTCGAACGCTCTTTTGGAATGGCCAGCACGAGACATATAAAGATGATCGAGTTACTTTGTCAATGTCGTTTTCCGTAGTTCAACAATCCGCGAACTCAATTTGATCATCGAATGTTCAGAATGGAAAACAGCCTCGTCGAACTCGATTCCATCGCCATCACAACAATCATCAACGATGAGATCGACCTTATCAGCCCATCTCAACACCCTGACGTCCACCATCCCGGGTGTTTCACAGGTGTCCCATTAGTATCTTGCCAGGGAGAACAAGAATGGACGCACGCTCGTGGCGGTGCCAGTGTGGAGATGAGGATGGACCGAATTTGTTGTGGTGCACATGGACTTTGCCTACTGGTAGTATGTACCCCCCTTATAGCCTCTTACTTCGCTTTACTCGTCTTGATGGCTAAATGTCTACGCAGTCTGCAACAAAAGGTGAAGAGACTCATACGTTGATGTTTGATGCGGGCCCGGAAGCAGAAGCATTTGAGCGTAATGTTAGACGGCTCGGCTTAATCGACGGCAGCGGTGGTGACATTGGCACTGTCGAAACGATACTTCTCTCACATTGGCATCGGGATCATTCTGGCGGTTTACTCAAGGCCATCGAAATGATCAATCGACAGAGAACCCCGGCGCCGCGCCATTCAGCAGGATCGGAACTGGTGGTTGAAATTCCTCCTGAGCGACCTCTCTATCGCGGAATAGCGCACCCGGCTGGTCCAATCTGCCTTGAAGCTGATCCCAGCCCGGAGGAAATCGCTGGAGCAGGAGCCTGCGTCGTTGAGCGCGCAGCTACGGAGACCATTCTGGATGGCTTCTTCGGAGTGACTGGCATGATTCCGAGAAAGACTAGCTACGAAGCCGGGATCTCTGGTGGTCTGAGATTCGAAAAAGCTCATGGATGCGAGCAAGGGACCTGGATCAAGGACGAGGAAATCCATGAAGAAAGGGTTGTTGTGTGTCGACTCAAGGGAAAAGGCCTGGTCGTCTTCACAGGTTGTTCGCATGCCGGCATCGTCAATATCGCCAACCACGTACTAGACACTTTCTCGAACGCTTCGACAAGGCAGCACGATTTCTATGCCTTGGTCGGCGGCTACCATCTGGCGGATGCTTCAGAGTCACGCCTGCAACGTACCTTGACCGACTTGACCGGTCTTGGGCCAAAGCTGCTCATGCCAGGACACTGTACAGGGTGGCGATTCCGAGCACTTCTTGAACAGCAAGACCAAGGGCCGCCCAACGATCAATCTCAGGCAGGGTCCTTGGAAGCCAGATGCTTGAAAGGCCGGACCGTGCCCCTGTTTGCAGGGAACCGATACCAGCTTTCTAGCGTCTAGCCCTAAAGCTGGTTGCTCTGGTGTTCACAGTGATCTCGGGATGATTGGACAGGATCGACGACAAGTCACTAGAGAGTTGATCGTACCTCAAATAGATGCGAAATCATCCTAGTCCGATGTGACGTGTGGCTTCGTGCACTTTATCCAAATGCGTATATCTGGTATAGCGTCCTTTGCCTCACGGTCGAGCTACTGTAGTAAAAGAAAATGCCACAATCAAACGCCCCGAGCACGATACACTTTACTTTTCCTGTCGTGGTGGTAGCAGAATGGGGAGGATGAATCGTCTATAAATCTGATCGTTATCCGTCGTCCTCTCACTGCTGAGTACCAGTCCAACGTCAATTCCCGAATCGACCTACCAATTTTAAGATGCTCTCGACTTCAGAAGGATTCGAATACACGCCAACCCAGGGTTCCAAAGCTGGACTACCTACACAAGCTGTCATCTCTCCTTCTATTTTGGACGCCGACCCATCCATTCTGTACGATGTGATCATCATCGGCGCTGGCTACACGGGGTTGACTGCCGCCCGAGATCTCACAGCTAAAGGTGTCTATGTTCATCATCTATGCCCTGGCTTCGCGATTGGATCCCTCCAAGTTTGAGCTAGCATTGAATCACACCGAGACTGACTTGGTGACGTCTAGGACGAAGCGTTCTTCTCCTCGAAGCTCGTGACCGTATCGGCGGTCGTACATGGACAACCTTGACCGCAGAAGGCGACCGCGTCGATCTCGGAGGGGCATACGTCCATTGGCACCAGCCCTTTGTGTGGTCTGAGATCGTCCGATACGGATTGAAAGACCAGATCAAAGACGCCTACGAGCAGTACGAAGGATCGATTCAGTCTTGTATCATCATTGATGGGGTTCGGAAGGACTTTGACCTCCCTGACATGGTTCGTTTTTTTTTGTCCTCGCACCTTCTTCCACTTGCTAACCATCCATTTGGTGCATAGGACGTATGGCTCGATGGTGCCCTGCAGACCTTCTACAACGCAGACGGAGCACACGCCTCTGAACTCGTCCCGTTTCCACATACCGCCTTGCACGATTTGGAAACAGCCAAGAAGTACGACTCTCTCGGCGTGGCGGACCGTCTGGACCAAGTTCGAGGGACCGTCTCGCAAGAAGCACGACGCGCAGTCGAACTGATCTCCACGCTCATGAGCGGCCCACCAGCCCGGACAGCAAGCTACTACGACCTCCTCCAGCGGTGGGTATTGGGAGGGGCCACGCACGACGCTTACACGTCACACATGGCCCGGTACAAATTGTCGTGCGGGCAGACAGAACTGGCCAAGCACATATTTGACGACGCACTCAATGCTAATAAGTCTCTGAGAGTGAACGACGGTACCACCGCGCTGTCGTCGACGACGTTGTCGTATACCTTCTCCACACCCGTGGAGACGATCGACTATACGAACCCGTCCGAGGGACGTGTACAGACAACAGATGGACGTGTGTTCAGGGCCAGACAAATCATCTGTACAATTCCTCTCACCGTTCTCAAGGACGTTGCATTCGTCCCGACCCTTCCGGAAGGAAAGACCCGAGCTTTTAAGGAGGCCAGGGCAAATAATACGCAGAAAGCATGGATGCAAGCCGAGGGCAAGCAGTGGCGGACATGGGCTGCTCTACGGCAAGAAGGGGACGTCGCGACCATGGTTTCAGGGGACGCTCATTCTGCGTCGCCGGACAATCACACAACAAATCTCGTTTATTTCTCTGGTGGGACTATGTCGCACATGTCGCCCAAGGAGGTCGTCGAGGATGTCCAGTCTCTCCATCCGGATTTGAAAGTTGATCGAATGGTGAGTTGTTTTTTTTTCCCCGGGTCCATGAGATCCAACATATCACTGTCATTACTATCATTGTCGTCACAACCTCTTGACGAATGCCGTTATATTATAGATCTCTACGGACTGGGTGACAGATCCCTACTCCAGGGGAACGTGGTCCCTCTTTTCGCCAGGGTACATGACCACGTACCTCGCCGCGTTACAAGAATCACTGGGGAATCTCAAGTTTGCTAGCTCCGACTATTGCGACGGGTGGAGGGGTTTCATCGACGGGGCCATTGAGGCTGGAATGCTTGTTGCCAGAGAGGTTGACAGGGACCTTGAATCTTAGATGTTAGGAAAAGGAGCAGTCTACGGCATGGACTCGGTAGATGATAGACCAGTTTTATCCTTCGATGACATTATCCTGTTATTGTTAGCTTGTCGATAATCGTAGGTTGTGGTCCAGATGATCATACTATCTCCACTCTCATACACCCATTGGGTGACACCCAAACAATTGAGTCGATTGATAAGCCAAAGGTGGAGTCTCTGCGCCGTCTTGGCATCGCGTGCTCCTTCCTAATGTACCGAAACAGTTAGTAGGGAATACGGCATGCATGTCGAGGCCAGTTGCATGTATTCCGGAAAAGAATGTTTCGAGAGAGATTGCAAGGTCGAATATAATAGAGCAGGGTATGTCTCGCCCAGGATTCCATCATCTTACTTTTTTCTCTTGCAAAGGCTATGCTATGCTCTCTTTCTCTCCCCCTTGATGTCTAAATCTACCCGATATCTATACTAGCTTGCTGTCGGTCTTAATCCTCGAAGTATCTTCACGTATACGAGCAGCTTCTCCATAGGAGGGTGACTAAAACGACGACAACGACAACGACAACATGATTGCCCTCGTCCTTCGACTCATCTTCATTCTCCCATTCGTGATGCTGAAACATATCCAGCCCCGGTATCGAGTCCACCCAAGATACTCGTGGCACCAAGCAACCTTCATCGTCGTCGTTCGGTGGTATCTGGAATACCAAGCACGTTCTCGACCTGTCACACCTCAACCGTTGGGACCACAACCCGGATTTCCAAACGACATCACCATCCACCCCTCGGCCGAAAAGATGTACCTGAGTCCCCTGGACGATGGAGAGATTCGCCCAACCTCGGTGCGCGCAACGTGGTATCCCCGTCCACCACCGCCACCACCGCCACCAGACTCGACGACGTCAACAACATCGAACAATCGATCAAAGGTCATTCTGCACTTCCACGGCGGCGCATACGTCGTGGGGAGCAGCCACCCGACAGATTGCGACTTCATGGCCAAGAAACTCATTCAACACCACGTGGCGCCACACGCTCTCTTCCTCGACTACAGACTCTCGTGTACGCCTCAGGGGCGCTTTCCCGCCGCACTCCAAGATGCCGTGTCCGCGTACGTGCATCTGCTGGGACTGGGATATTCCAGCGACGACGTCATTGTCTCGGGCGACTCCGCGGGCGGTCATCTCGCCATCGGATTCCTGCGATACCTGTCTTGTTATCCGATCCTCAATCTTCCCGAACCCAGGATCGTCCTGCTCTGGAGTCCGTGGATAGATGTTTCCACAGGATACGACGACCCAACCCGAATAACTCGAATGCAGAATTTCAAGACCGACTACATCCCCGTCTCATTCATCACGTGGGGAGCACATGCATTGGTCCCTGAAAACAGCCACATGGTGGACGTCAAGTCCCCTTACATCAGTTTCCTCGGGAACCGGTTCGCCACGAAATCCAGGGTATGGGTCCACGCGGGTGCGTTGGAATTGTTGTACCCCGAGATTGTCGAGTTTGTGGATCAAATGGCCGAGGTCGAGGGGAATGAGATATCTCTGTGTGTTTCGCCATATGCAAACCACGATATTCTCGAAACAGGCCATCTGAATGGATTTGGTGCCGAAGTCGATAGAATTCTGAAGGTCGTGCGAGCCATCGCGCAGGACGAAATGTCGTGAAATTTCATGCAAAATGATAAGGATTAATTTTTACCAGAAAATCACATCTAGCCCATGTTCCTTCAAATCCACATCTTCCCAATACAAGTCTTGATTTCCCTGGATTGCTCTCTTCTCCCACACGAGACGCACGACAGTACACGCGACATTCATGATCTGGAGACCATGGCGCCTTTTGCGATCAAACCAAGAAATCATAAACTCTCGGTGCGCGTTACTTTCACACTCGCTCCCGATCACGATGGCGAACCACGCAGGTAGACACCCGCAGGAGTGGTTGCTTATGTCTTCCATGGCCTGGATGCTGTCTAGGCCCTTTTCGACGGACCTCTGTGCCGCGCACAGTGGCATCTTCAGAAGTCCTCGCTGGAAATATATCAGGGTCGCGCACTCGTAGACATTGCTCAGGTGACGAGCCATGTGCTCCCTCTGGTTCTGGTGGTGGGTGTGGGTCGATTTGAGTTTGGACACGACTTGACTTTGGCAGGAATTCTGTCCGAACATTTGCGTCCTTGATGGCGACAATGACAAGTCACTTTCGTACTCGTGAGTAGGTGGGACTGTGTGTGCGCGTGTCTGTGTCTGTGTAGGTTCGAACAGCGGGCTGTGGCTATCTTTGGGCACCTGCGCCAACACGCGCTTTTCGAGTACCTCGACCTCGTGGAGATCGAGCGGCTGCCAGCCTTGCCGAGCACGACGCCGCAACTCGCTGATGCGAATCATGTTTCGAAACGTCGAATGCTTCATGGCGAAAACTGGAACCGCTTGGTCTTGATCTTCTTCTTGGTCGTCACCGTCATATGTCGATGCTATTTTTAGAGCGGCCAAAGTGTCGGAAGGGACGTCCACGTTCCCCATGACGGCACCGCATAAGAATAAATACGTGATGCTGGGATGAACCCCAGGGTCTGACTGGCCACGAGGATGATCTCGTGTGCATCGACTAGTCAACCATTCGAGCCCGGCGCGAAGATGATGTCGCCACTCTCCTGGCTGGCCTGAGACGGAAAATTTCACCATATAAGATAGTATGGCCATCAATATGCCGTCGAACCCTTCGGCCGCTGTCTGGTCATCTTGAGGTAGGGATATGAAATGTCGAAGGGTTTGAAAGAGGGCTTGCTCATGTTGTAATGCGAGCTTGAGATATCGAGAACTAGGCCCCTTGAGTTGTAGAAGACTATGGGCGGACACGGCACATAATGCGTGGAAGAGAGCGGTGCTACCATTCGGCTTCATAGGCATGTCGCAGACTCCCTTCATTGCCATGGGAAAGGCGACAGTCCAGCAGGGGTTCGAGGCCGTGTCTATTACGATAATGTTCTCCGCGAAGAACGTCATCCAATGGTGGATTAGTTCTCTGCTGCAGCCAGGTAGAATGAGAGCGTCTAGATCACGCAGCATACTGGGCGAGTGATAACCTCCGTGAGGCTCTGGAGACGTGGTGATCTCTCTTCTCGACACTCCTTCAGAGCCCTTTTCAGGACCAGGTTGAGGGTGATTGTTGTCATTAACACCTGTAAGCGCTTGTCCCAGAGGTTTCGAGCTGCGAGACTCTACACGAAATACTGAAAATGGACCAAAGGTTTGGGTAAAGGTAGCTTCATTCGTGGTGGTTTCGAGCGTGTCGAGCATAGCGCTGATGTCGATTGGGGAAACGTTTCGTAGCGCCTCGGTATCTTCCAGCTGTACTGGCACGGCAGGTATGATATGATCCATGAACCTAGTAGAGGAGGAGGAGCTTGTTGCATTGGTATTGGTACTAGTGTTCGTTGCCCATTTCAATCTCAGACTGTATCTGCCACAGGCCATTCCAGACTTGCTGCACCTCTGGCAAAATGGCTTCTTCTCATCACATTTGAGATGGCGCATTCGACAAGGCCAGCACCCCGAGGATGTCTTGGCGTTGTGTCTAGATGTGCTTGTCGTATTTGTACGAACCCGAGTAGGGTGTGAATCATGGGAAGATTTGGGTTCGCCACGTTTGGTGCTGCCCATGGTGTAGCGTTTCGGCACCGTGGATTCAGCCAACAAGTATGCATCCAAACCTATCCCTCAAGAGTACTTCGTCCTGTCAGCACAAGGATGGCTGCTGGGAGTGAATAAACCAAAGGAGGAAAGAAAGGACATTTTGCGATTTGCGATCTGCAAGGGCAACTTCCACTTAGCCTACATGTCGCTGATGAAGCATGGAGGATGTGCCCTCCCTAGCAGTTGCTCCACTTCTGCAAACATGAAAATGGATCGCTCGCGAGGTTTTTCCTAATCGCCTGAAATGGCAAAGCTCATTTCCCTAATATGTATGGTATGACTCACGTGACTTCAGACGGTAGGGGGTGTGACGGTCGAAGGCACACCTACTTGGTACTGTGCCAAGGATTGTAAAGACGCAGCTTCGAGAGCGATCGAAGTCTACCAAGACCGCCAAGTCTATTAGCGTGTCCCTTCAGAGCAATGTACATAAGTTCCTCCGACAAGAATCACAGGGCGGTATGTGGGAGTGTGATGGTGTTTGTGTGTTGCCATTAGCATAACCTGCATTATTCGTGTGGTCCCCGATGAGATTGTGAGTGAGGCTGCTGTCTCGATAATAGGTGGCCGGATCTCCGGGTATGACGAGTGTGTCCGAGATTAGTGCGATAGATCGACTCCTTTCTGAAGGATCGATCGTCCACGCTCACGCTCCAGGAGCATACCTCGCCCTCCGCACCTATTCAGACTGGAATACCTCACGGAGTTGAAAATGTGATTCTTCGAGTGTATATTTTGTTCTGTGAGCTATGTACTAGCCCATCATTTCTGGAGGCAGATTGCCGTCGCTTTCGCAGGGCACGGTCACTTAGGGTGACATTCCTAGATGCAGCAGGTGTCGATTCAGACATAGTCGAATCCATCGTCGGCAGCGATCTCACAGGTCTTTCTCACCTTTTCATTCCCTGCTCTTCTTTCCATGCCTGGTTTGCCGATATCCTGGAAAGATATTTCGTCTTGTCCCTAGATATGCGAAAGAATGGCATAATAGGGTACCCTAGCACCTCCGAAATATTCTAGTTTCCTTTTGTGTACATTGAGCAGGTGCATGCTGTCTTCAGCTGGGGTTGCACGAGATCACTGGGTGACCAGATTTGATGCAAGGTTTTGACAGATTCGGCGTAGATAAGTTCTGGAAGCATTTGGTGAGACCTCTCTGTGGTTCAGGCTGCCGACCAACTCGGGCAAAGCTCGTTGCTGATGTCGTCCGCGAGCTTATGATAAATGCATCAGATACTGTAGCTGTGACAAAACCTGACAGGGATCAACTCCGGCGGAACGCACATCAAGTATAGAGCGGAAATATTGGAAGTGAAATGTCCGAGTCCGGCGCAAAGGTGAGGCTGAAGTGTGTTCTCGGTGGATGTCGGGGATTGGTGCAGAACAAATAATGATGGCGCTGCGGGTGCGGCTGTGGCTGTAGTAGTGACTGCAGGTCTCGCCTGCCTCTTGGAAACGAACCACTTGCATGCTGCCACGGATGACCAATAGCAGTGCACACCCAGGTACCGAGTACAGCCTTCAGGCTGTGTCGAAGAGGAATTGGACGGCTAAAAGGTACAGGAGGTGATGGACCATTCAAACCACTCGAAGGGTTCGAAGAAAACGTGGTTGTGGTGGTATATGTACAGCACAGCCTCCTTTACATACCCGCGCTGGGTAGGGACTTTTCATGTTGGTAGTCCTTTGTACCAAGCTACCCTCGTCCAACGGTTCCTCAAGCGTAGACTTTGGTTCAGCTCATCTTCGTATCGTACATGGGGTAGGCCGAGCAGGGTATATTCACATATTCTGCCTGGTTCATCTCAAAGGGCACTAGATGAAAAGTCGTCTCCATCAGACTCATCTGAAGCTGACTGGGCCAATACCAAGTCTGAACAATATCATTCTTCCTTCCTAAGAGATGCTCGCGCCTCTGCCCAACATGCCTTCTGAACGGCACTCCCATGGCATTGCCTGGCCGAATCTGGTCCGTTGACACACCTCAAAAAGCCTGTTCTTGTCCGATTTTGGGGGTAACAGCCAACTATTGGGGCAAGTCATGTCCATAGATAGAGTCATACGTCCTAGGCTGGGAATAGTTCATGTTTCCCAGCCTGCGATAACCTCACCAATGCAGATCAAGCATAAAAAGGTGCTGCATGTACCATGCTGACAACTATCCATCGAAGACAACGTCAGCCATAGGCCTATCAGGCTGATGGTCTGTAAATCTCGTTGCCAGGTCCAACTCGAGAGCCGCGTATTCGACTGCCGTCACTGAAATCCTGAGGGCGGCTCAAGGCTGCACTAGGGCGGTTTTGACTCTCGTTTTGGGAAGTCATATCCATTCTTTGGCCCTCGTGGGGTGGCCCGGCCTGCCTGGTAGTGTGTCGGAGGATTGGTTCATTGCTGACCCTGATTGTCCGTCTCACCAACTGTGAGAGGCGGATCAGGCGTCCAAGAAGCATGTTTGTAAGGTCCACCAGCCAGTGGATCCTTCAAAAGTTCCGTCTGCAGAAGAATCTGGCAGGCAACTCAAACATCTTCATACATCGACTCACTCTTCACTCGTCCCCGACCGAGCCAGGCGCCTGGGGGAGGTTGTAGCAAGCCGTCTACCTTTTCAGCAATCTGGCCTCTTCTTTGCTCAGCGGCAAGTCGCTCTTCCTGATCCTTTTCTGATTCAACCCGGCCTTTGGCCTCTGCTGCTGCTGCGTAATTACCAGCTCCTCCTCTTCCGGCGTTTCCGGCGGGATATAGATTTTGGCTCTGTGGACTAGGTTTCGCTTGAGCGGGAGATGTGAAACTGGCTGGTAAACTCGGGCTTCGCTGAGGAAATTTCACGTCGGCGACAACATAATTGCCGGCTCCGCCACGCCCAGCAGACAGATACTGGGCTGAGTGCTGGCGCAAGGGCCTCGTATCATGCGTATTGATGCTTTCCAGCCTAGCTGCTGCTTTGCGGCGCTCTGCTAGGGATGCATGTTGTGGTGGCCGATTCGCTTCGAGGTCAATAGGAGAAGTAGATCGAGGGGCGAGTTGGACGTCCGTCTCCCAGGTGAAGTTGCCAGCGCCACCGCGACCAGTCTTCACATAGGGACCATAGGCGGAGGACATGGAGACAGAGGACACAGACGAATGGCCGTCGTCGTGGGAGGAGTACTCGGAGGTAGAATGGGATTCTTCATGGTGTCGAAAGGAAGTGTCAGTGGCCATGGGCGAGACCGACGAAGCGTAGGAGTCGAGCAACCACGACGCCCATGATTGTGTAGCAGCAGCCCAAGACTGCGTGGTCGAGGTCATGTTGTTTATTGCGGAAAGGTGCCAATGATAATGCCTTTTGTGTAATTTTCAGCAATGACGCATTGACGGCTACCACAATAGCAACCGAGAAGGATCAGGATCCCTGGCAAGGAAAAAGGTGGGGGATTTGCTTTCGTTGGCTTCAGACCTGGGAAGACTTGTACTCGTAAGCTCCGATAAACATTGCAGTCTGCAAACTCAATCAATTTTCTTGCCTAAATACACAGGCTTTCCGGGCGAGCCAAATGGCATTCACAAAAAGATTGTGAACAACGGAGGAGGCGCAGGAGGACGAAACCAATAAATTATGGCCAACAGTCGACTTTCGTATTTTCTACTGCTTAGAAGTTCATGACAAGCTCAAAGGTCCGTGGCGCCGGAACGACAATAAAGGGGGGAGTTACAGGCAACCGCAAACACTAACTAGCTGATGGTTTGATTTTAAAAGACCCGAATACGGCTCAAGGCGAGATGAAATTGGGGAGCCACAAACGCCGGAGGGAGAACGACTTGAGCTCGGCTGCGCTTCTCACAGCCTCAGGTCAAAGTCCGACCACAAAATGCGCCTGGTGTGAGAGATAAACCTAGACAGAAACGACGGCTTGGTGAGGGCTGGCACACTGGGTGGTTTACTGAGACAAGATTGAGGTTAGGGAGGTTAGGGTTGGATGTAGGGGGGACCGGGGTTACTCGTAGGTATCGGACTTGTCTTCCAATAGCAGGCAGAGAGGAAAGATAATGATAATAATAATAAATAAGAAGCCCCTTCAGCCTTGTTCGCCTCACGGTGAAGGGAGACAAAAGCGGACATTGGCCGGGATGTTTTGGGGGGAGATTTTACTACTACTGGACTCGGTACTTGGTTGAGGACGAAGCAGCCACTTGTACCTCGTAGTCAGCCACCAACCACCAGTGCCTCAGTGCGTCACCGTGGGAGTTGTGGTTCCTTCGTGCTTGTGCTCGTATCTACCGAGTACAAGTGAGAACGAGGGACTCGACTCTCCCTCTAGGCACATTGCACGTGGCCACCACCTTCCAGGCACCCATGTTTTTCCAGAGCCCACCCCTTTTTCTTGGTCTTCCACCTTGTAACGCGGGGCTCGGCCGGCAAATAATCCATACCGAGTACAAGCTACACACTGTAGGTACATACGACTATGCATACAAGGAGATCCCCTTATTACCTGGTAAGTCATCCCCTCTCGCTGCAAGGTGAACTTAGTCGTGCAGGCTAGGCAGATGAGGAAACCAACAACGAACTCCAATATCACCTATAACCTATCACATTGCAGCACCAAATCAGAGAAACAATGGCTGAGTAAAAAATGTTTTTTTGGGTGGACTTGTGTGTGGTACGATAAGGGGAATTACTACCTCGTTCGCTCGTACTGAGGACTCGTACTGGTCAAGAAGAGATAGGGATAGGGGGCGAAATGATGCTCGGCTGCCGGTCGTTATCAGTTCTCCAGTACTAGATTCTTGGATGTTCGCCGATTTCGGACCCCAGGACAAGGCAATGAACGGCATATCAAGTATGAAATGTTTGGTGGAGTACGCATACAGAGTACTCCGTACCTCATACATTATTATTGACTTGGTTTGCTGAATTCCGGGCTCCTATCCCATCTTTCTCCTCGCATCTTTCGGGAAGGGAGTGTATGTCGTATACAAAAAGACCCCCTCATCTCTTTCTTCCCCTCCCGAACCCGGATCTCGGTTGACTTTCGACGGCAGCTGGATCGAAAAGCTGGGGCAATCTAACCTCCTCGTAAACCGGCCCAGCCGAGGCTTGCCCTTACTTGTAGATAGAGACACAGGTAGAACCCCGCTACCTACGAGTAGTATCGTGTACCCGTTATCCCGTGTAACCGAGTAATCGTGGGCTGTCTCATTACTGTGGTCAAGGGTAAAAGGCACAAGGTTGGATAATTAAATTCCTGGGTGTTTCTTCCGGGAAAATACACTCGATATGACTTTCTGCCGCTCTGCCTGCCTATCCAAGCGCCTAGGGTACCAACGTGTCAATCAGGGTGATCTTTTGCGTTTTGTATCATAGTTGGTGACCTGCTGAATTGTCCGATTGGGGTCCGTTGAAGGATCAGCACCGTGACTGATCGACTGGTTTCGGTGCCACGCGGATGGTCATCGACCGCTATGTAGCATCCATTCTCATTTGCCGGAGTCCAAGCATTCCTGAGTGACAGGCATCGCAAGAGATATTGTACCAGAATACTCGGTACTCTGTTCCAGCATTATTCAAACAGGGGTCTGCGTGTCTGCGTGGACTTGTGGGCAGCTAAGAAGGCCCCAGGCCAATGCTAGGACTAATCCGTTTGGCCACCCCATGTTTCCCGCGTCCGTGCCGTTCCCAGGTCGTCTGAATGATGACGAAACCGGCCTGACCAGTGCCGCCGCTGACTTTGACGAGCAGGAAAAATATTATGCTTCTTGACAAAATGGGCCGCGGGGCCACGGGTTGAAGCCGCATCTTGCGCAAGCCATGCATTAACTGTACGAGGTACTCGTAACAAAAGTAATTCACCAGTTGGCAGCCGATGACGGCATCTGGGATTCGGATGGTGCGTGGTTTTGTGGCCGTGGACCACTGGCATCAGGCGACCTCGCCTGACGGCTCGGAAGTCGCCCCCAAGGCCCAAGGATTGGCCTGTAAGAATCCCAAACCGTACCTGGCACCTGCTTGTTGTGCACAGTTCGCATGGCGGTTTGGTGGTTTGGGGCATGGCTGCCAGGACTTTGATCTTATCGCTGGTTCGACCATTTCCTTGTCATTTGGTCCCCCACAAGCTCCCCTAAGAAGCCATGGTGCCCTGCCGGCGAACTGCCTATTGCCTGCTAGTGCCGTCCTTGTTGCACTAGTTATCATACCCAATGACACGTCTGTCGCCAACCTGGGGGCAATGGCGACAATGCCTATTCCTTGTCCAGGCCATGCCAATCAGTAACTCTCTCCATACCGCGAAGCGGGCATGGTGATTCGCGGAGTCGCAGTTACAGGTCGATGCCTCGAGCGCAAGAATAATGAGAAGCGCCCATCGATGCCCCGAGTATCCATAGTGTTTTATTTTTTTCTCCCCCCTTGAACACAACCCTACCCGCGCGAGGCCCCCAAGTACATGTTGCGGACACGGATCCAGGGGAGGTCCGGTTTACCCCTCTCTTTCTCTGGGACTTCAGAAGACGGGCATCCGATCTTCTTGATTTGTAGTCGCGGTGGGTCACCGTTTGTACCGTGTCTGGTCGGCCCAGGGTTTTGGAGAGTTCAAAGGGGGGAAGACGAGGAGCGCTGCGGTTGTCGAGCCCTTTGGGGCGGCACGGGGGGTTGAAGCCAGTCAATTTTTAGTCAGGTACGGAGCGAGGAGCTGATGGCGCATTTTAGCCCATCAGCCCTGGCTTGCCTGACCCATGACCTTGAGTAGTGCATGACTTGATCAGGACCATGCTCTTTTCAGCTTGTTGCCCCATCTTTTCCCATGGCTCCATGTCCATGCCCCATGCCCACAAGTGTGTGATCTGTCGCCATCAATCGCAAAGAGCTGATCAATTCCCAAAAATCATGGCTGTGTTGTCCCCTCCCCATTTCCCCCCCTTTTGTCGCCCTTTCCCTTTGCCTTTTGATCTGTTTTGTTTTTCTTTGCTTTTCTTTGTCTCGGTAACGCGTAACGTGGATCCGTAGAGAGGGCGCCAGAGCAGGAAACAATTTCTTCAACCGCCCGTGCTGCTGAAACAGATACCAGTGAACTGGTCTAGAGTTCGGTGCGATTAATTTCCTGCTGCGAGCTTGAGACGCTTAGGCCCAGGCACGGGCGACCCCGCAGCAGGTGTGGCAGAAGCAAGGGACGCGGTCAGCCAGTCAAACACAAGGCCAGGAGAGGAGAAACCCAAAGAATAGTATCAGCACGAGGATACTCAAATCGGCACGATCAGCAGGTCCGTCAGAGAAGGAACAGAAAAAAAAAGACAGAAGAGAGACGGCCATCTGCCTGACTATTCACCATCATCCTTTCTTACACGCCCGAACCTCTTCTTTCTCTCAAACTAATCTGACCTGTTGTGTCTTTGGATATTTCTTGACTCCCACGTTCAAGTCAAGTCTGGCCGGGCTTTGGTTGTGCCAGCACCGCTCGGCCGTCTCCCAACCTGAATTGCGCGCCCACACGCCACAGGCTGCGATCCTCGATCGACGAACCACGAATCCACCCGCCAGCAAATCCCGAACCTGAACCTGAATTCCTAATAAAAGTCTCCCCCCAAACTTGACAAGAACTATTCCGCCCGTCGGTCCACGCTGCTCCCACAGTTCACGGGTCCAGGCCACACATTTTCCCACAACTTGACTTCCTGTACCAGAGTTCAACCACCTTGTTCCATCCACGGATTGTTTCAATAGATTTTTGTCTTCTCGATAGAACAGTCCACCGTGACAACTGCATCGCCGCCGACTTGCAGCGGATATTTTGATTCCAGCTGCAGTTGCCCACCCCCTCGCGCTCCTCAATCCTCTGATTTCTCGGGCATTCCGAACCCCACAAGACGCACACACACACACAACACCACCCTCTCACCTCACTTGGCTGCTGTTCTTTCTTGACGACTCTCAAGTCTCAAGACTGCCTCCAGTTTTGAGCTCGAGAGTCGTCTGATTTCAGGAACTTGACATTATTTCGACATGGCCTCCTCCAAGGTGAGCAAATGGCTCGGCCCATTCTCGACCCCGTGCTTGTGCTGACCTGGGTTCAAAAACAAAGGAACAACCGAGTTCTCGACCTGCCTCCGGCAGCTTTTCCTCCCGTCACCCTCCTGCCTCTGCCAGACAACACTCTCATTCCGTTTCACTGTCGGCTACAAATCCTTCCCATCGAGTAAACAGGAGGAAGAGTGTGAACGCAGGTGCCTCGACAACTGCACAGGCAGCGATTGCCGCGGCGTTGAGGGACCAGGGCGATCTCCCTGGTGTCCCGGTCCTGAGCCACCGCCGAAGCACAAGTTCGAGAAAGATGACGGAACCACACTCGATGAGTGCTCGGCCCAGCATGCATTCGTACTTTAACGGCCCCCCTGGCACAGCTGCCGCCGGTGACAACGATGCAGTCGAGGACAATTCCAACGATGAGGATACCCAAGCCTCATCTAAGAACCTCAAGAATCGGAACCGGCGAGCAAGTGAAGGATCACACCTCATCAAGGGCGAGGGCAAAAAGTCGGCTATTGAATTGAGGTGCGATACTTGTGGCAAGGGCTACAAACACAGCAGCTGTCTCACCAAGCACCTGTACGTAACTCCTGTGGTTCCTCTTATGTGTGGCTGACGCCGTTGATCTTAGCTGGGAACATGATCCCGCATGGGCAATCACGTCCAAGTTGCTCATTTCCAAGCATCAGCAGGTTCAGCTGCTTGAGGCTGCTTCGGTGTTGTGTAACATGACTGCGGAGAATTTGTCAGCTGGACAATCCGAGATTGAAATCGCTGCGATCGATCCAAGCGAAGATTCATCTGCATCTCCCGGGTTCTCCTCGTCCGAAATGCAAGACGAACTCAGCTCGGTCGAGACCACCCCTCCCCCCATGAGTGAGGCGGCGTACCCCGTGCCGGACTCGAAAAGGTTCAGCACGGGCAGCACTGGCTTCTCGCGGTCGTACAGATCTATTCCATCGAGCTCGTACGCCGAGAGCTTTCATTCACCGGGACTGCCACCTCATCGACTCTCTGGGGTAGACTTCCGCCCCAGCACGTCTGGGACTGACGATGGCACGCTGGCGGCTGCGACGGCAGGTCTCACGTTCAGCAGCGGAACTCCTCGTACCAAGCCTACTTATCTAGGCGCCGATGTGCCCCCTGTACCACCATTGCCACAACAATACCAATCTTTCAACAGCAAATCATCCGACAGTACATTGACAGCTATATATAATCCGTTGTTGCAGATGCACCCGCCTGCGTTGACGCAAAACCTTTCGGACGAGCGCAACTACCGGGACGGGAGTGATGACAGGGATGTCCAGATGGACGATGAAGAGATGTTCAGGATGGATCAATAACGCGGTGCAGCGAAGCCAACGCCGCGGGGCTAATCACATCCATCCGCTCCTTTTTATGACCCGTATTTTCCTACTTTTTATTTGGCCACATGCTTGGGGCACTTGCTTACTCAATTGTACGTATTTGATTCCGACATACAACCGACAACAACTTCTCCATCTGGACTTGTCGAGGGAACGCCCGTCTAGTCCACCATGACAAATCAGCTGCTAGGACAGTTTACGACAGGAAGACGACGGTTCTTGGGTTGCACCATTGGAGGACATGTTTCAACATGACGAAAACATTGGAGGCTCAAGGCTACTGGAACTATTATACTTTTTTCCCATTGTTGGAGAAGAAAACTATATAACTTCTGTGCTCCGCGGACAGATCCTGAAAACACCGATGAGTCGACTCTTGCAGACGCTACGAAGTCGACGAGGTTAAAGTGAGTGGGACTGTCCTGCACGATGCGTTGAGCAGGATACAATATTACTATAACGAAATGGATTTCTTTGTATGCAACACCCGACCTGGGCATGGCTTGCCTATTTCTACCCTTTCCGTGTCTGGCAGAAGATGTCTCTCTAACTGAGGAACTCTTGTGGTGTGGGATCCCTTTTTCCTAGTTGGAGCAGCACTATTTTCCAGGATTTATTTGTGTTGAGGAGATATCGCGTGTTCTTTTGAGAGCGTGTCGCAAACATCCCCGCGATTTCGATCGGCAGGATTGACCTTTGACTAATGGAATAGTGTCGTGATTGACGATGAACTCGAGGTACAGATGGATGTATCGGTGGGCAAACGCTGATCAGGGGCAACTAACTTTGGCGCTTCGAAGGATGGAGAACCCCTGGACCAAGACAGGGAGGCAATGAAGATCTTTCAGGTCCCTCTATTTTGGGGTCTTTGCTTCCTGATCCTTTGAGGTGGGAGCCCAGTGATGTGACCATGTCATGCATTAGGGCTAGTGGTAAGTTGATCGATCGCTGCGCTGGACGCTACAGATCAAGGTTATATCTACATGGACTAGGCGGTGGTATCTGGCCCTTTTGAAGGAGAATACTTGTTAATATCAGCCAATCTAGCCTGAATGTGTCAGGAACCAGCTAACTAACGAGATGGTGAAAGGGCAAGGATTTCTTACTGAGGGAGTCAAGCTCAGGTGCGCAGAACGACAATCTTTCCCTGAGTGGTGATGGATTTCTCGGTCGGTAATCGGAAGATCTGCATCTGAATTAACAAGTACAGGCGAACGGAATTGGACCGAGGTCATTTTCATTGCAATGCAATGGCATGATAAGGATGAGCTGGGAAGCTGGAGAGTAATTGTAGTTGACATGTAAATGTTCTATACAACAAATACGTGGTGGTCGGGAACGGGTTAGATAGTAGATACCTAGATATTAGAGCCCGATACCACCGCTGGAAAAGTACCTAGGTAGTATTACACACACGCATTAATTCCTGCTTGGTCGTCTTGGGAGAATCAATATCTCTCACATCTTCGCGTCATTTTCATCTGTCCTCTCCCTCTCCACAAGCCGCATCTCTCGACACGAGTCGGTCACCTCTACCATTGACTCAGGTATTCGACGGGTGTGCTTTCCCCCCGCAGCCTCGTCGCCTATCACCTCGGAACCTTTGCCCGGTTTTGCCTCTCACCATTGACTGCCTGCCGTCACCACCGCGCGATAGATAGATAGAAGCAATAGATTCACGGTCCATCCGCCATCCACGGTCCGGCCGCACCTCTCTTATCTGGAGCACAGAGTATTCCTTACACACCAAATTTCCTCTAGAGCATCCACCATTTTTGTTCGCCCCTTTTCGTCAGTCGGTCGTATCGCTAGCTGGATCGAAATGCCACTGACGGCGGCCGAAATCATCGCCCACCCGGCCTTTGATACCGTCGAATGGCACCTCGAACCCGCGAGGTCCGGGTACTGCGATGTGGCCAGGGCGAGGCACGGTGGGCCGTTCAAGCTGTACTGGGAGATTCATGGCCAGGGGGATATTAAGCTGGTGGTACGCATGTCTCCTATCTCTTGATTTTTTTTGTCTTCTTCTTCTTCTTCTTCTTCTTCTTCTTCTTCTTTCTTCTTGTGATTCGTGTTTGGTGGCGTCGCTTTGGGCGGTGATGAGGATGAGGATAAGGATGAGTGAGGGGTTTGAGGTTCGTGTTGGATACCTAGTATGCTAGCGAGAGGCGGTCAAGAGACTCTGGGGAGGTGTGAGAATTGTGGTGGGAGTCTGGTCAACTTCAACTTGAGACTTTCGTGGGGAAGAGAAAGGAAACTTGAGGTTCTCTTGTCAAGTGCAGGGGAGTGGACTGTCTTGGATACGGAGAGGCGCGTGCCTTCGCCTATCCCTGCTTGTCAACGCTCAACCTATACATTTCCTATCTCACTCCAAACCCTTCTGACCATCTTCCTTCACAGTGGATCATGGGCCTCGCCGCCTACCGCACAGCCTGGAAGCGACAGACCAAGTACTTTGGACATGACCGGTCGGACAAGTACTCGTGCTTGGTGTTTGACAACCGCGGAATGGGTCTCAGCGACAAGCCTTCGTGTCGATATTCCACGTCCGAGATGGCCCGCGATGTGATTGACATGCTCGAACACGTGGGCTGGTTATCACCCTCCTCGACTACATCTCCCCATCACGTCGCACGGGCACATGCACACGCACACGAACCAGCGAAAACGATGGACACCGTCCCGCCTCCCAAACGAGACCTACACTTCATCGGCGTCAGTATGGGCGGGATGATTTCGCAAGAAGTGTCGCTGCTGATCCCCCACCACGTGGCTTCGCTCTCGCTGATATCGACGGCGCCGCGCCTCGTGCGCACCGTGCCCTTTATCCAGAACCTGCGGCAGCGGATCAACATGTTCATCCCGCGCGACATTGACGTGCAGCTGGACGAGATCGCGCACCGCCTCTTCTCGGACGAGTTCCTGGCCCTGCCGGATACGGAGTACCCGGACGACCCGACGCGCAATTTTCCGACGAACCGCGACCGCTTTGCCGCCGGCGAGCTGCAGAAGCGCATGGACCGCCACGGTTTCACCAAGAAGGGCTTCGTGCTCCAGGCTATCGCTGCAGGGTGGCATCACAAGTCGGCCCAGCAGATCCGCGCCCTGGGCGACGTGGTTGGTCGAAGTAGGATCGCTGTCGTCCACGGCACTAGCGACCGCATGATCGATTTCCATCACTTTGAATTGTTGCGCGCCGAGTTGTCCCTCGAAGAAGAAGTGGGCGCCAACACTGATGGCTCAGAATCTTCTTCGGGACCTGGATCCTGTACATTCAAGGTCTGGGAAGGCAAAGGCCACGTCCTGGTCTGGGAGGTCGAAGACGAATTCAATCGCTTTCTGGAGCACCACTTCGACACGTGCGCCAATATCGAGGGATAGGGTTGAATAACCAACCAAATGGCTTGTACCAGGAGCAAGACAAATACCGCACTGCCTCTCGATATTGTCCATTTCCAGCCTTTTTGCTTTGATACTCCTCGGTCAATGTGTGAATATGCGGAGGTATCGCATCACCAACATGACCGGCATTCGGCACAGGAGGTGCACAGATGTAGCCAGAGGTCGTTATCGACTACCCAACTCAACCGTACCAACCTAACCCAACCCAGAACCAGCGTCAATATTGGGTCCACCATGGATAATAAATACCGCCGCACAAGCAGTCAAATGGGAAAGAGCGAAATCCAGGAACCACACCAGAGCACACCCGTCCCAGACAGCCAGAATAGAATAGAATACAACGAAGCATCAGCGCGGGAGGGAGAGAGAAAAGAACGGGGTTCCTTGGACAGCCTGGTCTTTTCACAAGCTTTTTCGCCTGGGTTAGATTTTCAAATTGACGTGTGGATACATATGGAGATATGAGGATGAGGAGGTAGATATATGGCATAAATGGAAAAGGTGTACAGTAGCGAAGGACCAGGACCGAATTTGATGCGTACGATAGTGGTGGTGTATGTATGTATGTATGTGTACATGTATATATGTGCTGGCTGGGTCGAGGAGGAGCGTGCTACCTATGTAGGTAGACAATCTGATACACAGTGAGTGATTGACAGAAAGACTTGTTGAAGACAAGGCAGGACAGGACAGGACAGGACAGGACGGGATGAGGCACGATCTGGAACTTTCAGATTCTCCATCTGTCTTCCTTCTCTGGTCGCTATACACAGACTCTGTTCCTCTTTCTCCTCTTTCTCCTATGACCCCTTCGCCTATCCTGTCTCGTCTCGAGCGGAGATATATACGTACACACATCCATACACAGTCTCTGTTGTACAAAGTTTTCCCACTTCCCGGATATGTCAAGTGATGGCGACAAAGACGGGGCCAAAAAAACCAGATTCGTCACTGCAGATGCAGATGTGAGATCCTCGTGGTGCTGCAATAGCGCCCGTAAACTAACGCCGTGCTGTTTTCTTCTTATCCAGCTCGATCGAGAGAAAAAGAAAGCCCCAAATAACCGATTGAAACGCCCGCGCTATGCTCCGGCCATGAATTGCCACACAACCCGACCTCTCCTACCAAGGATTGTGGAGGGACGTCCACCGCAAGGACATATTAACTTGCTCGCCACCGTCACCGTCTTCTGCTCGAACATCTTCTGGCTTGATGTGCTTTTGCGCAAGTGATAGCGATAATCACCATCGTTCATTATCATCATCACCCATTCCGCTCCAGAAACTCCTTGGCCTCATTGACCTTGCTGGCCAGGTACGGACTGCCCCCCCGGTCCGGGTGGTTCGACAGCATCAGCGCGCGGTGGTTCTTCCGGATCTTGTCCTTGGTGAGGGTCCGCTCGCTGAGGTCGAGGATGAGCGACGCCTCGCGCTTCGTCATCTTGGGTTCGAACCCGCCCTTGTAGAACGGCCGGCCGAGCGCGTTCAGGCCGTTGGGGTTGCGCCAGCGGCGGAAGGCGACGAGGCCGGCGCGGCCCTGTGATACATCGTTAGTTATGCTGACGGCCTAGGAATGGAGAAAGGAAGTCAAAGGGAATGAGGGAGAACGTACGAAAAAGGCGGCGGCGGCAACTCCCACGCCGATGGCGAGTGTCGAGGCCATTTTCTCGCTGCGATCAGGAAGGTAGGTTGATGATGAGGGCGTTCTCTTCTGGAGACAATTGGATGGAGCTCGTCGGAGGGAACGATGTGAGTCCGGGTACAGGTTGTGTCGTGGTGAGAAACAGAACTGAGCGTCTTCGCCAACAGCTAAAGCAGAGATCTGCGACGTCGACAAGTCTGCTCTAGAACGAAAAAGATTCGCTTTCTACAGAGCCGGCTGGCTTTCCGAGTCTGGAATTTCCGAAGGTGGTGGGTTTTCTGGATTTGACAAGTATAGCGAGACATGTTAGTGCGGAGCATTTGAGTCGCTGGCGAAGAACAATGAGGGGGAATCTATGCTCCGCCGTTGTTGGTCTTCCGCATGTTGAGGGCTGTGCGCTGCACATCAACCTGATCTAGGTATGTTATTGCTATAGGTATGTCCTGGCTATACCAGGTAGTGAAAGGTCAGTACAATTCATCGTCCAGGACAACTAGTATCTGAGACAGATAAAAGATTTCTTCCTCTTTGAGTGAACAAACGTCTGGAGTCTAGCCCATCTATCACGCATTATCCGCTCTATTGCCTAGAACCCGTTCACAAAGACCGAATGTTTTGTTCAGAGCCATTTTGGGAGAGACACTAGGAGGACAGGAGGTGTCCGATTTCTAATCGATTGGTCGGAGCTCGGCCCATGGAAAAAGAACCCATACAGATAGAGCGTGAGAGTCTTGGTGAGTTTGTCTCCTTTCAACCCTCCTGGCGACCTTCGCATGTCGCTACGGGTCCGGTGTACATGCGACGGGCACTCAGGACCCAGTTGACGGCCGAGATAAACATGACGCCCACAAACAGGACGACGGCCCAATTCATCTGTACCAGCAAAAAGTGGGGACATGTTAGCGCTCGCTCTCGTATGGCCGTGGATAGAAGCAGACAAAAGGGGGGGGAGGGGGGCAATGATTTGTCCTTGCTTACATCTTCTGCATTGGGCTTCCAGTAGATGGGCCAGAACGCCCAGAAGAAAGCGTAGATGGCATAAGTGAGGCCGATCCCGTTGACCAGGATCCCCCACTTTCCCAGACTCCAAAACACGGGGGGCAGAGTCTCGGGGAGCGAGATGCGGCGCCAGAGGACGCATGCGATGCTGATAGCGTACGTCGCCATTAGTGCCACGATTGCCAAACTGATGATGGCATTGAATGCGACGGGGCTGCCCAGGTAGATCAGACTCATCACCACCGTGTAGCCCCAGGTCACGAAGCAGGCATTGGCCGCGACGTTGAGGTTGGGGTTGACTTTCTTCATCCAGGTCGGGAACGGCATGCCGTCATCTCGGGCAAAGGCGAAAAGTTGTCGAGATGTCGAGGCAAAGCAGCTGGTCGCTATCATAAAGACCAAGATCTTCAGGTGGACATGAACTTAGCAGACTGTGGGCAATCTTGGGAGAGACGCGCACAGGGGCTGGGCACCTGCGCAGATTTGTGGAAAACTTACAAACATGATGGAGGTGATGGCCTGAGCACCCGCCGTGCTAAGAGAGTTTTGCAGTATCCATACAAACGGAAATGCCTCGGTGGTAGCGGTGGCAACGTCGGTCATGCCAAACAGGAACACAATCAGCATGGCGAAAGCGAGGGGAATGTTGAACATGTACGCCCAGAACATTGTCTTTGGCGTCACCACGCTGGCATTCTTGACTTCTTCCGCTGCATTGCCCATCAGTGAGTGCTTCATTAACCAGGACTGGGGTAAGGGCATTGCACTTACAGAGATGGGCAACAGCATCAGAGGCTAGGACGTTCCACATGGCAGGTACCTGACCAACCATGACTGCTAAGCCCACTGCAGACTCCTGTCAGCTAGACATCCGAAACATTGACTCATTCAAAGTCTCAGTGCAGGGTACACAAAGGTCATGAACTTGTCCGTGCGAGGTCGAGACCTACTCAGGGGATAATTGCCGCCATTGTCCGAAAATGTGAGAAAGACTTCCTTTGCGTCGTTCTTGGGGGAGGCGACGGCGACCGTGATGAGAACAATAAAGAACCCTGCCACGTGGAGACCCACGAACACATTCTCCAACAGTGCCAGCTTCTTTGCACCCCAAACGTTGATTGCGGTGACCAGAGTGCCAATCAGAATACTCAGCAGAGCAGTGTACCAGTTCTTAATGTCAAAGTCTGGGTTTTTCAGTTGAACCAGAGCCATGACAAGCTGGGCACCAAACATCGAGTCGGAGGCGACAAAGGATTGCCAGCAGAGAGAGCTGAGCCAGCCGGAAGTGTAGCTGAGAACCTTTTGGTAGCGTCTCGAGGCGAATTCGCTGACCCAGTGATATTGTCCGCCCGCTGTAGGTGCCATTGATGCCATCTCAGCGAGGCTCAGGACAATGAAGAATTGACCTGTGATGACCCATGTGTAACTCCAGAACATGGCAGCGGTCCCTCCATCGACAAGCATTTGGAAATTGTTCAACGCGACAAACTCCGTGCAGCAATCGTTAGTGTCAGAGCGCATGGAAAGGGATCGTGGAGAGACATATCAAGTGCCCATCGTGCAAGACGTGAAACCAACGCTGCTGATCCAGTTGAAATTCCGCTTAAACTCCTGCTTCTTGCCCATTCTCGCCATATCCCTTTCATCTTGGTCGATGGCATCGCTACTATTGTCACTGCCAACTACCTCGGCCGAGTAGAGGCCTTCTTTCTTCGGTAGGCTCTCGTCCAAAGTCGCCATTGTCGAGGCGCAGAGTCAGAAGTACAAGCAAAGGAAGGGATGTGAGAACAACGAGGGCTGGGACGGAGTCAAGACTTGAGCCAATATCGTGGACAAAGGGCAATGATGGTCAACACAGTCTAGGCCTTGAGCACCCATGCCTTCGCGGAGTAATATGCATGCTTCAACAATACCAGAACATAAGCTTTCATGGCTGCTCATAGTGGTAAGCCTTGAAAGATAAGGATTCGGGACATGTCCGCAGGGGCGATCGTGGACCAATTGATCTTGAGCCTCGCTAGCTGGGCTTGAGATAAACGTCCAAGTTGGATGCGACAAACCATGCCAGTTTCACGAAACAGCGCGCAGATAGCATCAAGCAAAGCCAAAATAAACTTACAGTGGTCTAGGAAGCTTACTCGTGCCAGGGAATCTTAACCCATTCGAGTGAGGCTGCCAACGGAATTCTCCACTGCCATTGCCAGTAGGACGTGAGTGATTTCGGTTGCGGTGTGACCTCGATGTTGCTTGAGGTGTCTCTCATTTTGACCGCCAAACTTCGTCGAAGCAGCAGGCGGACATGATCGCTGTCCGGCACAATGGAGGCTTGGGCCGCCACGTGGTATGAAAACAGTCGGCACCCCGTATTCTGTCAACTAGTTGCATGGTACATCCTCGTTTCGAAGGGTGGTGTAGCACTAAGGCATTCACAGCCAAGTGCCGTGATTCAGTGTCAAGACTAGGAAATTCACGCCAGCGCCATTGCCTCAGGCCGCCCTCCATCTCGCTCGATATTCTCGAGACGTGGTGTTCCACCGCAAGATCTCGCAAAGGGGCCTCCCACGCCGGTCGATTGGCGGGAATGGCAATCTCACAGAACGAGTGCCTGGATAACGAGCCGGCAGCATGCTCAGGAGCGGTATCTTGCACGGCACAGGATAGCGTGTTGTCATGAGCAGGGCCTTTGGAAGATTGCAATCTGATCTCAACCGCTATAGGGAATCAGTCTTGCTGACACCGATGCTGAAGTACGGTCCCATGTTACCAGCAGGGACATACCCCTAACAGACCATAGCCGAAGCCACTTCCTGATAGAACACGAGTCAGATTTGTCTGAGCAGGGGGTCTGACTTGATGGAATGCCAAGGGGAGCGGGCGACCCGTGTAGCCGGGTCGGTGATCAGGTTGTAACTTGTGCATGGCCCTTGGATCTAGACTGAACCGGAGATGTGCATTTTGTCTCTGCATGAAGAGATTACCGCAGTTCCAGAACTCGGCGCGCCGCCTGGGCGAGAGTGTTCGTGCTTGCGACCAGGGGATCTTTTGACGCATGAGAATCTTGATTTGAGCAGATTCTGCAGGTCATGAAGAGACTGCGCATCCTTACATATCAATTCTAGTCTGCTCAGTCTTCGACCTGATGCTACCCGCAACCTGTGGCTAGCTGCGCGAGGCTGCGCCCCGAGATTTCTCTGATACCTTTGTGCCTGCGCCACTCATTCTGCGCCGAATGTCCTCTTCTGTCCGTCTTGATTTTTTGAGGAGTTCAGCAGATATCCCGTTGGCAGGCACTTGGATGCTAAACTTCGTGTAGGTGTTTTTTTGCTCCAATTGGTGGGCCGAACGAAGCTGTGATGTTGCCAGGAATCGGAGATCCTTTCATGCAGATCTCAGTCGGAAGACCAGATCACAGACGATGCTCAAATATTCCGAATGACAACATGTGGAGTGGTTTTCTGAAATGAAGAGGACAATCCCAAAGAAGCAGAAGAAATGACGAGGCGATCAACAGTCATGCTCATGTCATTCGCCTGCGCCAAGCCCCAGATTCCCAGCCGAGGCACAAGCCACAAATCTGGGGAAAGCCATGTGCTGTGCGTGTAGCAAATGGGTGTATTTTGTATTTTGTAAACACGATGGCTTTAGAAGAGAACGGAGATGAGGAGGAGAAGGTGGTGCTGGTGTCTGTCTCCGCCTTTAGGCGACCCTTGTTGCCATCTCCGCAACATAAAACACCACCCGTTGCGCAACGACTTGTCTCTGAACTCAGCACCAACTGCTCCTGACCAGCTACAAGCATCTCCTCCCCTCCCATCTCTCCACGGCTTTCATGTCTTCGGCCGACCCTCTCCAGGTTATTGTGGTTGGAGGTGGCATCGCAGGGCTGTGTACAGCCATTGGACTGCGTCGTGCTGGCCACCATGTCCGCCTCTTTGAACGAGCGCCGACCGCCACAGCTTTCGGGGCCGGAGTAGTGATCGGCTACAATGCCTCCAAGGTCCTTACCTCATGGGAACTGGACTACGAGAAGTACCACATCAACGTTGCCGAGACGTTCAAAATGGTCAAGGGCGACACGTTCGAGGAGATAATGAGTTTCCCTCCAGGTCTATACGAGAAACTCGCGGGTGGGAGCCGACAATACTACGCCCATCGCATCGACCTCCAACAGGCCTTACTCGGCCTCGCAACTCAGCAAGATGCGCTCGGAAAGCCCGTGACCATCACATACTCTGCTGATGTTGTAGCCTACGATCCTGAGGAAGGAAGCATTACGCTCAGAGACGGTACCACACACAAGGCGGATCTGGTCGTTGCAGCTGACGGCGTGCACTCCCTTGCGCCGCACTATCTGCTCGGCTCGGGCGCCCCGTCGTACGACATCTCTCACACAGGCACCACAATCATTCGTTTCATGCTTCCCTCTTCTGCCATACTTTCCGATCCGCAGACTGCTCACCTCATTTCCTCCTCTGGACAATTTACCTGGTTCGTCCACCCAGACCGCAATCGCTGGCTCTTGCAATATCCCGTCCGGGACAACAGTGAGATCAACTACGGTATGTATTCCCGCGTGACGGCCAACGAACAGGTTATCGAGCAGGTGTCCCGATTTAAATGCAACCGCGAGAGTCTGCGTCGTGAACTCGAAGGGTTCCATCCCGACATTGGAAAGCTTGCGGACAAAACGAGTGAGATTCTGCCGGTATGGAAGCTGGCCGAGAGACCGCCCCTTCCGACGTGGTTCAAAGGGAGGCTGGTGGTGGTGGGCGACGCGGCTCATCCAATGCTCCCGAATCAGGGTCAGGGTGCCGGCATGTGTATCGAGGACGCGGGCGCCTTGGGCACCCTGTTCACCCAGATGCGCGAAAACAGTCTAGGAAGCATCACCAAGAGGCTGGAGCTGTTCTTCAACTTGCGACACCCACGAGCTTCGGCGGTGCAGTTGATCAGTCACTGTCCGTACTTCGAGGACGCCGTGGGGATCATGTGGGACGAACTGATCAAGGTGGCGAAACCGCAAGACTTGCCCCGGGTCAACGACAGGAACAATATCAGAGAGTGGCTGTTTGCCTATGACGTGAATTCTGAAGCAGAAAAGGCTCTTGAGGCACGAATGCGTTCGTAGCGCTAGAGCAACACTGTCGTCTGCTGGAAGAGTCCAGCCAGACGGAGCACCATAGCGATGGTGGGATTATCTTTTGATATGACAGACACACATCTTGGAAACAAAGGGATTTCCGTACAGGAGAGTCATGACTACCATCCCATCAAGAGAAACGTGGAGAGAGGATTAACTTTTACATCCCCACTATGTAAGCTGTACCTCGTAGATAGTATGGAATGAGGGCCCCCACCCCCCCTTTTCTTGTATAGTCGTTTCAGCCTCGCTGCCCACTCTCCCACCTCCCCGACTTTGCCAGGTCCTAAAGCGGCGCCATTCATACCTTACTCCCGAGTCCCTACCTACATAGGTACCTAAGTATGTCCCACTTTCTTTCCTTTCCATAAACTTGTTCGTGGCTCTTGAGCCCCAAAGCGTAAGTTTACAATGTCCGAGAAGAGGAAAAAAACCACGTAGAAAACAAAAGGGGACCGGAAAAAAAAATATAATATACAACTGTCGAAGAGGTAATGTGCTTTGACCGTGCATGACCCAGCAAAGGCTGTGTATAGGGGGGACTCTGTACGAGGTTCTCGGTATATAGAGCGCGGCTGTGGTACGGGAGAGGGGTCGATCAGGGTAGTACCGTAGTGGTAGGAATGGCAAGGGTGGATAGATACATACATATATATATAGAGAGAGAGAGTAGAGAGAATACAGGATCCGCTTTCAGATGGAGAAGCATTCAATACCAGCATCAGCCAGTCTCTCGAAGAGTTCCTGCATAGAAAGAAAGATTGATTGATTGATTGATTGATTGATTGATTGATTGATTGATTGATTGATTGATTGATTGATCGCGTGAAACAAGAAAGACTGTCCACCCAGCCTCACTCCCGCCCCCAACGTGTATGTTGTGTCATTCTGGGTGTTATATCCGGATGAGCAAGTTTCCCAGCTGTCCGGGGCCCAGTCAAACCTGGAGGCTTGCATGCCGGAAAAAGAAAAATTCCTAATTATTACTCGGTAGCCCCTGCAAGGTCCCTGCCTACATGCTGTCGATCTTGGGTTTTTCGGACAATTTTCTTGTTCTTCTTTTCTCTCTCCCTCCTCCCTTAAAACAAGACCATGCCCGCCATGTCACTCTTGGCCATCGGCGTTCCTTTAGTCGGTTTCAGGACGCCTTTGAGCCCTCTGTCCAAGAAACTCTTCGACATCGACCTTTGACGCGGGGATCGTGTCCTGCCCAACGACCTGGTAGTAGCCTCGCATCTCCGGAAAGACGTCGGCAAATCTCTGGCTGATGGACCAGTGCGACAAGTCACATATATGCGTCGCGAAGCGGTCTGACAAGGTCATGTTGCCCGTCTCAGGGTCCGTATCGATCGCTCCTGCCAATCCATATTCCCAATTGACGCTACAGCCGAGTGTCTGGATGGCGACGATATAGTCGCGCATATCCTGGACCAGACCGTCACGCATTTCAGGGCTGGCACACCACACCGAGGGGCTTAGCGTCCACATGTATGATTGATGCAAGATGGTGGGCTTACAATATAGGCAGATCCACTCCGGGGTGATGACGGACTAGTCTCTGGAGAGGTGTCGGTCTCATTGCCTCTGGGAGCAGTGCGTATGTCGCCGCCGAAGGCGCAATCGTCCACTAGTTCCCAGTCAACCAAGTGTTTCCCCCAGAGGGTCTATGCCGGGAAACTGACGCGCATGAAATGTGTATAGGTGAAGATCCATGCCAGAGCTACATACGTGTCGAAGTTCTTCAGGAGGCGCATGTACTCACAGGCCCAGGTCACCGGGGTATGAGGGTCTTCGGCCCTGCGATTGCGGAAATAGAGAGTGAGGTCCACCTGGGGAGGCCCCAGAACAAATTCGACGGGAAATCCCGACGCCAGTTGTCTACGCCCATAGTCGCGGAAATCAGTATATACAGCAGCTATCGGACACCGCTCTCCCTCGAACAGCATTGGTTGGATGAGGTATTCTGGAATGTCAAGATTGAGTGTCTGCTGTTGTTGTTGCAAGGTCAAAACCTGACTTGCCCTGATCTCGGGTGACAAGAATGAGGAGTCACCGAATATGCTGACGAACTCGACACTGGGAGTATCGTGGGTCCTTGAACAAAAGATTCGAAATTTGTCCCGGGGGTCACTTTCCTCTGATCTCTGCACATGCACACCAGCCAAGATTGGCAGATACCATTGATCGTCGCGTGAACCTACCGGATCGGCCCATGCGGTAGAGGGGCCTGCTCTTGTCGCAAAGTCGTGGACTCCTTCGGGGAAAATTCCTTGCCGCCGAATCAACTCTTCCTTTTGACTCACATCCTCTGCGAACTCATGGCGGCTTGTCTTCTCGGCGTGAGCTGAAGCCCAGGACCCTGGAGTATCAGCGCTCGACGATGTGGCAGCGTGTTCGGGTGTGTCCATGCCGAGCCTTTGCACGAGCATCCGAATCGGAATGTCATCTTTCAGTCTCTTTCGAATGTCGTCATCTCCGGAGTGAATCAGACGGAGGAGGCGCTGCAGCAGCTGCTTTTGAAGGGTAGACTCGGTCTCGGCTCGTTCCCAATGGATTTTCCGTCGCCTGTCGAGAGTGGCGTCGTATATGCATTTGAGTCCTGATCGACTGCAAGCAGTACAGGGATTGCCCCCGGAGCACTGATGCGCGAGCAAACAAATCAGAATACCCTTGATGGGGCGTGTTGGGAGGGGAGATACCACCTTTGATTTTCGGATCTTGCAGCTCAGACAAGCCGTCGATGCTTTGCGCCGGGACGAGCCCGAGCTCGAAGCAGGAGTGGAAGTGGCTGCCTCCATTCCAGATGTAATTGGGGGCCTGTGCCTCCGCTATTGGGACAGGGATATGGACCTCTCAGTCGAGTCCAGAGTGGTGGCAACGTTTGTGGTCATCTCTGATGTGTCCCGAACTTCTCGGATTCATCCAGTAGAAGGGAGATGTAGGCAGCGGTCCCACGTATGGTCGATACAAGGCCCCAACAACTGGATACAGTGATACCGCTGGTCTTGTAGAAGACTTGTGCAGGAGCATAATCGTGACCTTCAGTAAAGTACGAGCGACATGCACGTGACACCCTTTTAAAGTGACGTTGACTTGGAAGCTGTAAAGAGCGGCATCGGGCTATTTCGAAAGGGGCAAAGACGTAGAAGGGGGAGTAGTTCCAATTTTATTCCAGGACTTGGCAGTAGACAAGTGGAAGCCTGAGGGTGGTCCCACTTCCCGAGAACATCAAAGACTGGTGCGACCAGTGGTTGTTAAGGGTACCATACAAAGCCAGAGAGACATCCACGAATCTCATGGAGGACCTTGAACTAGGGTGGGACGTAAGAAAGGAGGTGAAGGTCCCAGATCGAAAGGAATGGACTTCTGCTACAGAATTTCGTCCCGCCTTCCATTGCAAGGCAGGCGTCTTTTGAGAAGTAAAACATCAACAAGGTCGACGATCACAAGAGAGACGGACTAACTTCTTTGCCACTGCCGTCTGCGACCACCCTGTCTGTCGCTCCACGACCGAAATTTGACCAGTCTCGGTGTATCAATTTCTTAAAATATCTTCGCAAGACGCAATGACTTCAGGATGGGCTAGGTTGCCTCGAGAAGTCCGGAGTCATATTCTACAAACTCTGATGCAAGACGGTTGCAAAGTGAGTCGCTTGGCCACCGTGTGTCGAGACTGGCAAACAGAGCTGGAGAGGTACAACTTTGCTCGTATCAAAGTGACACCATCGCGCCTCGTTGATTTTGGTTCGATGATCCATCGCAATCAAGCTCTCGTCGACTATATCTGGTTCTGCCTGGAACTTGATGAATATGATTGCATGGCATGTGCGCCAAACCGCAGAACGCTCACACTGGACGAGTATGAAGAGGCATTCAGTATCAACGATGCAGATGGCTTTCCTCTCACCACAGCCTTCCAGAATCTGTTCTCGGTGCTAAGTACATGGGTCCTTAAAGACAACTTGGTACTCGACATTAGTATCTACTCGCCCAGTGACTCCAAACATTGGTTCCCATATCTGACCTTTATGCCCGATATCGCTCTCGATATGCTAGGTGATGGTATGGAGCAGGCGATACCAAACAAAGTCTATAACGATCCTCAACACGGCTGGGTCACTGGTTTCCGATACTCACCTCCGCCTCACTGTGCTATCTGCAAAGTTTTTCATCCCATCATGGAGGAGGGACCGTTTGATAGCCAGCAGTTAGAGCTCGAATGGTGGGATCAGCTTCCACCAGTCCCGGCGATAACCACTATACTTCTCCGGCAGCAGAACCGCCGGAGATGGAAGCCGCGCTCGCTTGCACATATGTTCAGCCGTTTTCCCAGACTCCAGGAAGTCCACTACGAGCCATGGAGGGAATGGGATTCCCTACAGAGGTATACAGAAAGAGGTGAGTAATTTTTGCATTACCTACTCAATGTTATTGCTTGCTCTCACCTTTATAGGTAGTCGAATTGCTAATAGCCCACCCATCCGTTATCCAGATATCCAGTACCTTTTCGAAGCCATCCCACGATTCAACAAGAATCTCAAGAGACTTGTGGTCTTTGAGAACTTCAACCAACAGTATACAGTGATCATGCACCAAGTCCTATCCGGACATGTCCTGAGCGAATGTGACAGTCATCGCAAGCCCACCCCGGCTGTAAGTCGGATGGTTGCACTCGCCAGCCTCAACCTCGAGCATCTCGCGGCATCTTTCATCGTAGATGCCAGCCATTTCTTTGACATTGAGCCCTCTTGGGAGTGGCCAAATCTACGCTCGATCGTCCTTACTTCAAGCCTACTCACGCCCGACGAGGATCCGATCGAGATTGGAGTTATGCTTCAGGCGGCGGCTGCAGCGGCGATGAAAATGCCGCGACTGGAAACAATGGAAATTTGGAATGGAAGACAGGGATCGGCGGCGCTGTTCAAATACCAGGTGTTCCACGACAGACAGGAAGCTACAATCACTTGGAGAGGTACGTGGCAGTTGACCATGGAACCATCTTTGATCCAGGCTTGGGAAGTCGTCGTGGGACGTTATGGCGGCTACAGACTCAATTCGGTTCCGGAAAGTCTGCATGAAGCTGCCATCAAATCTCACGCTGATGCGATCCACCATCTAATGCTGTCAAGCCCGGTCATTCGGCCCATCTCGTTGCAGCAGATTCAGAGGGAACAGAAATGTCTCGAGGGCGTGCCGACTTTCAAGTAGAAGTCTTGCTGGATGGAGATGACACCTTTAATTTCATAGATAGGACATGCCACTGTGAGTGGGATACGCCACGAGAGTTGGTAAAGTTGTCCCAGTAGGGTACGCCTAGTCAAAGACTCAAAGTGTGTTCTCGTGCAGGGACCGTGGTGGATCCCATTTACATTCCATGGTGTGCCCCAATCAAAGTGATGTATTTTAGTGCCGTGAAGTGACAAGAGCGAGAGCTCCACTCGGCCCCGCGCAAGGCCAAGGACGAGAGCACAGGGCGGCGTCACCCTCTTCCCGCATGTAGATTTCTGTACCAGACACTAACAAAAGATTTTCCGCAATCCTTCATTCTCCCCTGTAACTTGACGACGGCGGTAGCGACACCTCTTCCAAGTCTCGCAAGTTTTGAGAGGCAGGCTGAACAAAAACCAGGGCCATCGCACACCCTATTGTCATTTTCATCGGACCTGAAATTTCTAACGCCGCATCTCTTCTAAAAGTCTACCCACCATGAGGTTCGCTACACATACATTCCCTCGACACCTCCCTCCATACTTCTCATTTGCTCGTGGCTAACAATCATCTGACCTCTACCAGGATCGAGACGTGCCACCTGTGCTCCCGCCCCGTCTACCCCTCCAAGGGCATCACGTTCGTGCGCAACGACGCCAAAGTGTTCCGATTCTGCCGGTCCAAATGCCACAAGAACTTCAAGATGAAGCGCCAGCCGCGCAAGCTCAAGTGGACCAAGACGCACCGGGCGCTGCGGGGCAAGGAGATGATCGTCGACCAGAACCTGCTGCTGTCGCAGTTTGCAAAGAGGCGCCACGCCCCCGTCAAGTACGACCGGAACCTGGTGCAGGCGACGATGCGGGCCATGGAGAGGATCGAGGAGATCCGCGCGCGCAGGGAGCGCGTCTACACCCGGCGGAGGCTGAGCGGCAAGGCGCAGCGCGACGCCCGGCGCCGGCAGGACCTCAAGGTCGTCGCCCAGGGCGAGCACCTCATCAAGAAGGAGTTGGCCGACCTCGAGGCCGCGCGCGCCGAGATGGAGCCCATGGTCGAACAGATCAAGAGGGATTTGGAGACCAGCAGGGTCGTCGGGGAGGAGCGTCTCAGACAGAAGAGGAAGAGGAAGATGCTGGTCGGTGGTGGCACCGAGGAAGACATGGATCTGGATTGAATTCGCTCAATCTCAACCTCATCCACAACTTCCACGCTTTATATCTCGGACTGAAGGACTGGACGAAGCTGATGCGACTATGATACCCGGCGTTGCGACCGTTGAGACACCTCTATTTTACTTAGACGTTAGAAGAAACGAACATTGGTCTTGCGGAGTGGGCGTTTACTAGGCGTGGCAAAAAGTTATATTTGTGGATTTGATTCTCGAGTTTCCTAGAAAGTCTGCTCTGGGCCACAGGAGAAAGATGAATACGGAATAGCTGGACACCCTAAGACCGAATACTGGCGGCGTTGCAATGCCCTCTATTGACGGCGTGAGTTTCCAGATCACATTCACTCCTAAAGACTACTGTAGCGACCAGATCACATATCTCGTAAACCAGCCCACACGCTCAATCTCACATGTCTCCTCTTAACACGATCAGGAGTGTCGTATTCCGTCGGTACTGCTCATCCGACATCTCAAGCCGTGACCACGTAGTGCTTGAAGTCCTTGGTCTTGATGTTGCGCTCGAACATGATGTCCACTTCCTGGAAAGTTCTCCCTTTTCTGTAATGGGCGCGACAAAGGATCAGTCACAGTCAATCATCGTCGGATAGGATCTGTCAATAGTGGGACAAAGAGGGAAAACTCACAATTCAGGGACTCGGAAGTATGACCAAGTCAGACACAGCGCCGCCAGTCCGCCAAAGAAGAACCCGAGTTTTCCCCGCATGTTGGCTTGATCGGGGTTGATCATGTAGGGAATGGCAACGGTCATGACGATACCAGCGGTGGCTTGGACGGCGGTGGCGATCGCGATGGTCTTCCCGCGGACTCGGGTGGCCGACACCTCGCAGAGGAGGACGAAGCACACGGGGCCGATGGACAAATCGTAGATGAAGTTCCAGATCAGCATCAGGACGCTCTGGGCCCAGGAAATCGAAGGTCTGTTGTCGTAGTTTGGCGCGCAGTCAAGAATTCCGATGATTACTTGGAGCACTGCCAACAGAGCCAAGCCAGTGTTGTAGATTCTTCGACGACCGAAGTAGATCAGCAGTATCCACGAGAGACACGTGCCCACAAAGCCGATGGCAAGGAAGCCAACGCCCATATTGAACGCTTGGTCGGACGGTAGGCCAGCAACTGAAATTGGGTGAGCAAAGTCTTAAGAAAGAAGTAGGACGGTCCATTTTACATACGGGTGAAGAAGTACGTGGCATAGCCGACAAGGTAGATACCAGAGAGGACTTGGATGGTATAAACACCGACGGCAATCTCTGTTCTACGGATGTTGATCTTTTTGAAACAATCCCAGTACTACCCCAGCTGTCAGTTCGTGAAGCATTCTAGATTGCCAGCCAGCAAGAGCGAGGGCGGCAAGATCAGAGGAACTTACAGTGGAACCCGCCTCAATCTCTCTTTCTAATCGATCCGTCTCGATGATCATGGCCAGTGTAGGTCGGACGTCGACCTTTGGCGACGCTAGTCGCTTGAGAGCCTTTTCAGCATCCTCGAACCGGCCTTGTCGTTGTAACCACCACGGGCTAGGTGCAGTTAGCAATGGGATGCAGAGGGAATGTAAGCGCTCTAACCTTTCGGGAGCAAATGGCAAACCGATCAGAATAACCAGCGGCCAAAGCCATTGAATCGCAAAAGGCGCGCTGTAAGCCCAATGACTGTCGAGCACGTGTGTTCCAGCAATGACCCCATTTGCAATCAACTGGCCTGTCACGAAGCAAATGTTCGTGCAGGAAGTCAAAACACCTCTGAGAGCCAAAGGGCACACCTCTGATGCGTACGCGGGCGCAATCACGGCATAGCTTCCCAAGACCAATCCTCCGAGCAATTCACCCGCGAGCAGGACGGGAAGCGATCTCGCAAAGAACTGGATAAAGACGAAACCGGTGGTGAGGATGACACATGCTCCAAAGGTCTTTTTACGCCCGAAGGCCTCCATTGGATAGGCCGCAAAGAAGGCTCCTACTACTTGCCCAATGGGTGAGCCCATGCTTAGACCAGTCTGCCAGGGAGCTGAAACAATATAGTTTCCATCGTAGAGATAACCGAAGTCGCGTTGAAAAGCTGGAGTCGCATAGAGCTGGCCCAACAGTTGAGGATCAAAGGCACACCTGAACACCCACTTGTTACCGTTATGTGCGAGTGCTCCAATTGAGACGGTCTCTTACATGATGACGCCCAGCGAAAAGAAGAGAGACCATCCTACAGCTGCAGGATACAACCTGGCTGCCTCCCAGAAGGAATGCCCATGTTCTTGATCTGTAGCTGCTCGTGCTTCGGCGTTTATGTCGTCAATAGACGCGGTGGCAATGAGGCCCGCGGGTTCTTTTCTGATCTCAATATCCTTGTCCATATCTGTAGTTTCCGCTGTAAGCGATATTGATCAGGTTCCTCAAGAGTTGGACAAGGAGAGCGGACAAAGAGGGCCGGGTGACAGGCGTCGGTCAACTGATAAATGCATGCGAACACGTCTGCGTTATCGAGGACGATAAGACCACAGGAGCAGAGTTCAACAATATTCGCCGGTTGACTCGACCCCTCCTGGTGGTAGCGAGATACAGCTGACCTAGGTAAATGGCCACGGTCTGAAATGGAATGGTCTCTGCTCGTGGAGTGGGAAATCATGGCCACGAGGGCAAAGCCTCACCTTTGCTATCGACTTGAATTGCCGGGGCGATCTGATTCGATCGGCTCGCCAGCAACGGCTGTTGCTCGTCTGACTCTTCGATAGCATCCATCTTGTTGTCTGACTCGGTCCAAATGGAAGCGAGGAAGGCCAGGTTGAAGCCAGGATCGTCGTGATAACCCCATGCGATTGTACTGTTACATGGAGAAGTAAAGCAGGCTAAGGGCTCAAAGAGCCAGTCCAGGCCATCAAGTGAAGCGGGGATCTGCGATAGATGGGATATCAGAATGCTATCGTTACATTGAACAGAGGAGAAGTTGGAGTTGTTCACGATTGCCTGGAATGAATCGGGATGAGAGGGCCGCGTCACGTGCGTGGTAGAACTACGACTGAGCATGTGCAGCGGAGACGTAGTACAGTCGATCATCTCTCCAGAGACGCAATATCAGATTACATAATGCGGGAACTTGCGGCTTTTGCGGCAACACCAGCCACCAGCCTAATCATGCGCCATCACAAATTCTCCTGCAACCTGATTACTACCGATGTGGCTTGGTGCTTGTTGGCATATCGAACAATAACATGGACCTTCCCCGGAAAAAGATTCGGCGGATGGTGAATAGCTGTCTCGAGTGTAAGTTGCTTGCCTTTCGCTGTCAACGCCGGTCGCTTCCTCTAACAAGCTCGCAGGTCGAAGGCGAAAGATTCGTTGTGACTTGAGTACGAATCAGTCCGAGAAATGCACTGCTTGCGCCGGTCGCGGTATTGTTTGCGAGAGATGGGAGCATTCCGCTGATGCTCCCGACTCCCACAACCTCGAACTAAGCGCAAGGCTGCGCCGTGTGGAATCCCTCCTGGAGAAACTGACCGATGTTGAATCGCTGGACGCCGTGGAGGCTGCTCTAAATGTCGGGCCCCGAGGTGGATCGATCACCGCACCAATTGAAGGGCCCACTCATTCCCCTCTCATCTCTCTATTCGATAACGCAGTTGTACGTTTTATGAGCCCGCCGTTTCGCCTTCCTGGTTGGTACATGGCTTACGGTCATAGTTTGGACACCAAGAGCAGACTCCTCTGTCAAGCGGGACTGAGCATAGCAAGTCATCCCAAGGTACAGGAGGTCCTCAGAATGTTAAGCTGGAGAAGCTGCGACTGGTGCTCAGCGCACTCATCCCCACACAGGAAGATGCAGATCTCATTTCCAGATCCACGGTGAGTGCTGGGCAGCGATGTGACAGATGATCTTTCTAACCAATTCTCTGAAAAGAACGCCTGGGGCCTGGGTCACTTACTTTATTCTCCTCACGACCCTTCATTAAGGGCGAATGTTGATATAACCACCTTGTCAAAAAGCTCGCCGCTGATTATAGCACGCACGCTGATGCGTTTTGCAATTCTTATTCAACAACTGCCTCCTGATTTTGACACCTCGAGGCTCCAATTCAATTCTCCTATTGAAGCCGTGCTACAAAAGTACCTCTACTATGTAGCCGATCTCGTTACCTCGAAAGATGACTTTGCCTGTACAATGGAGGGCTGGGAATGTCTTCTCCTGCAGAGCATCTTCTACATCAATGACGGTAACCTACGCAGAGCTTGGTTGGCGGCTCGTCGAGCTTTATACACTGCCCAATTTTTGGGATTCCAAAAGAGCTATCTGAGGTGTGTTAGAGGTTCAGAAGACGAAGGACCCTGTGAACGAGCCAACGCCATGCTGTGGACCAGAACTGTCATGATTGATCACTTTCTGGCTCCTATCCTTGGTCTTCCATGTGGCGTTGGCAACGACTGCTTTGGTGAAGAGGGTGTGCTAGTGCCAATCCTGACTTTATCTGATGTTTTTGAGCGCAGAACCTGCTTGATTGCCGGAATGGTTGCTGCCAGGAACCAAAAGGAGCCGGCGCCTGGATATACCACCACGTTGGACATTCACGAAAAAATTGAAAGCCTTGGAAAGGATATGGGCGACATGCTGACGAAGATTCCAACATTATCTCCTTCGCCTCAAACCTTGCCTGGACATGATCCTTTCAAAATGGTCCTGATTCAAATGTGGATCTATCAAATCATCATAATCCTCCATATACCTTGGATGCTGCGAGCATTCACCGACAGCAAGTTTGAATACAGCAGATACGTTTGCCTGGTTGCGTCGCGAGAGCACCTTCGCCGGTATCTTGCTCTCCGAGATACAAACAACACTCAAAATACAGTTCGGGTTGTTGACTTTGGTACCGTCGTTGCCGCCGTGACACTGATACTCAACCGGGTTGAATCCGCAACACGAGGTGTCACCACGGCTGACGGGGAGAAAGACATGAAACTGGTTTCCCAAGTTATCGAGTCCATGCGAATCGCGTCTCGCGGGCCGCGAGAGTTCATGGCTCGTCAAGGTGTGGAGGTCATGGAGGCGCTTCTAGCACTCAAAGATGGCACCAGAGATCGCAAAACAAATGACACACTGCGATTTACCATACCATTCTTTGGCCCCGTCGTCATTTCCAGAAACAACACGCCAGCTGGTCCCACGCCAGCTTCCGCTGCACAAGACCTATTTGATGGACACGATCCGATCGACACTCTTCTCCGGTCAAACGATGTCCAGAGCAGCCAGCCATTCGGTGCTAACACTAACAGACCTGTTCACGGTCACCACGTATCATTTGAGCAAGCGAATATCCCCGATTCCGGTTGGATTCCTCCTTTGCAAGCGTGGGACTTTGACACGATTCCAGCGTGGGGCAGCTCATTCAGCTTGTGGGATGTGCCCGACAGCAACAACTGCGGCAAAGATCCGGTCTGATCATAGCAAGAGTTGAAATCAATGCGGAAATCGACAACAAACATGTCTTTGACGTCGAGCTGCAGCTGATACTATAGAGATAAAGTCTCTGTCAACTTCTTCAGAGGGACGGATGATTGCAGAGAAGATTAAGAGGACTGGCTCCTCCTTTTCAAGAATCCTTTTGAGCTGCAATCAGATGTCGTCGGCCGCGTGCTCCGATTAACCCCCGTGCATGCCATGCATATTACATCAGGCAACCAGTCACGACTTCTCTGCAGAGGGTTACACGACGGTGGTATGAAGACTCACGAATGTATAGATGAAGGTATCTGCGTCATCACTTTTCTTGCCGTTTCGTGCATATTGAAAAGGACTGCTTTAATCTTTTCAAGGTAGGAGAATGCACGGTCATACTATCACGATAGACAGCTTGGTCCACCGCCTCAAGAGTCAATGGGCCCCTTCGCTGGGAGATACAAGCGATAAACAAGGCGGTTGGGCGAGTGTGCATCAAGCTACCGAACATCCAGGTCGTTTTGTCAAGCAAGAACCCGGGGACTCTTTATGGACTGAATCACCGGCGGACTGGGAAACGCAATGACATACGTAATCTCCCAATACAGGCGAGGGAACATGTTTACGAATTGATATGGGAAATTCTGCTCCAGCATCCCGAGAGCCCATCCTACTAGCCTTGTAAAGATATACCACCTGCGCTAAGAGAATATACAACGCCAATCAATCTCATGTGTTGACTTGATCACTTGGCTTTCCGGATCGCTGCCCTCCCTTTCTCCAAAAGTGCGGAATGATAAACCATGTATTCAGGGTTCCCCTCCAAGGCCGTCTCAATCATTCCCGCCGCCAGCACCCCCACGCCGATGATGAGTCTGTTCCCGATTGTGCCTGTGTGGATACCAAAGATGTACTTGGGCAGCACGCCGCCTGGCCTGCCCACGTATGACTCCCAATTCCCGTCGTTCTTGTTCTGCTCGTCGGCAAATGCGAGCAGTCTCAACTCCCCGACTCCCTGGGGCAAATTGTTAGCAAAAATGGAGTTCTCGAGTGTATGTGTATATGTATGGTACATCAATACATACCTTGGCCTTGCGGGTCGTGGGTTTAAACCACAGAGAAGCATTCTGGTCATGTACCACGAACATGCCGCTCAGGAGGACCATGCGGAACAGCTTGGTCGTTGCTCCATTGCGGGCTTTGGCGATCGCTTTGCAAAGCGCGAATGGAAGGTCGGCCTCGACGTCTTCGCCGCCAGAGTATGTGCCGATCGCCCTTTTCCAAGCGTGTTAGATAATCATTCGAGAAACAGGACGGTGACTTCCAAAGAAAGCGGCGGCCTGGCCTTCTTACCAGATACAGAAATCTGCGTCTTTAAACTCCTCCAGAACCGAGTCCGGATAGTTCCCAAAGTCCTGGATGATGATGACTTTGACCTTTGAGTTACTCGCAGCTGGCTCGGGGAGCGGACGGCGCGAGAGGACCACGAGTGAAGTGATGCGTGGATGGTCGAGGCATTGGTTCAGGATTTCTCCGCCAATGAATCCGGTGGCTCCAGTCAGAATTCCCTTCATTCTGCGACTTTTTGTTCAAGATGGACGAGTATGCTCTCCAGAATGATAGAACGATCTTGGAACGATTCCTGGCGCGTATAAAACCAGAACATTGCTGCCTCCAGGCAGCCAACAATGTATTTCTCGGCTGCTTAAGGTTTTTCGGCCGAGGCGCGGCGGACGCTTTATTGGAGCGCAATATTGATCTCTCCACCACTGGCCAAGAGCTCCATATTGAGGGTCTCAGAGTTCGTCCGCAAGATTTATGTACTGGTTTCAAGTTGTGATTCAACGTAATCAAACTGTCTGCACAAAGACACAAAAACCTAATACCCTTGGCCAATGGAGTGAGGTCAGGCTGAGACAGACGAGGCTGAGATATTCAGCCTCGCGGGGAGAATCGCTTAGTCATCGTGCTTACACAAACCCAAGCACCCAAGAAAAGCCAAGGACAACTTCAGCCCCTCAGGCATCCCGGAAGGCATGCCCAGATCTCCTATTCTCGTGTTCCTGAATAAAAAGCAATCTTTTTTTTTTCTGTTTCTCCAATGTACGAGTCGAGTTCCAGTCTCGAAACCTTCTCCGGTAGTCGCCCGTCATGGCCGAAGAAGCGGTGATTTTCCCCTCTCAGCCACTCTTCATGGTGGACAGAAGTTGGCAGCGGCGCAAAAGGGTGAAGAAGGACGTCCACTCCCATGAGTTGGTTCTTCAACCCTCTCGCGTCCCTGCGGTCACCATCAAGGTAGCTCAGACACCTGTAGGAGCGGGCTCAACCTCAGTGCACAAGTCGCAAGCGAAGGGCAATGCAAAGGAGTCAGGGCAGATACAGTTCATGACATACAAACCCAAGGAGAGGGTCTCCAAGCAGAATGCCAGATCGAAGAAGGTCCATCACTCCGCACCAGCTGGGGAACAAACACCAGCCTCGGACTCCACGGCTCCGATCCCACCCTGCAAGTCTGTAGAGACAAGGAAGAATGTACTCTCGCCCACGCAATCGACGCTTCCTGGGACAGCCACGGCCCTCTACACGGTTATCGACCCTGAAGTGAGCTCCTTCCAAGAGTACATGAGCTACTGTATGTGTCTTCTCAATGAAGTATGACCACTAGAGTACTGACGTGGACGAAGATCCGACACGCCTTGCTGCGTCGATGTATCCGATCAGCAGAGCGTTGCGACTTGCCTACAACCCTGTTGAAACAATATGGCTACCTGCAGTCGTAACGGACGAGGTCTCGTTGCACACGATCCTGTTCTCATGTGCCGCGCACTACTCGTTCGGATCTGGGCACCAGACATTCAGGGACTCGCACCTGCTCATGAAGGTTATTCTGAATCGACTCAACCGCAGACTACGCGATGGGAAGTACACGGATCTCACCATTGGTGCTGTATCGTGCCTGGCGCTCTACGAGAATCACCTGGGGAATCATCAAAAATGGAGAATGCATGCTTCTGGCATGTACGAAATGATACGAGCACGAGGGGGGTTCGAGGCTGTGAGGGACGTGTTGCACATGAAGATCTATCGGTCTGACACTGTCGGCGCTGTCGATACACTCTCACATCCTCATTTTCCGCGTCCGACCCGAACCAGGAAGTCGCTCTACAGCATAATGGCGCTTGATTCGGTTTCGCCTCCTATTCCCCCGGTAATATTGAACCTCGATTTGACACCAACGGCATTGAATGCTCTGACGGAGCTCTCGTACTTGTGCCATGCTCTCAGCTTTGCAGCTGAGACACTAGTGCCGGTCGACCCTCTTGCATTCGACGAGGACGTGACCTGCATTCAGCACGACCTCCTGCGGTCACAAGAGCCGAAGCAGATGGTGGCCGAAAGAGTGTGCGTGATCGCAGCATTGATCTTCATACAGACGCTCATCCGAGAAGTCCCCTTCACCAGACTCTCGTCCAGTCTTATCTCGCGGGAGCTGAAAACAGCATGCCGTGCCGTCGAGCCCAAGATGCTTCCCGATGAGTTGGTGTTTTGGGTTCTTTTCATGGGAGGTTTGGTGTCAGTCGACACGGACGAGTATCACTGGTTCCGAGCACGGCTGATGCAGTTTCGAAGGGGCCACCACGATTACCTGACGTGGGACAAGGCCAGATGTCAGCTCGAGAAGGTATTCTGGATCAAGAGCCTTCAAGAGGAATACGGATTGAGTCTTTGGCAATCCATCAACGCTCCTCTCCTGCCAATAAGCGGTCCCATCACAGCTTTGACAGATATGGATCAACCTGGTCCCCGTGGAGAAACCTGCTGATGTGCGTTGTGTAAAGCTTCGTGTATCGCCACAGAAAGCCATGACCCGCACACGGATAGCTGATCAGCTGCGCATTTAGGTTTTGGAGATACAGCTCTCAGCTTCGACTGGTGGGATCACCAAGTCGTTGTCGCCATTGGTGATTAGAGCGGACATCTGGAGCTCGCCCAACCGAGCGAAAGCTGCTCGAGGGTTCTCCTTGACGAGTCCATCGCAGCCTCGAGTTGTTTTTGCGCTGCGCCATATCGACCCAACTGGATGATCAAGGAACGCCGCTCTTGCCGCCAATACTTCGGCACGCGGAGCGCATACCATTTACAGCCTCCACGAATTGGGTGAGGGTTGTTTGAGCCGTCGACATCTTCTCACCTTGTCAATATATATTTCGTGGAAAAGGGAAGATTCCTCGTATTTTGTGCATGAGACAAAAGAGACAAGGGGACCGTGTCTATACTCGGTACATAAAAGTCACACAAATTGGCAGCGACATGAGGCCATGTTTATATACCGTCCTACCTACACAGGGGGCCTTGTCCAAAGGCAGGGGAAATCAACGACATTAGGGCCCCAGAGTGATTCCACAATCGGCCAATCTCGTTATCAGGTGGTCAGCACATGACATTCAACGACAAGTCCATAGCGTCGAAGCGAGTTGTCAACGGACCGAAAGAGGTAATCTTGTATCTATTCCGGACGACGGTCGAGGGCTGAGGCGTCTGCGAGGCGTCCCAATCTCCCATTATTCAATCCGGTACAGTATCCCGCATCACTGTATGTCCCTCGTACTGTATCAATGTCGCATGCGGCGCCGTTTGACTCTCCGTACTCAGTTCCTACACCCTTCGGTCATTTCCGTCCTCCTCCTCGTCCCGTCTCGTCTCGTCTCCAACGAGCGACCGTTTCCCGCTTTTGGTCCTGGACGGCTTGACGGGCTTGACGGGCTAGTGATCGCGCATGATACTTACCCCTCATCGAATCGACAATTGCAACCTACCAACCACCCTCCCTGATGGGCAGACGTGGCAGATGGATGATAAGCACCACCCCTATGATGCGCTTCTATCTATCAATCGGTCAATCGATCCGCCAGTCTGGATCGCGTGCGTGGTCTCGGCTACACATGGGTGTGAACCATGCGAGCTGAGGTGACGTGAAGCGGGACAATAATCGGGAAGTGACTTGCTTCGTTCGCTTCGCTTTGCTTCTCTGTTCCGTTCTGCTCTATTCTGATCGAGTGATCCCAACCGTTTGTGGACATTGGACAATGGGTTGGTTGGTGCTTGCTTGACTGAACGTGCTCGCCAAAAGATATCTCGTCACATTTACTGTCTGCCTTGACCGGCTGGGCCCAGCCACAACACGGTCAAATCACGAAAACACCATCAAGTTTCTCGTGGAATTAGGATATCTCGTTTCACCTTTTTTTAAAAAAAAATGGGCTCGTACGCTCCCCTTCACGACCAAGAGGTCCACACCATCCACATCCCCGAGGACGTGCGCCGGTCGGGCACCCCGACGCTCGACCTCATCGGCGAAGGGGTCGCGTTCCTGCACAAAGACGGCATCGTCGTGCTCGACAACGCCATCGACCCGGCACACCTCGACGCGCTCAACGCCCAGTTGTCGCCCGAGGCGCTCGAGATCGCCGCCGACCCGGACCACCACTTCAACTTTGGCAAGCACACGCGCAACATGGACCAGGCGCCGCCGCCGACCAGGGACCTCATGTTCAAGGACGTCTGGTGCAACCCGTTCGCGGCGGCCATCCTCGCGGCGGTCCTGGGCCCGCGCCCCGTCGTCCACTACGCCAACGGCAACACGGCCCTCCAGGCGCCCCCGGACGGCCGCCAGCCCGTCCACTCGGACTGCGAGTTCGCGCACCCGGCCTACTTCCCCTTTGCGTACGTCATCAACATCAACCTCGTCGACGTGACGGCCGAGAACGGCGGGACCGAGGTGTGGGTGGGGAGCCACCACGTGTCGGTGCACGAGGCGCACAACCGGGTCTCCACCACGGGACGAACAGAAAGCGGTGATGACGGTGGCGAAGAAGAAGAAGAAGTGGTGGAAGGCCTCCTGACGATCCGGCCCGACGCGCTCGAGACGCGCCGCAAGCACTCGCCGCCCGTGCAGGTGCGCACGCGCAAGGGCAGCCTGATCCTGCGCGACCTGCGGCTCTGGCACGCGGGCATGCCCAACCTGACGGCCGACCCGCGCATCATGCTCGCCTTCGTGGCCAGCCCGGCCTGGTGGCGCGGCCGCAGCGCCGTCAAGCTGCCCCTCGCGGTCAAGGACACGGTCGAATCCTGGGCCGACGAGATGGCCTACGCGGCCGACTGGGTCGACGGCGAGGTCGACCACAAGAAACTGCGCAGCAACGGCGTCGACTTTGACGGCGACGCCAAAGTTCTAGAGACGTTTCGCACCGAGCTCAGCGTGTGGCCTGAGTATCGGCCCCGGTGGTACTGAATGGCCCCCCTCTTGTCTTTGGGGATGGGATCGAGAGGAGAGGCGAGGGGCGCGGGAAGAGGGGCATGCTTCACACACACGCACACGCACGAGACAACGGAAAGGAGGAATGAAGGCCTGGGCAAACCAAGGAACCAGCGGGGGCGAGAGAGTGGCCGAACAGAGACAGGGACAGGGATAGGCAGCTGGCTGGCTGGCTAGGAGATGATAAGAAGGGGGCAAGAAATCGAAGAGACTAGCTAGGGAGGGAGGATCGGGATTGCTCGAGTAGATTCTCGACCGGACCCTTGGACAGATCCAGTCTGCCAGTGTCTCGTCGATATTGTGTTACGTGTAGGTATACATGAACAAAGCACCTTTCACTTTTCACTTTTCACTTCTCACTTCACGTCCCCTTTCCCCTGGCCACTCAAATATTTGCTACAAGGTTCGCAATCAGGAGAGGAAAGGAAAGGAGTCGGTGTGCCCCTTTGTCGAGATCTGTTCGTGTTCCTATTCTCCTGGATGGGTATCTATTTGGCCTCGTCTTCGTGTCCACGTCCTAGTCGTCTTCGTTTAATATCCAAGGTTCGATTGACGTGATTGACGAAACATGACTTGCTCCTAGAGAATCACTTCTTTCCGTCTCCTTGAAAACCCCGAAACGTTCGCACATGGTGTTCACACACTTTTGGTGCCAGTTCTGAGTGTAGGTATCGCGGCATTCTTTGCTTCCTGTAAGTAGCATCTTGATCAACGAGGGCACCAGAGATTGGCCGAGGCCTCTGGGCCGTCCCTCTCATGGTGTGTTCGAATCAGACTCCTAAGCCTGTTGGTCGTGGTCGAAAGAATATAATCTTTCCCTCTGAGTGTCCTAGTGTCGGGCTTGTGTTTCCTCCCTGAAGTGAGATCCAAGTCTAGGTTGAGGCTTGATGTGTTCCGATCCAGATCCGTTGTCGTGCCCATTTCGTTCCGTTTCATCGAAATGCTATCCTTAATTCTCACTCCGTAACCTGTAAGCCCATCACATCAACGCGCATCGATTCGCGCCTTATCAAATGGGGGAAATGTTCGAGGGTGGTCCTCTGCCATCGTCCCAAATCGACGTTCTCCATGTCCCGCAATAAAAAGGCTCGCTCTCACGTTATCGATTCCCTCCAGTTGAGTGCCACACAGATATTATGTGCTCCTGTCTCTCTCGATCAGTTGGCCTGATTGTCGCTTTCAATTCCTCCATGGTGGAACGCTTACGACCCGTAGCCGCGATGAGGTGATTGATTTGTCTATCCTGGCAATCGCAGAAAATACATATCGTTGTCTGGTCAGTTCTGCCGATATTTTGGCTGATCTTGTATCCGAGGTATGGCGTGCTGTGTGAATCGCTGCTAAGAAGGTGCCAATTTTGGTTAGATGGTGTGGTTCTTGAGATTGCCAGTGCTGTATATTCCCCGTGCTTTCTCTCTTTGACTCTGCAAGCTTCAAACTTATTGCTGCTAGGATGTCATCTCCCAGATAGGCGCCTGAACATCCTGTCTTTGCGGAAATGCCGTCGTCGTATCACAGTGTCGAGGTCCGTATGCTCTTGTGTGCATGTATCCATTTATTCCAGGTTGGAGTGTATTGCGGTGTCGATTGCTTGTGGAGCAAAATGTTGTTTCGTGATTCTCAACCCAATTCTTGCTGAACTCGACCTCAACAGATCCCACAGTTCTCTCCTCTCTTTCGTGGGAGCTCAAAGGTAGAATTGACCAAATCCCCATTCAGGTTGTCTGCCTGATAGTCTCCCCTCTGCCCGGAACTTCTTCTCGCGTAATTGCCGCTTCTCTGCTAGAACTGAAGCCGGCCCACGGAAGAGAGAGACTCGGCCACTGTGGACATTCGCACACGCCCAATTTGCCTGGCTTACTGCTTCTTTGCTCACCAGGCTGTCCCAGTAGTGGTCCTGCTTGTCGATGGGATGAAGGCGTGCAGTCGCTGTCATCCTTTCAAGTTGCAGGTAAGAAGCGTGTGATAGTCGCTTGGGCATCCACGACTCATTCTCATCCTTCAGCTCCGGCCAGGTATATTGTGGGGAGAAGGCGTTGAAATCAGCATCGCTCGAGTCCATCAGCGCCATGACATCGTCTGGAATAGTCTCAAACGAAGCGTTTTCCACGGCGGCGTTGAAACTACCGTGCCTTGGGAAATACGACAGCCTGAAGCTCTTGAGGAACTCCCTCACCATCTCTGTCGGAATGGGACGCAGGGGCTTGTGGATCCATCTCCACTGCAGCCGAGCATAAACGCAGTGTCTTAGATGTCTGTGGAACTCTGAGTTCACCTCCCCCTGCTGATGTGGATAGAGCCGGTGGAACTCCCACGGCAACGCCGAGTGATAGTTCCAGTAGTACGCACATCCACCACAGTGGACCGCCTCAATCTTTGAGATGGTCGTCTGGAGGGAGCCATCTGCAACCCGCCTAGACTGGCGTCTCAGGGCAGGGAGGCGGACTGCACAGGCGTGCTGTGCGTAAGTTGTCTCGGGCGGAGAGATCTCCTCATCCAGGAGACGCAAACCCGTTTGGCAACGGCGGGCTTGGATTGACGACTTGGGACGTGGTTGGATACTGCATTGGTCTGCAGTTAATCTGAACCCAGTCCGCATCAATGGGATTTGGCAAGGTGCCGGTGGCACCTGACCTTCAACCATTGTTGTTGTAGGTCCTTGCTGCCGGCGGACCTCCACTGCAGACTTGTAGTCAAAGATGTAACCCCTCTCGGCAGGAAACCCCCAAAAGCAGTTCTGAGGCACGGTCACCAACTGTGGAAGCTTTCGCAGCTCGTCGTGAGAAAGCCCCATGGTGCCCTGAGCGTAGCCGAGGTTGACGGCGAGTAGCTCACGCTCTTGAGAAAGGCACCGAAAGCAGCATCGCTTGAGCTGCAGTAGGTGCAGTATCTCACCATGGTCTTCACAGAATTCACACTTGGTGGTGAAGAGGACGTCAACCAGTTGGGGCACTGTCCACATGTGACCGGCACCAGTCGCCAGGAGGGCCCGGATTGCATCGGCACCATGGGTGATGACGGCCCTGAAAGGCTGCCATTGCTCAACTAGCTGCTTGGCATGAGTGTTGGTCGCTCGGAGGTTGAACAGAGTGTTGACCGGCGTTCGGGCAAAGAGATATACTTGTAGTTCGAGGGGGAGCCTGTCAAGATCTCCTAGACCTGCAGACCGTTGGCCTCTTGTGATAGTCCAGCTTCGAGGATGACTGAGCCAGATCCGGCGTCTGAGCTCCTCAGAGTCGATGATAAGTTTGTTGTAATCGGGTTGTTTGGAGAGGAAGCGTTGTTCTGCGGAGGTCAGGTAGGCGGGTTCAAGGGGTTTGGCAAAAAAGGAGGCCATCTTGGTTGAGGTGCAGTGCGAAGATGGAGGTGGAGGGTTGTTCTGTCCCTGTAAAGTATCAAGGTAGGAGAGGTGTGGAATAAGCAAAGTGTGTGTTGTCGAGATGAGATCGAAAGTATGAGCCAGGTCTGGTGAGACTGCGTGATGCCGTGTGAAAGTCGTCTTGGTTGAACTGGGAGGAAGAGCCTGATATATATATACTTGCATGTGTGTGAGGACCGCGGGGTTTAAAGTTCAGAAGATAAATGGTTAGCATGGAGAGAATATATAGGGGTCAAGAACACCAGGCAACAAACAATAGGCAAACTTCTGACAACCACAAGCATTGTATAGTCGACAATAGGAAGTAAAATGATAGTTATTGAGGTGAATAGACATGGAGTGCTGCGCAAAAAGGGTATTCAGAACATGAATAGGCAGAAGAACAATCAACAACACAAAGCCTTCAGGGGCAGTGACTGCGATATGCTGCCAGCCACCACTGGTGCCGGAATGGATCCCCAGCACTTCAAGGAACCTCAACCAAACTGGGTGAAACCTTGAATCACTCTAAAGGCGGCCAAACGGTGGACCATGAAGATTTTCCGCTGGAAAACGGCCTGGGAAGAAAAACAAACTTCTTTTTACCACGTTGTCGCTTTGAACCACTTCTCGTAGCCAATTAGACTTCTTGAGGTAAGACTTCCCTGATTTGACCCAGACATTGCCTTGAGAACCTGGGTTTCAGGCATAAACCAGACAATGCTGGCAGCTGTCTCTCCTCAAATTGTCAGGGTGAGCAGTTGCCAGAGGGGTTTTGCCCTATACGGAGGCGTTGCTCTGTGTCGAAGAGAAAGCCGACATTATTGGAAGAGCGAGGTTGTGTTGGTTGTCAGGTTGTTCAGTTGCTGATGGTCGTAGAGGTTGAATAAATGCCAAGCTACAGCCTGATCATGTGATCGAATGCGAGCTACCACGTGCCGTCACGTGCGCGGCTGCACGATGACGTTCTGGCAACAATTTCAAGTTCCAATTCCCGGATCCCCGTCGAATGTTTCTTTTCTGTTCTCTTCATGCATTTCCAGGTTTCAGTCGACAGTTCCTCGCGTTCCGTTCTATATTTTCGCGTTTGATCGCTCTTGTTGCGATTCCTACTCTTCTGCACGTTCTTTCCAACGCGTATTCACTTGGTAAAGGGAGTTCAAGATGGTGTATATCAGGCAGCGAAACCTAGAGAAGCTCCACGAGTACAAATATTCAGGGGTGGACAAATCTCTGGTATCGAGATATGTCCTCAAGCCATTCTACACCAATGTTGTCATCAAATTCTTCCCAATGTCAATGGCGTGAGTATAGTGACTTTTCCCCAATCGGCGGCTGTAAACTGACATTGCTTCAGGCCAAACCTTGTGCGACACCCCAATCCCGAATGTCACAGCCTCCTCTAACGTGTGAGCAGATCACCTTGACCGGATTCAGCTTCGTGATCATCAATGTCCTTACCATGCTGTGGTATAATCCAACTCTCGACACCGACTGCCCTCCTTGGGTCTATCTGACTTGGGCCATCGGTTTGTTCTTGTATCAGACCTTCGACGCTGTAGATGGCACGCAGGCTCGTCGAACACACCAAAGCGGCCCGTTGGGCGAGCTGTTTGATCATGGTTAGGTTACAATTTATCACGTAGTTGACACTGCTAATGAACAGTAGGTGTGGATGCATGCAATACCAGCCTCGAGGTTCTTATTTTTGCAGCCACCATGAACCTTGGCCAGTCTTGGAACACGGTCCTTACTCTCTTCGGCACAATCCTCACCTTTTATATCCAAACCTGGGAGGAATACCATACCCACACCTTGATGTTGGGTATAGTTTCTGGTCCTGTTGAGGGAATCCTGACCTTGGTTGTGGTCTACTTCATTACCTTCCTCAAAGGTGGGGCGAGTTACTGGCAACAACCAATGCTGCCTAGTCTTGGTCTTCCCAAGAGCGATCTTCTCCCAGCCTCTCTTTACCAAATGGCATGGAACGAGTGGTACATGGTGTATGGTGGGCTGGTCTTGGTCTTCAACACCGTGAGCAGTGCATTGAACGTCATGGACGCCCGACGGCAAAGAGGCCAGGATCCTTTCAAACCACTCCTGGGCCTGGTCCCTTTCGCCATCACATGGACCCTGATACCTACCTATCTCTGGCTGAATCCGGTTATTCTCCATCGCCACCTGATTCCCTTCATTATCTTTGCTGGGATTGTCAATGCATACTCCGTGGGGCAGATGATTGTGGCACACTTGGTCAAGGATAGATTTCCGTACCAAAATGTCCTTGTCGTACCGTTGGCTTGGGCCATCATCGACAGCCTGGGCCCGATACTCGGGCTGTGGCCAAGCGCGCTTGGAGATGATGTCTACCAAGTCGCGTTTGTTTTCCTGTCACTTGGTCTAGCGCTGGGTGTATACGGCAGCTTTGTTCACGATGTCATAACCACGATCTGTGACTACCTGGATATCTGGTGTCTCACGATCAAGCACCCTTACGTGGAGAATGCCCAGAATTCTGAAGCCAAAAAGTCCAAATGAGTCGACACACGCCTCTTTGGTGAATCCTGTGGCGTTGAACAACAAGCAGATACAAACGACTCGATCGGCGACGTCTTCACACACAATTGCTGACTCATTTTCTTACAACCTGACAACATCGTCGATTCATGGGTGACTATGGAAATCACTTGCGACAAACGGACCCGGCTATAAATGCTCCTCATTTCTGATTGTCAAATCTTTGTTCTCGGACCACCCAGGAACACCTCACCAATCGACTCCCAAAGCCAACCTCTTTTCATCATGTCGTCGGAAAACCAAGACGCCTCTAACAAGGGTGAGTCCAAGAATGGCACTGTGGGGAAAGGGACTGCCACCACGTTGTTCCATCGATTCTGTCCTTGGAAGCCAAAGTGCGCGAGAAAGGCTACCCAGACAAAGCTACTGACGGAATCATCTCCATCAGAATCGGAAGTCAACTCTTCCCCGAACGCGGTTCTTTTTGGCCCGGTTCAGCAATATGGTCAGTGCTGATCCCTGTTTCTGAGCCCTTTTATGGAGTACTCAATTATTGCAAGGCCAAGTCTCCTACCTGCACCCTGGGCAGTACGCATCGAATACCGGCATCACGCGCGCCTTCAAAGGGCACATCACAACCACGGTCCACGGAGTTGAAACCATCATGCCCACTCACGAGTATCTGCACCACCCTGAAGAGACGCGATCGGCAATTCTGAACCTCAGACTTCGCCTGGATTCCGGCTACTACCCCAACCCTATCAAGCCGCCGCCTGACGCTCCCCCTCCCCCTCCTCCGATCGACATCACCACTGGGAAGCCCAAGTCGGAGTCTTCCAAGGCGTCTTCTGAGGCTGGTGCCGCAGAGAAGAAGTGTCCGCAATGCCACCATGCAAGTACTCCGGCTCTGACAGACGCCGTTTGGATCTGCTCGGGCTGTCTCCAGGGTCATAAGTTCGTACTGGCTAACGATTGCGAAAAGCGTTACTAGTCCTTCCCGGCTAAGTAAAGGAAGGGTCGGGGGCATCGATTCGCTCCTTTGTCCATGACGAGCGTGACGCGAGGACGATGGTGATGATGGAGACGGTTGAGTATCCTGCTCGTGCTCGATGAACAGTTTGAGCGATGCAAACTTGGGGGAAGGTTCGGTCATCAAGTTTCTAAAATACCGGGGAGGCGAAAGGGCTGGCTTGCTTACGATTCAGGGGGCATATTCTTGGCTTGTGGGATGGCACGGCATGGTGGTTCTGAGCAATGAAATTTCAACACACACACACGTACAACTTTGACACGCTGTTGGCGCTGGAGTTGAGCTGCGCGAGACTTTTCGGGGGTTGGAGAAATCAGCAACGTTTACTTCAGGGACGACATGCACATTAGCTGGAGGGGTCTGGTATCAATCTCACAGAGCGAACCAAGACCCAAATCAGATGATTCGGCTGGGTGTTTGTTGAGAGAAATAGAAACAAAAACAAAGATGGCTTTCTTTTTCTCAGGCAGAATTTTTTGGTTTCATCAGGTTCTCTCTCTTTTTTTCGGTGCTCATGAACATCCGTCCGTAGCTTGAAGAAGCACTTTCAAAAAGCCACGAAAAAAACACTTCATGGGGTTCCTCCTCCCTGTGGGGTGGCAATAGTCAAAGCACCATGAGGGTTCCTCTTCGCTGCCACCGCCCGACAGATTGAATGCTTACAACAATGCCCAGCTATTTTCCTGTATTGGAGCGAGGGAAGGGGTGTTGCGTGATTCCGGAACTGTCGATTAAAAAAAAGAAAAGCTTGACCATCATACCCCAGACCCGCACTGCCAGGTACGGCTTCTGGTTTTCCCCCATTTTTTCCGTCTCTGTCCGAATTTCTCTTCTCCCACTGCTGTTGTCTATGCTCAACATAACCCCGCCACACGCCTCGACCATTGATAGAAGACTGTAGATGAAGGACCGCAGGCGTGGAAACGGGCAACGACGCGCGACAGGATATTCGACATGAAAGTGGTAATGGTGGATCGCTTAGTAGCCCAGCTCGGCCAACTTCTTCTTCGCCGGCCCATCTGCGGTCGACTTGGTTGCCTCGACGAGCTGTCTTCGTTGGGCCTTCTTTCGCTCGTAGTAAGCGGCACCCTTGACTTTTCTTCGCTCCTCGAGTCTATTGCCACATTGTCAGTTGAGATCCTCAAGGTTTCACCGAAAACTCCAGCCAGACACCGATTGCTCCACTGTGTTGGCGGAGATGGCATCGGGACGTACCTCGCAACCACATCCTGGTATTTCCATCCTACTTCATGCGCCAGTCTTCCCACTGTGCAGTACTTCCGTCCGGGCTTTAATCTCAGGACCCTCAATGCCTGAGGCACAACCATGCGTTGCTTCTTGTCGTATGGTGGGGGGATACCTTCGAAGACCTTCAATCTCTCCAGTGCGGCAGCACCGCGGGCAGTCTTGTGTGGGATCATGCCTCGAACGGTCTTGTAGAAGATGCGGGCGGGGGCGCGGAAGTGGAAGGGGCCACCTCGAGTTGGGTTGTAGCGAGTGATTTTGCGGAGGTAGGCATGGTACTTGACTGTTTGATGAAAACGACATATGTTAGTCCAGATACACAGGTAGGAGTGACAACGGAGGCTGTAGTCGAGCAGAAGAAAGAGAGAGGCGTACGCTTAGCACGGAAGAATTCGCCAGAGATGTTGAGGGCCTCGCATCTCACGACGACGATTTTCTGGCCATTCAAGAGTTGCTTTGCGACTGTGCTGGCGAGACGACCGAGCAAGTGCCCCTTGCCGTCGATGACAACCTGGAGGAAAAAAAGAGGTCGCTGTCAGTACTTTTTCATCCGTTGCATTCTGTCGACGATCTGGGCGCAATGCCGCAAGGGAAGAACTTACGACGGGCTCGAAGGTCGACATCTCGCTCTCAATCACCTGCAAAGAGTCGTACGGGGAAGAATTCGCAAGTTGGGCGAGGACGTGGTTGTTGGTTGAGTTCGTCAAAGGCCGAGATTGAGTCAATGAATTGTGTAGATGCGCTTTGGTTTCCGTCGTGCGCACGCCAAGACATTTATCTCTTGGCGCGAATATTGAAATGCACGTGAAGCTGCTTAGTCATTACGTGGTGCGTGGGCCAGCAGGACCCGCAGCATTTCGGCCCAAAAAGTTTCTATCGGTGGTCAATCATAGGAATTACCACGACAATGCTGGCGACCTCATCTCAAACTTGAATAATGCTCACAGAAAGCTTCGTTGCGGCGACTCTGACTGCGAACAAAGCTGTGGCACATGCTAGCGCCGCTTTGAAAGATGTAGGCATATTCCTTCACGAGTTTCAACCTCAGCGCGTCCTCCGGCAAGGCTTCAAGAAGAGTTCCAGTCAACCAGGCTGCGTGGCCATCAGTGATTCGCACATCTTCGCGGCCCAGGCAGAAAAGGCAGTTATAAACGTCTATAGTCGAGAAAGGGTCAATCAAGAAGCCACTGTCCCATTTCCCGAGCGGATATCCAGCCTCGCCTATGCCCGAGGAGCAGAAATCTTGGTTTTGGGGACTGAGGCAGGGAAATTGATTCTATGGGAAGTTGCAACAGGCAGAGTAACAAATTCGGCGGCGTCCCATCTTCAAGCTGTTTCGTGTCTTTGCATCACACCTAGGAACGAATACATCATTTCTGGCTCTGCTGACTCGAGCATTCATGTTTGGTCGCTAGCAAAACTAGTCTCGTTCGCGCCGCCTTCAGACAACTATGAGGACGACGGTGCCTCAAATGCTCCCGTCAAGACCTTTTCAGGGCACCGAACGGCTGTTAGTGCCTTGATATGTGGCCACTCCAGCATCACTACAAATTTTGCGGTTTCAACTTCCAGCGATGGAACATGCCACATTTGGCATATCGAGACATGTCAAGTGTTGCGGACTGTGTTGCTACCCTCCTACGCAACTTCCATCACAATTGATCCAGCGGATAGAGCCATCTATTTTGGATGCAAAGATGGGAGGATCCAGTCTTGGGACATCTTTCAACAGTCGCCCACGACCAGTATTTCACTTTCTGAGCATCCAACCCCTCCGGCCATACAACTTTTGGAGAAGGATAGTTGGAAAGCCTCATCCGCCGACGTGGGAACAGTGAATTGTGTTACTCTCTCCTATGACGGGACATCCGTCCTCTCTGGTCATGTGAATGGAACTATCATCCGTTGGGACGTCGCTAAGCGTCGAATTCTACAAGATCTGACGAACTTGGGCCAACCAGTCACGAACATTGAGATGCTCAAACCCGAAGGCTTTCCTAATGTGGAAAGGCATGGGTATACTATCTCAAGCGTTGTGAAGCCCAACCTTGATTTCGCGTCAATGAAAGACAACGGTACTTGCGGCATACCTCCGAACTACGGTCTCCATATCTCGATCACTGCCCGAAACAGCCTCCCCGAACATGACGAATTCGCAGAAGCTATTACCGGTCCTGGGATCCCACAATCTATGCTGGATGCAGCCATCCACTCCCTAGCAATGGGGAATAGCGCAACCCAAGCCTACGTCTCAACAGATACTGCCGGGATAGCCAAGGCAGAAAGACTCGAAGAGGAAGTGTCCAAGTTAAAACAGCAGCTCGCCGTCCTACACAATCTGGAAGCAAAACGGAGGGACAAGAGGCTTGCGAGAATGGGCAAGCGGGATGATCTGGCGCTGAAGAAGAGGGAAGCGTATTTTGAAGCGCAAAGACAAGGAAAGGACGGAGATGCAGCGATGAAAAAGTGGGAGAAGAAGGAAGCGGACCTCGATCGTGAGAGCGACGAAGACGTTGAAGATGGAGAAGAGATGGATGTCGGCTGAAGGAGCATTTCAAAATGGCCACTATCAGTCCAGTTGAGGACCCTGAACAACAGGGCCGATTCCCCAAGCGCCCCTTGTCTGTAAGAGCGGAAAGCCGGAGGAGTGTCACGAACTTTATTCAGGTGCAGCAGCTTCCGCAAAGCAAGACATCTCGCCGACAATTAATCTGAGGAGTCCACCATGCCCCCCTCTCCTAATATCGGCTGGATGTCCACCAGGATTTAACATGGTCACCACATGATCAGCAAGATTGGAGCGGGATCGAGCCTTACTATAAAGGTTATCTCACAAAGGAAAACCCGAGAGGGAAGATACAACTGCGCCTCACATCCCAGGCGGCTGACAGAGTGTATTCAGCCTTGCCATTGGATACTCTTCACAGTATGCATTCTAAGACGCTGCACATACACGAGCGAATGCTGAGGGGTTAAATGGATGTCTTCGTCAGCCATCAAGAGTGTGCTCCATTTGCAGAGGAAGGAAACGGTATTCTCGAACAAAACCAGTTATCATATAGAGCAGTCCTAATCCTGAAACCGCGTTGCAGGAAGACCGATGAGCAACTCCAGCAAAGCCTCCCAGGCATAATATTCATATCAAAAACCCCTTATATCTAGAATATCCCTGCGAAGCCTTTCTGAAACACAGACGAGACAACAGCTCAAGACACTGGATTGGTCATCAAATGTTTTGCGTAATCCCAGGTTGAATCTTGTCCAGGATGTCGCTCAGCTCGTCCCACACCTTCTTGGCCGCCGCGTCGCCGTCCTGACTCCTCACAAAACTCGAGAGGGCGCCGTCGTCCACCTTGCCGTCCGACATGTACTTGCCGTGCGACTCCATGCCGGCCTCGGCGGCGGCGACCAAGGTCCGGCTGCCCACCTCGGTCGAGCGGGCCAGGAAGAACTTCATCACCTCCAGGATGATGGATCCCTCGCGGCCGAGCTCGGAATGGCACAGACCTGGATTGAGGTAGTTGAGAATGACGCCGGAGCCGGCGAGCTTGGGCGCGATCTGGCGGATGACGAGCACCTCGAGCAGTTTGCTGGTCGGGTATCGTTCCTTCAAATTCGCCGTCTTCTCGTCGTCGAGCACCTCAAAGACATGGGGTTCTTTCCACTCGGGGAATTTGGACCAGCCGTGCACTTCGCTGGACACGATGCTGAGGCGCGGGTTCGTCTTGAAGTCCTTGGCCGTGGCCTTCAGTTTCGGTAACAGGAGCAAAGCCAACAGGAACGTGCTGATAACATTGACCGTGATGGTCCGTTCGTGGCCCTCGGCGACACTGTAGGTACCAGTGGCGATACCGGCGTTCTCGAGCAGCACGTCGATGCGGGAAAGCTTGGATGCGCGGTCGGCGAATGCTTTCACGGATGCGTACGAGGAGAGGTCGAGGTCCCAGACCTCGATCACGTCGGGGCCACACTTGGTGGTCTTTTCAATGTCGCTTTTGGCAGCTTCGCCAGATTTGGTGTTTCGCACGGCCAGGATCAGCTTCGAGGCCCCCAGACGAGCGAAATGTCGTGCTGCCTCCTTCCCCAGCCCGGTGTTGCTTCCGGTCACAATGACGGTTTCTCCAGCAAAAGATCTCTTGGGATAAGCTGGTTTGATGAATAGTTGAGAGTATAGGAATCCCATATTGACGATGAAAGAGGACTGGGAAGATATTGGATGGAGATGGGTGTGGAATCAAGATGGCAGTTTGCAATAACACTTACGGTGTAGTTTGGTAGCAAGCAGGCCTCAGTTCGAGCACTTTATATCAATACTCAGCTCCAATTTTCCTACAAAAGGGAAAGCAGTTAATCCCGGTGCTACTGCGTGGAACGTCACCAAGACCCTATGGTCCAAACTCTGTTGTTGAAGACAATTGCTGGGGTTCTGTGCATTCAAGGTTCTGGAAAGCTTTATAGTATACTCGACGCTAGACCTCGCAGGGCGAATCCCTGCGAAATTGTTCGTCACCACATGTTAAGACTTGGAGACGGAGCAATGAACGGCCAGTGTTGTCGTTCCATGTAGCGAGGTGGGCCGGATTTAAACCCCGACAAACTCCGCTCCAGATCTCCTTTGAGCATCGTCAGTCGGAACAAATTCTCCCCGAGGACGAGTTTGTTCGGAGCGACCAGGAGATAAAAACATGCCAAAATGCACAAATCGTTTGGGATAGGATGCCACGCATGGACTACTCAATGCTTAACATCGATGGTTTGATTGAGGGACTTCCCAGGTGAGGCTAAAAGGCGACACTGAGATGCTCAGCCACATGTGAGCTACGAGAACTGTTAATCTGCCGACAAGGACCATGTCGTATACCAAGTAGGAATCACTATGCGTCCGGACGGAGATGACGGCTGCGGGGTAATAGATGAGGGAAGCTCATGAAGAAATTGGACTCGTGAGAAGTGCTCTGGTCAAGAGAGCGAGAGAGGTGGTATCGTATGTGAGGCTGTGGTTAGATCGACACATGGAGACCCCTGATCCTTTGCCTACCACGCCTGCTCAACAAATCTACATTGTCATTACAAGTCTTGGCATCACGTGTTTTGCGGTGCTGGGTGCCTGCCACGTGAGTGGAGCAATCGCAAGCCTCAATCCTCAGAAAAAAGTCAAGTCGATCCAAGTCAGTCCTTTCGATACACTCATTAACAAACTTTTGTCGTAGGGATCTCGAGCGCAATCCAGCCCTCGAGTCTCTGGAGCCCGCATTTTTTCACCACGGTCTCCCTTACCTGCTTCATACAACCTTTCACTTCTCCCCTCCGCATTTCAATCCTTGCAGCCGGTTCTGCACTTGAGCCTTGCTCGCAGCACATTCTCCGAAAAACAGCCTCTGTCCCCGTTGTCCAGCTCCTACAAACACGCGGCTACGCTAAGAAGAAAATGCCACCCAAAAAAGCCGTCGAAGAGAAGAAGGTCCTACTAGGCAGGCCCGGCAACAACTTGAAGAGCGGTATCGTATGTAGGCAGATCCCGCACAAGATGGTTTAACTATTCTTGAAGACATGGGTGGCTGACTGTTCTCTCCTCCAGGTTGGCCTTGCTAATGTTGGCAAATCAACACTCTTCCAAGCCATCACAAAATGCTCTCTAGGCAACCCTGCAAATTTTCCTTATGCCACCATCGAACCTGAAGAAGCCCGAGTTATTGTCCCCGACGCACGATATGATTGGCTATGCGAACACTACAAACCCAAGTCTCAAGTTCCCGCCAACTTGACGGTGTACGATATCGCTGGTCTCACTCGAGGATCTTCAACTGGCGCTGGTCTGGGTAACTCCTTCCTGTCGCACATCCGAGCGGTTGATGCGATCTTCCAAGTTGTGCGATGCTTTGATGATGCAGAAATCATTCACGTCGAGGGCGACGTCAACCCCACAAGAGACTTGGACATTATCTCAGAGGAACTACGGTTAAAGGACATTGAGTTCGTGGAGAAAGCCAAGGAAAACCTGTCTAAACAGACAAGAAGAGGTGGTCAAAGTCTCGAGATGAAGAAGCTGAAAGAAGAGGAAGCAACAGTAGACAAGATTCTGCAGTGGCTGAAAGACGGCAAGGATGTGAGGAAGGGTGAATGGGGCCCTAAAGAGGTACGTTACAACTTTTTTTCTTCATTGTGCTTTTTGTCTTTTCATGATGAACAAGAGCTATAAGCTCGACATAATCCCAGCTCGTCGACAGCAGTCTCACCCAAAATCTCACGTTTAGAGGCTGTTATGAGAGGAAGTCCAACCCTGATATCATATTTTTGTTTGGATCGATTTGTCATTGCCGTGTATGCCTTTGAAGCTAATCAGGCGGCGCAACAGATTGAAGTTATCAATCCTCTCTTCCTTCTCACAGCCAAACCCGTAGTCTACCTTATCAATCTCTCCGAGAAAGACTATCTTCGTCAAAAGAACAAACACCTGCCCAAAGTCATGGAATGGATCAAAACCAACTCTTCAGGCGACCCCGTCATACCTATCTCCGTCTCGTTTGAAGAACGTCTCGCGGTCATGTCCGACGAGGAAGCCGCCGAGGAATGCAAAAATCTCAACACCAAATCCGCTCTCCCGAAAGTTATTGTGACGATGAGACAAGCACTCAATCTCGCAAGCTTTTTTACCACTGGGACGGATGAGGTGAGGCAGTGGACGATTAGGAAAGGCACCAAGGCACCACAAGCTGCCGGTGTGATCCACACGGATTTCGAGAAGACGTTCATCCAGTGTATCGTGTATAACTATGAGACCTTGAGGGAATACGGCGATGAAAACGCTGTGAAAGCGGCAGGAAAAGTCATGACCAAAGGAAAAGATTATGGTGAGTTCCTCGACCCTCTCAACTCTCGGCACTGTGGAATTGAGGAAGAATTTAAAGACTAACATTGTTTATGCACAGTTGTGGAGGATGGCGACATCATTCTTATCAAGGCCGGTGCTGCAAAGGCGTGAGATGGCTGTAGACCACAACTCTCAAGCTTCTGACGCCTTCGCAATGTTAGATTCGAGCTAGGGATGGCCCTGCATCGCAGCTTCGGCTTGCCTTCAATCTCTGACGCAGAGGATATCTGGCCTAGGTTGAAGGGGGTGTAGCCTTTTCCAGAGTTCAACATTGACCACGTTTTAGCGGTTCTAGACATCCTACTTTGCTACGCTTCCCAAATTCAATCTAGAAGACGGCGAGTGGCTAGCGAATTTCCGTCAAAGCAGAGTCTGAATGAATAATGTTTGACAACTTATGCGCAGCGATCGAAATTAAAATCTAAAAGTTTCTCCCGAGCATTGGAAAATGCGGTGTTTTCTTTACCTCCTCGGCCGCGAAGACTGCGTCTACCCTTCTCCTTTTTTTTCCGGCAGAATGCTTTTGTAGGCTGGATGGCTGGTGTGTACGATGTACTTGTGCCGAGTACAGGTATGCTGTCAAGGTCGCTGGCAGGTCAACCCACAGCTTGAGTCCACCAGTGTTTCAGCATCAGGCCCATCACTCTCTTTCATTTCTCTTCGTTCATCCCTCTTGACGAACCTCTCGAGTCGCATTCACAGTCACAACCCACTGTCGACGTATCCACCGTACCCGTCGCCGCCCAACACCCTCTCCGCGTCCTGGCTCCAGCCGGCCTTCTTCCTGAGGTACTCCCCACCCAGCCACAGCCGGATGCACGTGTCGGCGGGTTTCAGCTGCGGCGACTCCATGGGGACGAGCTTGTAAAAGTTCTCGTCCAGCAAGGTGGGTTCGCACGTGCAGTGGCGGGACTCTGCGTCGGGGAGCCAGAAGCGAGATTCGCCTCCTCCTCCTCCTCCTCCTCCTCCTCCTCTGTGGTGGGTCTCATATTTGTCTTCGTCTTCTCCCCCATCGGAGGAGGTGGTGCTGATGCTGGTCGTCTGGCTGGGTCTGGATCTGGGACGGGTGGTGGAGGAAGCGGTCCTGCTCGGCCCCTGCGGCGGACAGTGTCGCGCAATGTCGTGCTGGTAGCCGATGTCGCGGAACCACCAGACCCGGTCGGGCGGGGCGAACATGGAGACGCTCAGCGTGTGGACGGGCGCGTCGCCCCAGCGGCTGTAGTAGAAGCCGCCCTTGTCGTCGAGCCAGTCAAAGTACCTGCGGTTACCCTCGTTGTCGCGGAAGAAGGAGAGGGCGCCGATCTCAAAGTTTGAGAAGAACTGGCAGTTGTTGTACGTCAGGCCCGTCTGCGGGTCGAGGAGCCAGTCGAGGCTGGCGTCCGGGTGCACCAGTTGTGGGTGGGCGGTGATGAAGTCGCGGGTCGTGGACCACAGCGAGGCGAAGCTCCGCGCGTCGTCCAGGATGGCCATGTTGAACCCGTACACCATCCCCGTCGCCTGCATGAACCGGAACGGGTCGTACGGCACATCGCAGAAGAAGTGCACGTCCGGCTCCACGCGCCAGTAGTATTCGTACGCCGCCAGCGCCGGGTGCAGGTAGAACAAGCCCGATTGCCAGCGGATCATGGCGTGATAGCTGAGCAGGTGGCCCTTGCCCACCGACGTCAGAGAGAGGTAGTCGAGCGAGTTGTGGTAGAGGGTCTGGTTGATGTGGGAGGGTGTGACCCAGTGTGCGTGAGGGACGAGGTGATACTCTGTCCGCGCTGGTGTCGCATTCGAGGTCGCCGCCTGTGTGCCCGTCAGCAACGTTATACCACCCAAAGCGATCAGCTCTCTCTTCGAGATTCTAGAAATCTTCTTTTCCATCTCAATCGGCACAAAACGCAGTCTCATCCAACACCTCAAACGCTCAAAGCGGGTATGCAGGATGTGGAGAGATGTTCTGACCTTAAACTCGTCCGAGAACGGCTTCTCATTAAAGAACACCCAGGGATACTGGTACCGCCTGTTCCATCGAAACTCCAGCTGACGCATGCTCTGCAGAATCCCGTCGAGCTCCTCGTTCCTCACCAGACTGATCAGCGCCGCCTTGGGCCGCCTGGTCCGCAGGTCGTTCGGATATGAGTTCTCCTTCAGCCATTTCCCCGGTCTGGTCCTCCTCTTGCCCGTCCCAGCCAGGTGAGCACCCGACCTCCAGTCTTTTGAGAGTTGAGAGAGGACGTCGTCGCTGGAGTCGCGGATGCTGAGGTAGAGTTGGGCACACAGCAAAATGGCGAGGAACACGAGGAGCCAGCGCCAGAGGCTCCTCTTCGGCCAGCGTAGGCAAGTAGCGTAGTTTGAGCTGTGAATGGTCGAGTCGCGCGGACTTTCGTCGGGTCTCCTGAGGGACGAGGGAGAGGAGGCTTTGCTCAAGAAAGAAGACTCGCGCGTAGCAATGCGGGTGAAGACGTTCGCGCGTGAAGAGGAACTGGAACTCGCGGCGCTGGAGCCCGAGTTGACAGCGGTGATAGACGAGGGCAAACTGAGGGATTGGAGTCGCTGACCTGGCGGCGTCGTGAAATAGGATGGATCCATGGCGCACGGATAAAGCAGTGATGAACGGCAGAGTAGAATCTGAAGCAATACAGATGGGTTTTGAGGAGTTTGCAATCGAGGTAGTCAAGTGAAGTTCAGTTTTCCATCACCAACCGGCCTTTGAAGTCACAAAAGTCATGCCAACCCCATTCATTAATTCTTGAACCGCGGAAACGATGCCTTTTCCCATTCCTCGTGCTGGCGTTCAATTGACCCGCGCTTTACCTTCAAGCCACTGATAACCTTGAAACTCTCAACCAGTTCATGCGCCTCCCAAGCATAGACCACGTTTACAAAGCCATTTGATCTTGATCCTGGGGCATGTCGTCCATGATATGTAACATTTTTGCATAAGGTACAGTGATCCGCTGCAAATCTCGATGTTTGCCTGTTCGAATAGTTAGTCACTGCATATCCACGAGCCTGGACAGGGAGCAAGAGATCCTCACCAAGAAGTAGGACAACATCTTTGAGCAGCTCTTCTCGAGGCCATCCACAAATCGTCTTGGAGTCTTCCTGCCAGTTGCGGCCTTCCACAGCGTTTATGGTCGCCGCAACACTCTCCGCGTCTTGACCTGACGGTTCCACGATGCCGCCGATCAGTGTTCTCAGTAGTTCTTCGACCTTCAACCTCAAACCTTCGGCGCCCAATCGTTTTGCATACATGAGCAGGTATATCCGGAATTCGTCCTTTGCGCCCAGCATGAGCGCTGCGGCGATGCGGTTTTCCAGATGAGCAATCGACACACCGGACTCGAAACTTTCAAACCCTTCTCGTGACAACAACACCTTGATGAGTCGCTGTAAGAAGTATGCTCGGCCTCGCAGCAACGTCTCCGATGTCGTGTTTCTCTCCAGCCACGGCACGATCCCTGAGGATACGTCCACGGATTTTTCGAAGTCGGTCTTTGCTTTCGAAGACTGGATGTTGCCCACGGAAGAGTCGGTCGTGTTCCAGTACTGACTGCCCACCGCCCACCAAACCTCGGATAGCCGTTGCCAACAATACATCTGAGGCGAGTACGCATACCCATCACCATTCGACAGGCTAACGATAATCCTACCTTCGGAATTCAAACGAGCTTGTGTGATAGCAGGCGCACCTGTAGGATGGGCAGCCAGTGAATGGACCGCCGCGTCAAGTACAGGTGCTAGCGATACGGGCGGATGTGGAGACGACATGGTTTTGACATTCCAGACATAACAAACACCGACCGCAGTGATGCACATCAGCCAAGAATCGTAGGACGCCAGGATCACTGGTTGAGCTTCCATGACCAGAGCACTATTCAGCCGTCGGCCATGTGGCGTCCACAGGTATAAAGAGCCTGTCTCATCTGCCGCCGCCCAAAACGATCTGGTACCTGTGACCAAAAGAACTGGACGAGGAAGGAAATCCTGCCACAGAGGCTGATCTTTCCTCGTCAAAGTGATCCGACACGGTTCCCGATCCTGCGCCCTGGGTGTCAATGATTGTCCCGAGGGATTCTTCGCCTCGAAGACGAATTCGGCTCTGGACCTGCTCGCCGTGTCGCCAGACATGTCACCTGGTTTTCCTGTGGCATCAATCCCCAGCACGACATGGGTGCGCACTTTGGGGATGGCAAGTCGAAGTTGACTCACGCTCAGCGCCTGGTTGATGACAGCTGGTCGTATGAACTCTGGAGTCACCTGTTGGCCGCTTGCAGCTGGTTGGTGTTGTGCTGGGAGGAGTCCATCCGCGCCGTTAACGAGAATGGGTGTAGCTCCCTTCTGACTTGCTGCCACCACTCGTTTCTCGGCAGTGCCCTCTTCTTCCCCCTCGATCTGTGCGTATTTTCGTTTGTTCCCAAGCAATAATGCCGCCAGGCCACCTTTGGGAAGCCCGTCGAACGGTTTGGAAAGGTCCAACACGGTCTGAGGGGTGTCTACCGCTTGCACATTCGCACTGGCACTGACCAGCTTCGTCTGCGGCAGGGAAGACTCCGTCCCGCCGGCACCAGATACCAATAGAGGCCGTATTCTCTTCTTACCATCCTTAGTGATCTCGACTCGATTCTTGAGTCTCTCGAGTTTGGCCTGGTTTTGATCGTCTTGTGCCTTTGCTGCGGCTTGCCCATTGGTCGTTGTTTCCACAGTTCCATTTGAGAGGTTTTGGGTGATTGTAATTGTACCATTCGTGGTGACAGAGGGCTTTTCTGCCGTCGCTGGTAGTGAGGAATGGAGATCCCCCATCAAGGCGCCCATGCGTCCTTCCACGCCCTTGATCTCACCAGCCTTGCTCATTTCTTCAAGCAAGAGCGCATCGGTGCTTTCCGGAAATCCTATTCCCTTCCTAGATGTGCCGTACTTGGAGAGTGATCTGTCGTTTTCTTCGATGGGTCTTGCGTAGCCCAACTCTCCCACTTCAAACATTACGGTCAAAATGGTGCCATCCAATGCAGTGGCGAACAGGGTTTGGCCATCCGGACTCCAAGAAATATCTGAGATTGGCTTGCCAGCTACATCTTGCTGAACGACAATGGGCCGAGGACTGCTGGTGGTCCAAATGCTCAGACACTTATCTGCCCCTCCACATGCAATTACCGTCGTATGAGGTGTAGGATGATCTTCGTGGGCATACTTGGAAGGAGGCTCTGGTCCGTAGAGTCTTGGAGAAAACGCGCACACCTCCACTGGGCCTTCATGTCCAATTAAGGTGGTGTCGCCGTCCCATGTACCACGGTTGATGATGGCGATCGCGCTGACAGGACCGTTCACCGCGTTGGCCGCCGCGATATGCATTCCGTCGGGAGCCCAGGAGCATCTGCGGAAGTATGTTGTCAAAGGGGAATTGACAAAAGGCTGGCTGATGGTCGTTTCGAGTGTAAAGTTGTTTACTGCATCGTGAGTCGTGTAATTTTGCGTGGGAGAGGTGAATCGAAATATCCGGATCGTTCGGTCGTCGCTTGCGGTCGCAAAGTATTTATTGGCAGGATCAAAAGTGATGCCTTTGACGTGGCTGGCATGATTCGAGAGTGTCTTCAACTTTTCAAAGGTAAAGCCTGACCAGACCACCACTTTTGAATCCAAACCCACCGACACCAGGATCGTCCCGTCGTATGACCAGCCCAGATCTTGTACATCGTTGTCGTGTCCGATCAGTCTCCGGAAGATGCGCCAATTCTCGACGGGAGGGGCCTCGTTTGAACCTGTCTCAATCTCAGCATATGTCTCACTGACTGCGCCAGCCGACCGCAACTCGACGCACCGAATGTGGCATGGGTTGGAGGACTCGGGTCCAGAGTATACACGCAGACAATCTTGTCATCTGCCCCTGACGCCAGAAATTTCCCGCCGGGTGAGAAGCGCACGGTGTGAATGGTGCCCGAGTGGTAACTCATCGACGCCAGCTGCTTAGGCTTGTCGTATTTCGCATTCGCGGCATTATAAATGGCCTCGGTGGACCAGATTCGCACGTAGCCATCTTTTTAATCCTTTCAATCAGTGAAGGAACTCTTTGTCATGATGTGCAAATGTTCACGTACCGCCGGCTGCGGTGACCAGGCGCTTGCCGTCGGGGGAGACATGGCAGCTGTAGACCTCGAAATCTTTCTTTTCGCCTATTCAGAAGTAACCGTTAGTTAACGAACCAAGGGCATATGTGGATGCGACACAGTCTACGCGGTTTGCGACGCGTGCACAAGGGGTTTTGGGGTGGAAAGTGTCGAACCTCCGTGGGTGAGCCAGATGGGCTTGATGATGTGCATTGCGGATCTATCTTTGTCGCTGGTGGGAGCACATTCTGGAGGGGAGAGGTGACTAGGCCATCCTGCGACAGTAAGATCAGAATCAAGTTGAATGTGTGAAAAGGCTGACGCGTGAGTTGGTAGGGGGGTAGAAATTCTGGTCTTGTTGAAATGTAGTTTCGCAAGTCCACGTCCGCACTCCGCAGTTCACGGTCAGGCATATTATGACATGCTTCACTTTAATTAATACGGGGCGAGGCTTGACCAATAAGGCTGAACGACTTTGAGGCTAGTTAAGAAGGCAGAGATACAGATATCCCATTACATTTGTATTTTGTCTGTGCTTTTCCTGAGGGTCCTGGGACTCTCTGGTATAGTGGTACATAGCTACCGACTTTTTCCCTCTCAGTCCATGTCAAATAATACACGCAGGAGCGCCGTCGCTGCGTCATGAAGGAGTCGAGTGTTCGCTTTCCCGACATAATAATCTCGCATTGATGTGCCGTTGATATGTCCTCCTACTTTCTCGCCTCTCGTGTCTGCTCAAACCCTTCAAGCACTGTCTGCGCGACGTCTTTTGCATTCCCGTGCTGGGCCGCCTCAATCACTCTGGCCCCAACATCCTTCGAACTAGACTCGTCTTTATCCGTCGACGCACCGATAACTTTGCCAGCCAGGTTCCTGGTTTGGTTCTCGTTGACCTTGCCATATACTGCCATAGCCGTAGCAATCATCTGACCAATGTCTCCGACATTACCTGGAACCACGACAGCAGTGCCCTCCTTGGCCAGGTTGCCAAAGGCTTCAACATACTTTTCTGCGACGCTCAAGCTAACGGCGCCCTGGGCATTGGCTTCGCCGCGTTTGATAGCATCCGCAACGGCATCGATACCCCGTGCAGTTGCCTGTGCCTTGAGCAAAATAGCCTCGGCCTCACCAGATGCCATATTGATCTGCTCGGCCTTCAGTGCCTCAGATGCCAAAATAACGGATTGTTTACGACCCTCGGCGATGTTGATTGCACTCTGCCGCTGACCTTCGGAATCCAAAATCTCGGCTCGTTTTGATCGCTCTGCTGTGACTTGCCTGTGCATGGCCGCCACGACACCTTCCGGAGCATGGATATCCCTTATTTCGTATCTCAAGCATACGACACCCCACTCTTGTGCGGCCTCGTTGATCGCCTGCGTAATGTTTGCGTTAAGATTCGCCCTTTCCTTGAGAACGTGGTCCAATGTGAGTTGACCGATTTCGGACCTCATGGTGGTCTGCGCTAGCTGTGAGATGGCATATTCCGCATCTTCAACACCGTAACTAGATCATCCTTCAGCAAAAGTCCGTTCCACCTTTGAGCTTCACTCTGGCCTACCTCGCTTTGTAAGCATCAAATACTCTTGTGTAAAGTACGCCATCCAATTCTAACGTGACATTGTCTGCAGTAATGGCACTCTGGCTGGGGATCTCGATGGCCGCTTCTTTCAACGATTGGACGTAGGCGATGCGCTTCCCTCGTATGTCAGCCCCTACTTTTGTAATTCCAAGAAAACAGTGCATACATCGATGATCGGGACGAGAATAGCCAACCCAGGCTCCAATATCCGATTAAATTTTCCCATACGCTCCACAATCCATGCTGTTTGCTGCGGTACGAATCGGATAATGGTGTTCGCGGGTAGGCTCGTCTGGCGTTGGAAGTATGTCGGAGAGGAACTGGAGCCGCCTATACCCATAGGACCGCCTGGAAATGGTATACTGGGAGTCGTAGTGAACTGTCTTCGGCTCCATATGGCCATCGGGGAGTAAGCTAGAGCAGCAGTCGAACGGTCCGCATGTCGAAGTGAAACGGCAAGCCTTGAGGCACGCCGGGGTAAATTTCGTAAGGCCATGTGCGGTGCCTCCATCATGGCGGCCGTCGCAGTAAGACTATGCGGTCGGCAGAGGACAACAAGTCAACGAGTTGAAAGGTTGTAATTGCGCAGGCGACAAGTTGATGCTGGAGAAGCCAAATGATGCACCATGGCGCTGTTCCGTCATGAGCCAATCACAATAAGGAGCGACTTTTGGCCGGAACGGAACGCCGCAATATTTATCCGGTCCGGGGAAAGGTAAATCCATGAGCGCGAAATCTAACAAAAATGTCTCGCAAGAGAAAACGCATGCGCAAGGTTTCAATCTCTTTCTTATTGTTGTTTGCGAAGACGCTCTTGGCTCAAGCCGGCAATCGCTCGCATTCACTGTAACATCCTGCTCGAGCCCACTATTGTCCACGAGGCTACACTCCCCTGAAGAGGGGGTTGGGAATGCTGCTTCTTCCTGTCTAACTGTGACCATAGTTGCGACAAGTACCCGCCGGGCGCGAAGAAGAACAGTGTCTCTCTCCTACATGTCGATCGTTCAAGCTATGGTACCTATGGCTTGCGGAGCCTGGCCTGCCTATGGTAGCAACCCCTGCAAAGGGTTGGCCGCAGGGAGTGGATGATGATTCTCCGACTAAACCACCTTCGCCGATGGATATCCGACCTCCGGCCGGATGCCGCCCTGTGGAAAATTGCACCAAGCTCGTGGGTCAAGATCTTGGTCGACGGGCTAGGATCTTGGTTATGGCGCCCTCTGGGATACCACCGATGATTTAAATGGGTCCTAAGAAACCATTGACGTATATTCAAATGAAACGCCCATATTCACTCCCATAACAAGGTCGACAACATTTCAACCCCAATGGACGGAAAGAAAAGGTTACGGCCGGTCACTTCGTGCCTGCCTTGTCGGGCAAAAAGAGTAAAGTGTGACCGGGTTAGCACAATGGAATCCTGGACTCATGTCGAGCCGATGGAGGATGTACTAATGTATGCATTTCAGGTGCATCCTACCTGTGGGCGCTGTCTTGCAGGTGGCACCGAATGTGTCTACGACGGGAGTGCCAGCGGCAGCGGCACCGCGAGTGCGAGCACCAGTGCAAGTGCAGTTCCCCAGTTGTCTACCTGGCAAAGCGCATCGACAGCACAGCTCCCATCTTCGTCCGCCACAAGCAATGCAAGACCGGAGGAAGTGAGGGGAACAGGACCTCATACTGAGCGTAAGTGCCCCTTGCCACTGGCGAACTCGTCAATCAGCCAAATTAATGACCCGGACCAGCGCCTGCAGAGCCTGTGCCCAGGCAGATCGGCCCTGAGAGAGGACAGCTTTCTGTTTATGATGGTGGCCGCTCGGCCTATGTAGGCTCAACATATTGGGCAAATGCAATCCCTTCGGAGGTACTTGAGCATCCTAGCCCTTTTCACTTTTGTGGACTTCTTCCCCGTCAACTTTGCTTTCGCTGACTGTCGCCAAGATCAACCGCGACACGGTGCCCACGGTCCTCGGCGAGACCAGCCCATTCCCTAAATTTCCTGGCAGGATGCAGGATGGAGCTCTCGAATGGAGCGGCCAGAAGTTTCGCCCACCGCGCAACTGTGGCTTTGAATGGTCCCAGCCGTCGTCGAACAAATGCAAGTTCTGTGGAAGGAACTACAACATCTCATGTGTCATGGCACTGCTACCCAGTCGCGAAATCTGTGAGAAGCTGTGCGGGTTTTTCTTCTCAACCGTCTTTCCTCTGACGCCGATTTTCCACATGAAGAGTTTTGCTGAGGATTTCAGAACGTTCTGGGATGGCATTCCACCTGCGAGTGTGCACAACGCTGAGCCGAGCGTGTTTATGCGCAAGAAGCCGGGATTTCTATCTCTCTTATCTGCTATCCTGTTTGCGGCAGTCTTCTCGGCCGCGCCAGCTCGTCTGGAGCGTATCTTTGGAGAGCCCACCACTCTCAACCCCGGAGACATGTACTTCATTGCCATGGCCTCAGCTAGCTTGACCGGTTTCCCTCGACGGCCGAGCATCTACTCTCTGGCAGCTTACATCATTGCGCAGAGTCAGTTCGTGAGGGAAGAGGAATTCTCGGATGCTCCCGACTTTATTGCTACCTCTTTTCGTGTTGCGCTAGGCATGGGCCTACACCGCCAGCTTCCAGAATCAGGGCTACCTCCCTCCGAGTTGGAAACTCGACGGCGGCTTTGGTGGTATATCCTTCACCTGGATGTCATGTCTTCATCTTCATCTGGACTCTCACCTCTCTTCATCAACCAGAAAATGGCCAACACGGATTCCATCTGTCAATACGACGTTCAGAACGACGATCCAAGTGCTAGACAAGAAAGTAGGCTGACCTTTTGTGCCAGTGATCTTAGGATCTTTGCTGACTTATCGCAGTTGACGTTCGCTACTTGGTGGCGTCTCGCCGCTATGAAATTACTAGGGAGATTAGAAGAGTACTTGTGCTCCATTTCGAAGACGGCTTTCAATCACTGGAAGTGGTTGCAGACTGTGCTGGTCGCCTTCGAACGATAGCTGACCGCACCAGTGCTACAGTCGACACGTTGCTCAAGGCCAGAGTCGCTGCTGAGAGCAAAGCTGCGAAATCTACGACTCCTCGTCCCTTTGATCAAGCGCCGCTTATGCTTGACTTTGATCGGGTGTGGACTCTTCGGCCAGACCCGAGCGATAAGGAGGTGGTTGACTTTACGGCCTGGTCTGCGCTCCTGTTGCACCTCATGGTCCACAAGGCGTATTGTGTGCTTTACCACCCGCTGTTCAGGGATCCTGCGATGGTGGCCGACGAAAACATCCGAACAAAGTAAGAGCCTCAGCGCAGTCCTGTTTTACTGATAGCCCACGGCTAAACCACCTCACAGTGCGGTCAAACATGCCCAAGCATTCATCCAGGTGTTTATTCGTGTCTGCAACGATCCCATCTCTGAGCCCTTCCATTGGATGTACCCGGGCACCTACCAACCTCTGCAGGCGGTTTCACTCCTTCTAGCCGACCTGCTACAGCATCCATACAGCGACGATGCGGCCCTCTCGCGAGGCTTGATCGACGCCATCTTCGAACTCTACCAGGTGGACGAAGGCATCGTCAGCCAGAGCGACCCGCCTCGACGCCAGCTCTCGCCGTCCGGACGAGACGCGTGGACTATGCTGGTGAGGACGCGGCGCAAGGCCCTAGAGCAGGTCGGCATGGACTACCACGTGCTTTTCCCTTCCAACGCGGTTCTGTCGAGCCGCTGCATCTGCGGCGAAAGGATCTCGGCGGTCGAGAGCCAGGCTGCGGCCCACCAGCAGACAATGCACCGGACCAGGCCCGGGGAGGGACAGCCGCCAGTTCCTCCCTTGTCACAGGACATGCAGGGCGACAACCAGGGCGACCAGGCTCCCGGCCAGATGCTCTACGACCAAGTCGACTTTGACTGGCACGCGTGGGACACGGCGCTGGGGCCGTCGATTGGTCTGATGCCGTGAAGCGATTATAGCTTGTGTATGACGTGCTCAAAGCTGCCTATTCTATTCCTCGGATGAGGATGATCTTGGGAGGTGGTAGTTAGTGTGTCATGTCGCCCACGGAAGTTCTACAGAAAGGCCTTTTTTCTCGTATTTTTACAGGTATTTTCATTCTCAATTCTCTTCTTCTTAACCTTTGGTTTCTGTAGCTGGCTAGATACCCGGGTACCGACCTACCTACCTACCTACCTACCTACCTACCTACCTAGGTAGTAATATGTAGACTCTGGTATTATCCTGATCGGCACGCCCTAGTAGAGCACCAGCACCAGCACCGGTACCAAGTCCAGACATGGAACGATACCTTGCCATATCATATCACGATATACCATAGTATATTATAGTATATTATAGTATCTTATAATCTCCCACCAGCCCCACCCGTGAGTAGGCATCACCTGCCCATCCCTCCGAGGAACTTCAGCGCAGTCCAGTCCAGTCCAGCTCCTCTCAGCTTCTTCTCAGTGAATCAATGCCACGCCGACTTGTGCGGGTGTTTGTGGTCATTGTCGATCTTTGACTCTGCGACCTCGCGGATCCTGTCGCCGAGGTGGGCGTCGACTTTGGCGAACATGGCTATACGACACCACCAGTCAGTCAGTCAGTCGGTCAGTCGGTCAGTCAGTTCAGTGCCACTCTGATATTCTCCTGAAAATCCATCCGATCGTAGTACGCGGCAAAGAGGAGGTAGGTAGGTAGGTAGGTTAGGACGAGGAACCACCAACAACCAAAAGAAAAAGGCGGGGGCATACCGTAAACCTCCTCCCGCAACCACTTCTCCCCCACGCCACTGACGTGGGCGGCGACGTTGTCGATGAACCGGGCCTGCGCGCCCTCCTGGCCGGCCATGATCCGCCACAGCGCGACGGGCTGCTCAAAGTCGCGGTGGTCGTCGACCTGGGTGAATGCGGCGATGGGGGTGGGGATCTGCACCTCGTCTGGACGGCCGAGACCGAGGTTCTTTAGTTTCTGCTGTTGCTGACCCTGCTGGTCGAGAAAGTCTGTGCTGACGACGTGGGCGTTGCTCGTGCGGTCCGAGAACTTGACCGGCTGGAGCCGCGTGCCCAGGTAGTTCGGGTCGCCGGCGTAATTCGGGGTGAAGTTCATGAAGCCGTCGCGCTCGATGGGGCAGTAGACGGTCGGGACGGGGGCGTTGGTCGGCAGGAACTGGTAGTTGACGCCGAGGCGGTAGCGGGCGGCGTCCGGGTAGGCGAACATGCGGGCCTGGAGCATGGGGTCCGGCGACGGCGCGATGCCCGGCACCATGTTGCTGGGGCTGAAGGCGGCCTGCTCGATCTCGGCGAACCAGTTCTTCGGGTTCGCGTCGAGCGTCACCCGCCCGACCTTGCGCAGCGGGTACAGCCCCTTGGGCCACACCTTGGTCATGTCGAAGACGTTGACGGGCGCGTGCGCAATCTCCTCGGGCCGCATCACCTGGATGTACACGTCCCATTTTGGGAAGTCCCCGCGGTCGATGGCGCCCTGGAGGTCGAGCAGGTGCGCGTCCGGGTCCTTGCCCGCGATCTCGGCGCCCTCGGCGTTGGTGTGGTAATGGATCCCCTGGACCGTCTTGAACGTGATGCGCGTGTAGACGTACGAGGCGCCGTTGTCGCGTGTGAACTTGTACGTGTTGCCGCTGTAGCCGTTGACGTGGCGCACCGACGACGGCAGGCCCCGGTCGCCAAACAGGAACATGAGCGCGTGGATGCTCTCCTGGTTGTTGACGTGGAAGTCCCAGAACATGCTGGCGTCGGCCGCGTTGGTGGTCGGGTGAGGTTTGTGGCTTCGATTCAGCGACGGGAACTTGACCGGGTCGCGCACAAAGAAGACGGGCTGGTCACAGTATATCACTTCATGTCAGCTTTTGCGTTGGCCACGTACAGATGGGTGGAAATGGGGAATACCTGGTTGTTAAACACCCAGTCCTGATTGCCCTCGTTGGTCTTGAACTTGATGGCAAACCCGCGAAAATCGCGCACCGTGTCGGCAGAGCCTCGAGCAGGACCGACGGTCGAGATGCGCATCAACACCTCCGTCTTCTTGCCGATGCCATTGAGAAAGTCTGCGTCTGTCACGTCCGATACGTCGTCCGTCACTTCAAAGAAGCCCCTGGCGCCCGCGGCCTTTGCGTGGACGGTCCGTTCGGGGATCCTCTCACGGGAAAAGTGTGCTAGGTTCTCGAGCAGCTGGGTGCTTGTCAAGAGGACATAACCCCCTCCTGATCCTGTGGGTAGTTGGTCGACGATGTCGTTTCGAGGCAGGGGGATACCCTCGGCGAGAGTATAGTGAGGCTGAGACATGTCTGGTCTGCTTGGACCAAGTTGGTGTCACAGAGATATCTCCACGGGTGTGCTAATGAGATGCGATGAGGTGGTGATGGCCTTCTGCAGTATACTTATACATCGTATACCCATGTACCCAGTACGACACCATCTCGATACACTGAGCAGAGCCCAACCCCGGGAGATTTATCACCAGCCCTGCGACCACTGACTGTGCATAGTTCTCGACACGCGCCGAGTCGACAAGCTGATTGTCAAATGGCTCGCACTCTATTTGCTGCGTGTCAATCAGGCCGATGCCATCCATGCTCTGCTGTCCGGGGCTGCCGCTCAATGCGAGACGTGAAGACTGGAACATGGGACTCCAAAGAATCCCCCACTCGACATGGTTGGGATCAGTCGGTATCCCCAAACATGTGCAAGGATCAGTTGTGGTGTCGAAAGCCTTTCGCACGAAGCCTTCGCGCGAATGCTCTAGTCCCTGACGAGCTGGGGCATGTCAGCCCCAAGGGGCAGAAGCTTTCAAGCTACTCGGTAACTCTCATCCAATAACATCCAATTGCCAGCTTGCGGATCCTGCAAGGGGCTTAGACTGCATGATTTCTAGCCTTGAAACCAGTCGCTTTGCAGATGAGCGTGGGAGGGGGAAACTCAAAGATGCAGAAACCTTCGACCAGTTGGACCTGTCGAGGGAGGTGCCTCAAGGGAGTATGTTCGCTATTGATCCATGTTGTCCATAGCTCTGGCCCACGATCACGATGGTTGCAGCCAAGTAAAGTGGTAGGCGGCATCAAGTATAGTACGTGGCGTCATGTTGATCAAGCTACTCGTGTACAGCAGCAGTAAGGATGGACAGAGAAATTCCCCCATGTGTCTCTCTCATCAATCCACGTCCCGAGGCTCGTTCTCCTCCCAGAATTTCTTGTAGTCATCCCAGCTCTGCGTGGGGAATTCCTCGGGCCAGGTGAGAGGCGCCAAAGGCGAGCCGGTAGCCTCAAACTGCTTCAGCTTCTCTGCCGTGCGCGCTCGGGTCTTGTTGATACTGTAGACGCTGATCCGGTGTGCTGAATGCGTGACGTGGAGTCCCCAATTCCATGCCGCGCGGACCGTCAGGGGTTGCGTATTCAACGAGCTGTCCCAGCATCGACAGACAATTTCGATCCAGCCTTCCACGTCGCAGGGGAGATCAATCGACCACGTCCTCCACGTCCATTTGCCCTTCTTGGAGAGGTTGGCGTTGGGCACGGCATACCAGCTGAAACCTCCATCGGCCGACAGTTCGACACGCTCTGGCCATCTCCCACCGCCTGAATACGCCCAGCCTTTGCAATGAATCTTGCCATTGTGAATCACCACTTGCTTGGTCCACGGAGACATGATGGCCGAGCTCACGGGCATTTCCTGGATTTGAATGCCGTCCGTTGGTTGTTGGTTGTGCTTGCCCGTCTGCTGGCTATGTCTGGTCAGCTTGGGCGTGGCAAAGAGGGCAATAGTCCAAACCACTTACTTGAAATAGAGATACTCTTTGCTTTGGACTGGTGCGAGGGAAGGATTCTCAATAGCCTTGATCCTGTACACCCATTTCACGCTTCGAGCACCAATATACCCCAGCACCATGATTCTCACCGGATAGCCGTGAATGGCTGGGAGTGGCTCCCCATTCATCTCCCAGCAGAGGAGAACTTCGTCGTATTTGACTTTGGACCATGGGACGCTCACCACGTAGTTCATCACTAATTGATTCGTTAGCTAACATTGCCCTCTGAAGGCCTCACAATCGCACTGACCTTCGTTGTCCTTGAAGTAGGTCTCGGCACCGTAGAGCTCGAGATGTTTGGCTGGTTTGACGAGGCCCCCACAGGCTTCAATGACATCCTTCAGGTTGATCCCGAGATATTTCGCTGTGCCTATGGCCCCCTCGGCCCATGGAGCCTGAGGGACCTCATCTCCCTGGCCTGCATAGAGGGAGATTTGCTCAATCCGTCGGGTCCCCGAGCACTGCATCGTGACAAACTTTTCGATGCGAGGAAATTTCGACTCATCCGTAATGTCGTCAAAGGTGAACGTTCGCAGATTCTTGACTAACCCGTCCAAATCCAGCCTCCACTTGTCTTTGTCGATAAGTGGAATGCCGCCGTGGTTTCGCACAAAGTGAAGCGAATTCGGCGTCACCGCTTTATCCGTCACCAGCCTCTTTGGAGGTTCTCCATTGTACGGGAACTGCAGAAGATGAAGCATTTCAGGATGCTTTTCGCGAAGAACAGTCTTCCAAGAGTCTTCAGGGACATCAGTAAGCTCACCACCGACGGCGTGGTGCCACATTTTCCAGTGTGTGCCTGGGAGCACGGGGTTCGTGTCTGGAATAAGTCCCATTTGAAACTCCGGGTTTGGTGGAAACACCTGGGAGGTCAGGATCTTGTGCGCCTTTTCCTTCTTCTCTGGGTATTTCTCCCATTCCACGTATCTAAGACCGTGTCAATTATTGTCCCCAGTCGAGGGAGGTTACGCACCCTTTCCATCCTTCGAGTTCGCGAGTAAACAGCTCATCACGGTTACCTACGGCATCGATGGCTGCTTGGTCCTTGGTCAACTCCGGCCATGCTCTGGGCTGGATAAACACTGGTTCAGGGCCCGTCTGATCCAGAAACGGCAGCTTAGCTCCAGACAAGCCCTGTTCGATTTTCCATTCATCAGGTCGGTTGCGTATCTCCATCTTGGCCGGTAGTTGAATGAATCGAGAAAGACTGCTTGTGGGCACGGGGTGCCGCAGGCCTTATATCATGCCTCAGGACAAGGTGCAGAAGATTCCCTCTCGATTCACACATCACCCCCTCGCACGCAACAGCCTGAACGACGCGCCCAAGCCGTTTCGAACAGCTCTGCAGAAGCCCAGCTTACGTCTGGGTGGTGTGATACCCACAAGCACTTCATAGCAAAGTTCCCGTAACCTGGCTGAAGCTTTAACCCCTCCAATACTGAAAAGTACGCGAGCTCCCAACAGGTATAGTTCCTTTCGTCATGGTGAAAAGGAGTCGCAGATTCGGGCGAGAGATACTCCAGTTGGTGAGGGTCGTCGAGATTTGTCAGTAAGACTAGAGGGTTTCGTCTTGTGTGGAACATTGATTGGATATCCAGTGACTAGCACATTCACTCATGGGAGGTGGATTTCCGCGAAAAAGCATCGTGATGCATCAAGATCAGCCAGTGGAATGGGCCACACTAAAGACCTACCTTTGACCACGCTGGGACAGGGCGAGAGCCGTCGTTGAGAAACAAAGCATGAAGAAATTTTGCTTCGCGCGAGCCAGCAGATGGTGCGAGCTTTGGTGCGAGGCAAGAGGAGACCCGCTGCTCAGCTTGGTCTGGGGTTGTCAGACGTCAGATGGGCGACATGAGACCTCGTATTGGCCACTTTTGGGTTACTCGTCGAGATGAGATACGAAGTTCACTTCTGCCAGCGCCAGTCGACACGAGTGGTCGACAACCTGGAACGGAGAGAAAAAGGTAAAGAGGGTCTCTGGGAGATGGGAGAAAGGAGATGCCGGGCAGTGGGGAAGGACTTTGTCGAAATGTATTAGGAGAAGCGGGGAGGGAAGCATCAGCCATGAACCACCTCGTACTTGGGAATTGGACAGGTCGCAGATGAAGGATAGAAGCGGAAACTCGTTGGAAAAGGTGCGTCTTTGGAAAGGGGGAGCGAGGCTCCCTATATAGTATTTCTTCCGCTGATGCCAAGCTGCCAAGCCTCGCTAGACTTGCACAAGTAGCGGTTAATAAGAGGGAATGCACACTATTCCATATTTGGTATCTCTTAGCGTGTCCTTCGGGTCATCATCATTTCTATTCTGGTGTTTTTACAGCGACAAGGCACTTTGGTAGATACCGAGGTCCTCCATACAATACAAAACTGTAGATCTATAAGGTCACTTTGTTCCCTCATCTGTGAGCAACTTGATCCTCGGAATTGCCTGCCTCCTTGATGCCCTCTTCCTCCGCCTGCTGACGTCGAAGCACCACGCCCTTATCCCAGCCGAGCCGATACGCAGACATCTTGTTCTTCTTCACCCAGTGGTGTCGGTATCCATCCCACCCGATCAGGAAGAACCAAATCCCTCCCAAGACTCCCATGATCACAAAGTTTCGTACCAGAGAGTGAGTGGCGACTAACGAGATGGGCACCAGCTGGAAACCCAAGCCGGAATTGATCCAGCCTAGACAGATTGCGATGCGGCCGAGCCACCGGTGGATGTAGGCGAACATGCTCTTCTTGCCTGTCTTCTTGAAATAACGATGCTGCAACAGCCCCAGTGCGGGCTGAAAGAGGATCAGCGCCGATGTCGCGAGGAGCCCAATCACGACGTGGGCCTTGGTAGAGGTGCTGCTGGAGAAATAGTTCAGATCAACATCTGCAATGTCGATACCCAGCCCCATTGCGCCAATCATTACCGCCAATCCCAGGATCTGAATCGGCGCGTGGATGAACTTGACCACGCGAACACCTCGCAGTGGGAGATGAAGGGAAATGGCACCCAGCGGGAACAGGACGATGAAGGCGATGGACATCATGCAGGCGTGGGCATTTCGTTTGCGGATAAAGATCTTGTAGCCGTCCTCGTAGAACGCTCTCTTTTGGAGAGAGGAATCTTGTTCAGACTCTGTCGCCGTTGCTGCTGCCACTGATAGGATCCATTGTTAGCCACAGTGCGGACGATCGGTTTTAGAGGACAACTTACTCGCAGAAGCGGCAAAAATCATTGCTCCTAGAAGCTTGGACTTCATATTGGGCCGTAGGAGAGGAAATCAAAGATAGTGTGCTCAGTGATGCCGAGAGGGTGAAGGTTGTGTATTCTGCAGGCACTTAGACCATAAACATCGACGTGGTCTCTTATAGCAGGCGGGTTGTGTTCTTTATAGCAAAGCCTCTTGTTCGAGGATACTAGAACATGCTCTCCCAGGCGTCCTCTAGATATGTATATGGCGCATTGCGTGGCATGAGCGGGTTGAGCCTCCTATGATGGATCGACGAAGTTCAGAGACCAAGCCAGATCCTGGAAAGTCATCGGCGACTTTCCGACTTGTTGACTTGTTTCGTCCTCGTCGCAGGACTAATCTGACGGCTCATTGACCGACAGGGGAACATGGGGAGTTGATCGGGTTGATGTGGTTGGCCAGACTCCTTGCCACGAGAGCTAAATATAGAATCTGGGCTAGCCTTTGCCGTCATTCGACTGGTTCGTCTTCCAAACAGGTAAAGCGTACGACAACCACCCATATTCTTCTCATTGTTGATGACACTTTTCTCGTGTGTGTGCTTGGTAAAGCTTTTTTATGATCACGGAGGCGAAGACCTTGAAGGTGTGCAACCTCTGACTCAGCGCCTGTGCAGCCGGCAATCAGGCTGTTGCTAAAAGATCCTGTTGCTCTATCCAGTGTGCACAACGGAAGGTAGATGTATCGCCCCCAAGCTCTGCGGCCACAGCGTGCAAAGGTGCCGGGTTCCGCGGATTCATTACATCGGGCAACTACTTGTACAATTGGTAGTTGGTAATTGGTGCAGACTAGTGGCCAAATGCCGGGAATAGTGTAGCACTCCATGGCGCGCAGATATGGGTTGCTTTTGTTGTGGTGCACAGGGGAGGCGGCTTTAAAGCGGGATGTCTGCCTTTGGTCATGGCTCACATGGCAGATCGAGTCATTGCAGTATCTCTTTTTAGATCTTAGAGGAGGCAATTCGGTTGACGTAGTCGTCATAGCACGCCGACGTGAGGTGAGGGTGGCAATGATACAATGTTGGTCCCCGGGTATCAGTCCAGGAGAGATTGAGAATCGGAGACTCTCCTGGTATGCCTGTGGGTCTGTCCAGTTGCGCTTGGGTAGGAGTCCCAAAGAGACGCGTAACAACTATCCCACTTACAGCAAGTGCCCAATAGCTTCAGCTGTGGTTTGCCCCGTGTCAACACGCTCTGTCGAAGGATGCCGTACTCCCTGGAATTTTCTGCGAGCACATATATGCCCCATGTCGATCTTCAAGGAAAGAAGCTCTCATCCTTCCTCAGTTGAACTTCCAGGGGGGCTTAACGTCCCGTGATTGCATGTCGACAGGGATGGGCATTACTGACCACGTCCAGATATGCCCGAGGATGGCTGCGCGATCTTGCGGGTACGACGTACGGAGCTGGATTTGCGACCTGCCATGTAAACCATTGCATACAATCCTTCCTACCTCTTCCGCATGTTAGCTATCGAAATCCGTTTTGTCCAGTCTGGCCTGTCGAGCATCGAGACGCAAGCGATACAACAGAGCGATCATGTCAACGAGAACCATTGAGGACACGGGCGGGAATGTGTTGAGGTGGATTTGCCACTAAGACCGGGGAGGGATTAATGATCGAACGCGACGACTTTATGTCCAGTGAGATATTCCGTGCCTATCTCTTCTAACGACGGATGTGTGGCCCTGATGTGGAGGCGTTAAATAGAATTCCCTCTATCTATACCTCGACTCACTGCATTATCCAAGTTGCACAGTCACTTTTCAAAACCAGGGAACGGGACCCTATCATCGTCCAACGAGTCTGCGTCAAGGAAGCGGCGAAGGCGTATGATACCTAGCTCGAACCTTTACCATGGAATCTAGTGTCTCGTCAGATCGAAGGCTTTGCACCGACCGCATGGCGGGATCACTGTCTGAGGCTGGTGCAAGGAGGCATCGGATTCAATCCATGCAGAGAATTCGAGCTGGTTTGCAACATGCAGCTTCGACTCGGCCGGTTCGGACGCACCTTTGCATGTTCATTGTCATGACCGAGCTGTTCGATATCGATCAACGGTGATGACACCCTTGCGCCCCGATTCCGACGAAGTTACTTTCTATGCTGAGTCCCGAGATTGTTCAGCTTGTCGGCAAACGCCTCCTCCAGTCGATGTTTGTACGCTGTCTCGTCGTCGATCTTTGCCTTATCACAGCGGCTGCATTTACACTCCAGTAGCGAGCCACTACTTGATCGAAGACCTTCGTGGTGCAATGCTCAGGGCAGAACATCCGCTGTAGATGGTCGTTGAATAGTCGAAAGAGTCCTTTTGGACTATTTACTGCATGGACGTACCAGAAGCTCCCCGTCTCCCAACCCTTTCTCATTATCGGCGTTTGGAACAAGTTCGTCCCCAGGATTCGTCTCTCCTCTTGCTCGAAGGCGTCCAGATATTCCGTCGCCAATCGGCGAAAAGTGTCCAGGTGTTCTCCGGTCAGTTCATCCACAGCTAGCCCCGAAAGCCAATACGGCAGGGACTGGAATTCAATGGGGAGAGAGCAAGCCCACTCTAGGTCAATCAGAGAAGTAATGTGCCAATCCTTGTCCACGAAAATATTACTTTGGTGAAGATCGGTAAGAGTAAAGACGAAAGGGCCGTGTCGATACGTTGGATCCAAGAAATGATGAATGATGGCACGCATCATCGTTAGAGCGGCAAGTTGCTGCTCGCCATCGTCATGATGATGAATTGAATTCGGTTGGTGGTGAATCCGATGATCGTGACACGCCAAGAGGTCCAAAACATAAGGCTCGACAGCTGTGTAGGTAGAATTCCGATCAAGAGGAGTAGGAATGCCTTCATTTTCCAAGGTCTGCAGGCGTAGTGTTAGGGGACGGTTGGTCAGGGTGAGATGGCCGCTGTCGTTAAAGGACAAAGAGCCGATGCGAGGGAGACGAGCTTTGTTCAATGACAGGGTGAGATGGCCGCTGTCGTTAAAGGACAAAGAGCCGATGCGAGGGAGACGAGCTTTGTTCAATGACAGGGTAATCCGGGCTATATCATGAAACAGGTTTGAGCGACGAACCGCGTCGTGGCGGAAGGAATCCCACGAGATCGAGAGCATTTCTCCCTCGATAACCCGACCGATGATGATATATCCAGTCTTCAGGATATCTAGACGCCGCCGGCGGATGTATCGACTTGGTGTAGCTGTATCAAGCCACAAAAACAAGGTCCGCTTGACGTACGACAGGAGTCGAGTGAAGCGCGGAACATTTTCGGGTGCAGTGAACTAATAACGGTGTCAGCTTCAATCCGTGCACGTCGTAACGGGGAGACATACCGTTTGACCGTCCGGAAACCCAAATCCATAGAGCGCAGGGATTGGGATATCCGGACAATTTTGTTGAATCCAGATGTAGGAAGCAACCTCACACCGAAGCTTCTCCTCGACATTGCCGGGAGAGTTTCTCTCCCCAACTTTGTACGGCAACGGTATCCTGACATAGACATCATCTTTCTTAGAGGCCGGACTGAAATACACGGGGATGCAGACGTTCCGAAATCCACGTTTCTTCACTATCTCGTCGGGTTCATCTTGGTAAGGCCGCATGGTCGTCCATATTGCATAGATAGTTGAACCAAGCGAGAAGAGTTCGTTTTGAATGGATGGATTCTCGTAAGTATCGTCCCAACGTTGAGATCGGTATTCGTAACCAGCTGTTGTCGGCTTTCCGTGAATTGAGGAGCCTCCAAAGTCGCATAACTTGATCTCGTCGCATTTGAGAAGAATGTTGTGACAGCCGATATCTCCTTGTACAATGTTTTTTGGTGTAAAAATGCCACGCCCTCTGCGACTTGACAAGACCACTTAAGAGCCTGATGATACGACGGGGTCTTCTCCTGCTTATGAAGCTCTAGGAGATGCTTCCGGAGCGGTTCACCGAACCTCTCTAGAATAATTCCTCGTTGGACCGAGGAGATATATCGACATATTCGGGGATGAGACCCTAGATGCTGGTATACGGATCTCTCGATCTGGAGGTCTTCAAGGCTTTCGTCGGTCGCGTACTTGTTGTCATATGTAGGAGCGATTTTTACGACAGTGTGCTCGTCGAGAGAGTATACAATGCCTGAGACTCCAATCCCAAGCCACTCAAGTCGGTCGGTCGGAAGAACTGATAAGGAAGAGTCATCTTACATAGTACAGCAATCGCAAAAAGCCTGCAATCATAGGGTCATAGTGTAACAGTCAACGCAGATGGAGATGATCTGGTTATCCAAAAAAGAAAAGAAAAGAATTCAAGAGGGTTAAAATCGGTTGCCATTGTTACAGGCTCTGGCCACCTGGGCACGAATCCACTCCCCCGGCCCCAAGACTCATCCCGCTGATCCTAGTCCGTGTGGCGTCAGACCATGCCAAACCTGCTCTAGTTCCGAATCTCTGATAATTACGCATTAGACCTGAAAGTGTAGTTATCGAAGGGCGGTGCATTTACTCGAGGTTGATATGCGATGAAGGTCGCCATGGCTGAAAAGCGAATAAATACGAGCAGACCGGTCGACAGTGGTTCAGAAAGATCATGAAGGACAGGAAGAATGTGTGCAGCCTCGGCTTGTGGAGCTGCGCCAAAAACCAGACTTAATTTCCTCCTTCTTTCTCCCTTTCGCGGTTCTATTCCCACACTGGTAATAATGTGTTGTCCTTTTCTACCATATGCAGGGTGCTCTCTATCTTCCTATAGAGAGAATGCTAACAATAAGACCGAAAACGCTGGTTGCAGAATGTCTCTCTTAGTGCCCAGCCTCGATGGACCAGTCAATACCAGCACAAGCGCCCTACTCCTACGTACCTCACCTTCTCGAGCCGAAACTGAAACCCCAATGTGTCATTCCGCTTATGCACGGTGACCAACATCATTGTCTCCAGTTGTTCGTCAGTCAATATTATTGTTGAGGGGGTTAACATCTCCACGAGAAATAGAGCTACCACCCACCCAGACCTCAAAGGCTCAGGCTCAAACATCCGTGTTATCAGGAAGACTGTAGAGTGCGAACGGCGCCTCCTGCCATAAAGAGGAATAGCCCTTGATGCGGCCGCGCGACTGACTCTATACATGTCCCAAGAAGCATATCCCAATGTCGCTCATCTCCGGCGTCACTCGCGGCGATAAATGGCAGGTGATAAAGGATTTGGATATGCCGGGATGCATGGGAAGCGCTGTGGCATTTCATATCTTGATCCCTTGTTATCTTGATCTCCGCACTTGCAGATCCTGAGGAGAGTGACAAGGGGATCGACGGCGATGCCCACCCATGCCGCCTCGGTCAGGTTCCACCGCCGTTGACTCTACTGATTGACCTATTCTTACAATGGCAGGTCGAGAACTATTGTGTCGGCATGTCGCGTGCAGATTTCCAAGGTGATTGGCTGCATCTCTGGATTTTCGAGATAATCCCCCATGATGGGCAGCTGCGAGTCTGTCGGCATATGGCCGAACATAGCTCATATACGCGGAGCTAGATATATCTTGGAGGTGAGATGTGCTTCGGTGTCACTATGCCTTCGCATCAGAAGCACTTCCTCTCTGGTCAATCCACGACATGAAGGACGACATCGAAACGCACCAGACCAGAGTGACCTCTGTCGAGAGCATCGACGAGAAACTCGTCGACTACAGAGATGTGGACGCCGCCCTTGGGTTCCTGCGGGCCAATGCCCAAGCTGGACAGGTGATTGATATTGATGAGAAGAAGCTCATGCGAAAGGTCGATTGGATGATCATGCCGTTGATGTTTGCCTGTTACTATTTGCAATACACCGACAAGACTTTGCGTGTGTTTATGTGTGGCGAAACTAGTTTAACGGTTGCTAACAATGATATAGTCTCCTATGCTGCGATCATGGGGGTCATTGAGGACACCCATATGCCGTCAAACGGGTTCTCGAATTTGGCAATCGCCTTCTATGTGGCTTTTTTGTTCTGCGAGCCATTCCAGTCCTTCCTCATTCAGAAGTTCCCGACTGCGAAGTACTTGGGCTGCAATGGTAAGTAGCAGATTGGTGACTTTATGATGAAGTGGACTAATGATGCAGTGATTCTATGGGGCATCGTGGTTTCCCTGAACTGCGTCTGCCACAATTTCGCCTCCATCGTCGCCCTTCGAGTCTTGCTCGGGGTGTTCGAGTCGTGTGTCGCTCCCAGGCAAGTGTCGTCCCAACCTGTGCCCAAAATGCGTCTGACGGTTGCAGCCTGGTCATCCTCACAGCCATGTGGTACAAACGGCATGAACAAGTTTCACGGATGGGGATCTGGTATCAAGGGGTTCGTGCTGTTCTCTTTCAGAGACCTCCTGTTGTCACTGACTGGGTATGGATGCAGCTAACAGATGTGTTCTAGACATCGGTAGCGCCGGCCGTGTCTTCTCTGGCCTCATATGGCTTCCTCCACTACACCAACTCCCATCCACATCTCCATTTCAAGTCGTGGCAAATATTGTTCCTGGTCTTCGGGATCATCACAATTGCCATCGGCATCTTGGTTGTGCTCTTCCTCCCCGACAACCCTATGAAAAGCCGGTTGTCGGCGGAAGAGAAGATCTACATTATCGAGCGAGTTCGAGAGAATCAGACGGGGATTGAAAACAAGAGATTGAAGACCAAGCAAGTCAAGGAGGTGCTCACCGATTACAGAACCTGGCTGTTGAGCTTGGTTGTCATCACGACCAATGTGCCCAACGGTGCCGTCAGCTCTTTCTCGAGCATCATTATCGAGAAGTACGTGACAACGGATCCATGTGCGCTTGTGCTTGCTAACGTCTTCCCCAAAGCTTTGGTTATGATGAATACACAACACTGCTTCTCAACCTTCCAGGATGCGCGGTTGCCTTTGTGTCGGTCGGTTTCGGAACATGGTGGGCGGGCAAATACAATGGCAGGGGTATCGCCATCATCGTCCTCACCATTCCGACCTTACTTGGAGGAGCTTTGATGGCGTGGCTGCCTCCTGAGAATAAGGGAGGCTTGCTAGCCGGCAATTTCATGACCAACACCGTTGGCGCGAGTAAGTTTGGAGTCGACGGAAACATTTCATGACTGCTGCTAACCACTATTAGCCCTTCCGCTGTTGTATAGCTGGATCACGTCGAACTGTAAGTCTTCTTGATATGCCAAGTCGGGGTGCGTTGCTGACACCTCGTAGATGCCGGACACACGAAGAAGATCACCATGAACGCGCTTGTCCTGATGAGCTTCTGTGTGGGCAATGTACGTCTTGATCAGGCGTTTGCTATAATGAATGAACTGACGCTGTGTGTCCAGATCATTGGGCCCGAGACCTTCCAAGCCAAAGATGCACCCCAATACATCCCGGCCAAGCTTACCATTGTGGTGATTCTCGCCGTGGCCATTGCACTGGCGATCACGCTGGATTTGCTTTATGCATGGGAGAACAAGAAGAGGGACCGCGAAGAACCACAAGACCTGCCACCGGACCACGAGTTCCTTGATATGACAGACAAAGAGAACAGGAACTTCAGATATCTGTTGTGATTCTTCTTGTGTCTTGGACAGGGACCAGAGAGGGCGAGAGGGCAGCGTAGACGCATGGCACAGGCGGTCAATATCGGAGGGACAACACATAGTCATGACCATAGAGACATTGTTTCCGATTTGGAAATCTAGATAGAAATGTGACATTCGTTCAGCATGACTACAGAGACATTGGAGGAGAATCAGTTCAGTCCTTGTACGTCTGTTTGTTCCTGGTCTACTCGTGCCGTCAACACCCGCTGCAGCCCCGAATTCGATCAACCGAGGCGGACAATTGGCGGACAACGAGGCGCACATTTGATCGACGGCAGGGGAAAAAAAGAACCCATCACCATCTAACATTTCTCCTTTCTGCTATCATTTGTCCTGATGCCATCCAAAGATGGAGCCTAGTGACGACGGCGCCGGTGCTCATCCTCCTCGTCATCTTGTTCGCGCCTTTTTGTCATGCGGATTCTGTCGCAAGAGGAAGCGGAAATGCGACAGGTCTCTACCCGAATGTTCGTTCTGTCGAAGGTGAGTCTGTGCTTGTGTCTACCTTGGTTAGCCAACCAAGCAGACTCCACCATATACTGATCATCGTCTACAGACACCGACGGAAATGCATCTATCCCCAGCGCAGAGTCGCGACCCCTAGAGCGGAGGAGGAGGGGGAGGAGGGCGAGGAGGTGTCTCTCTCCACGGGAAAAAGAATCGAGCCTCAACTGTCAGAAGTAGTGGTCGTCTACTTTCTGGACCACGACATCTTCAAATGCGGCCAGATGGTGGTCCCAGAGGTGCAGTCGGCCGTGCCTCGAAACGTATCAGCCCTTTTGGGAGATGCTGCCACACTTCAACACGACGGCGCAGAATACTTTCGGACCGTCCACTGTTGGTGGTCTATCATTTCCCAGCATTCATTCTACAACCGCCTCGTGAACCCATTGGTGCCACGACAAGGGGATGTCGCCCTGCTCTTGCTTTGCATGAAACTGATCATCTGGAGACCGTCGGAGGAACAACAAGACCCTCGGACACCGCTGTATCTTGGTGCAAAGCACTACGCAACCGAGATCGAGGTGGCGGGAGCCTTCAGTATCCGTGGCCTACAGGCAGCCGTGCTGATTGCGATCTATGAATTCGCTCACGGGATCTACCCATCTGCGTTCCTGTCCATCGCCTCCTGCGCCAGATCCGGGAGGGCTTTGAATATCCACCTGACTTTGACAGAGATTCCCGCGGACTGTGTCGATGGTTTCCAGTCGGAGGAGAAGAGACGGTTGTGGTGGGCAATCCTGATCCTCGATCGCTTCGCAAACATCAGCTGTCCGGGCAGACGCAACTTTGAGACCGACGATCCCAGCCCAGACGATCTTCTACCTGTCGATGATGCGGCGTGGGATGCAGGCATGGTCACTGCCCACGACAGGATGACCATCTCGTGCCCGTCGACGGAAAGGATGGGCCGATTCGCCAAGTTGGCCCAGGCAACACATCTCCTTTGTCGTGTGCTCCAGCACGTGGGCGACGACTCGATGGAAGCCGAGTTTCGAGAGACCCAGGAGCGGCAGCTGGAGAAGGCGATTCAGATGTCGATTCGGATGGTGAGCGGCGTCCTCAAAGGTCCCGCGGGTGCGCATGCACAGATTTGTTACAGGTAAGTGTCATTTCCTCACTCTCGAAAGGCCAGATTAGAGTCGGGCTCATCTGGGCAAAGTTCCCTGTTCGTCCTGTACGACGACGCCCTGCGCACCGAGCCATCCACGCCCGCCGAACTCAGACGTCGTGATCATGCGCGGGACCTGCTCGAACGAGTCTCGAAGACGTGCTCAACTTCGTCGGCGCACTTTCTCCAGGGAAACGCACTCCCTGTCGACATGGTCACTCCGTTCGTGCTGCATTGGAAGTACCGAGCCGCGGCGTTTTACGTGCGAATGGTCAGGGAGAGATCCAACAGCGACCACGCAAGGAGCCTGGAGACCCTTAAGATGGGACTGAGGCGGCTTGATACGAGGTGGAAAATTGCAGGTACTTATAAACATACCTGAGCGGCTTCTCGCCCAGCATCTTTTCCTTTGACTCACCGAGTAACGAATGATGATCTGCAGGGACTTATTTACGGATGCTGGAAGCCAGGGAAGTCATGCTTAGCATCTAGCGGAATGGAGACTCGACGTCCGCCTCATTGTCCGTCTCTCCGCCATCTGTCCACCATTTGCCGCTCAGTCCGCCGTCCGCCCCCAGATTCCGCCTTGTCCACTCACCACCAGGTTACCATATCGCCGCGTTTTTCATCGATCATTCGATCTAGGGCTTGGATCTCGTCGCGCTTGTGAGATTTAGCTTTGTTATTTGGCGAAACAGGTGGTCAAAGTACAGAATCCTCGAGAATGCCACCAATGGCTCTTCCAAATCAAGTCCCAAGCTAGACGGGGATGGGAAGCGAGATGCAAGGACGTCGACGACTGAATACACCTCTTTTGGACCCGCTTTGATCTGTAATGATCTGAAACAGTCGTTGGGCTTGGAGGATCCCCATCAAGCACATACTGCAGCGCTGTTCTGCGTCTATATAATGGAATGCTCGACCGCCCGACTGGTTTTGCTGTCACGGTATTCATCCGAATCTATTCAATCATCCTTAACACAGAACGCCAAACCCTACAACAACAACAGTACCAAACCAGGATCTCACACCAACATGCCCATCTACAGCGTAAGTCAAGTCACCTTCTCTCCTTCTGACCAAGAACTTCCCCTCAATACCCCGGGGTGACCTCTCACACACACACACACACACACACACACACACACACACACACACACACACACATCTACCCAAACCATATCTTCCCACTCCACACCACAGACAAAACACCCGTACCCCCTCACCCAGGAGCAAAACGCCGCGCTAGCGCAAAAAACCACCGTTATACACAGACCCGAGTACCTGACCCCCTCGCTGTT